TACCCTAATTCTTAAAGTTTTTAGATATCTAATTTAATATAGCTTTTAGCCTTCATATCTCTAAATCCTCGTTTCAGATCTATTTAATTATTATCTATAATTTAATACTAGCTTCTGCTAAATAGATATACTCCTTTTTATAAATACCCTATATTTTATATTAAGGTATTTTTTTATTTTTTATAAGTTTTTCTTAAATAGCCTAGTTAGCTATTTCTATACTAGTAGACTCTCTTCTATTTTTTGCTATATAGATACTAAACTAGAGATTACTTTCTTCTAAAGATATCTTATTAGGTTTAAACTAGGATTTCTTAATAATAAAGTCTATAACTATAATTACTTAAATACTAGCTTTCTATAGGCTAGATAATAGCTCTTTAGTTATAATCTATTTTTATAATAATATAAGTAATTCTTTTCCTAGAGTATCCCTTTAAATAGAATTAGGTTTTCTTAAGAGTCTATTTATAGGATTAGTTTTTCCTAACTAATACTTAACTATAAAATTAAATAATATAAAATATATATATTAATATATCTATCTTTTATTTAGTTTAGTTTATTTTATAAAAGATTAAAGATTTAAGTAATCCGATAATACTTTAATAGTAAATTAGCTATTTTCTAAATATTATCTTTAATATTTAAAGAATTATATAATTACAAAAAGTTCTTAGTCTAGTATACTATAGTTTAACTCTATTTTAGAGAATAATTTTAACTAAAAAGCGACTAGATAATACTAATTTTAATTATTTAGCTAAAAGAGGATATTAGTTATTCCTTAATTTAATATATTTATTTCGATACATATTTAATATTAAAAATTAAAGTATTATAGTAAAGGTATATTATAAAAGGCTAATTAAAACACTATTTTTTTATAAAATATAAATTAGTAATTTCTAGGTTTTTTATTATTCTTACTCTCTTTAAATAATATAGTTAAAGATACTATAATATAAAAGAAATTATAAATAAATTATTAATAAAAGTTATAGAACCTAACAAAGACTTAGATATTATAGTAGTTTTTAGGTTCTAGCCACGAAATAATAGTGTTAATTTATTATTAGTCTATTAATATACTATTTTAGTCTATAATAAATCTAAGGAATTCTACTCTTAATAAAATATATATTTTAAAGGTTTTATATAAAGTCTTATTTCTTTTATCTTTTTAAGGATTTAGTAGATATAGCGAGTATATAATTTATAGTCTAAGGAGAATATTAGAATATTATCTAAATATATAATATAAGAGATATTAAGTAATCCCTATAAAGTAGTATAAATATAATTCTAGAAGATAGTAGAAGCGTTAGTTAAACTAAATAGTATAACTATATATTTAAAGTAATTATAATATATATAAAATATAGTTTTCTATTCTTTACTCTCTTAAATATAAATATAGTAATAGGTATTTTAGATATTAATCTTACTAAAGTATTTTACTCCTAAAAATCAATCTAAAATCTCTGAAATAAAAAATAAAGAGTATCGATTCTTTATTATAACCTTATTAAGTCCCCGATAGTCTATATAAAGATATAATCCTTTATTTTTTTTAGAATAAAAAGTATATTAGCCTATAAGATAAAAAATAGTTATTTTCTAGCTTAATAGTATAATCCTATAAATTATTAGATAGAAGGATTTATAATCGCTCTATTAAGAAGATATTAATAAATTAATATAGTTCTAGTAATATTTCTAAAAGATAAATAGTTAGTTCTTCGTTTTTTTTATAGAGTAATTAGACTTCTTCCGGAAGTTTTATAATAACGTAGATAATAATATATTTTTAATATTCTTTCGCGAGTTCCTAAGCTAATACTAATTTAATTTTAGTAGCTTTAAATTACTAACTTTAGTTCTATAGTAAAATATAGATATAATATTCTATAAGCGTTATTATTAAGAGTAAGATTAGACTTCCTTATTTATAAAGACCTTTATTAATCGCGAGATAAAGATAAATTATTAATTTAGTAGTTCCCTAAGAATTAGTAAATATAATAAATATCTTCTATATATTATATAAAAGGGTTCCTCGATTATCTACTATTCTAAGTAGTATTAATAATAGTTTCGCTCTCTATAATTTATACTTTTCTATAAATTTAATACTAATAATATTAACTTTAGTATAAATATCTATATCTATATATATTTTAATTTTATTCTATAGTAGTACTAGAATATAAAGGTAAATTATAGTTCCTATTTAAAGTAATAGAATTAGCTATATAGGATTTAGACTAATTTATTATTCTTTTCCAATTTAATCTAAGTAATTATTTATATACTAGCTTTTTTACTTGATTTATTAAAATACTAATTAACGAGATAGGTTTTACTTTAATAAATATAATATTAGAGGGTTTTTTTATCTTTTCTAATTAGGTTCTTTTTATTTTTTTAGGTCTTTCTTTTAGGTTCCTAAGGTTTATAGTTTAGTTAATACTGATTTATCCGAAATTATTTATTTATAGATCTTTTAAAGGTTTCGGGGCTTTTTTATTTTTATATTAATTATAATAATCCCTAATAATAAATAGCTAAAGATACTATCCTATCTTAGTTTTTAGGTAGTTTATATATATATTCTTATATATATTATCTAAGGTTATAGGTAAATTTTGAGAATATTATAAATACTCTCATTTTCTTATTTTAGTGAGAGAAGTATTACTCTAATAAATCTAAAAAGATATAAAACTCTCGCGGATCCTACTCTAGATATTAATAGACTTTTTATAGTTATTTTATAATATTAATTTTAAGAGTTATAATATCTTTAATAAAAAAGAGAGTCTAATTTTTGAAATAAATCTATAAAGTATTAACGTTTCGCTATTTTTCTTTAGATTTCTTAATAATATACTAATACTATCTCTATTAGTAAATAGATTCTATATATAATAAAGCTACGATAATTTATCGTTTTTTATTATGATATTTTTATAGTACTTTTTTAAAAATAAAAGAGAGGTCTAAAAGTTACTTTTCTCTCTATTAAAAAAAGGAATAAATTAAGAATATTAAAATATTTTAAATCCTAATCTCGTTTTTATCTTCCGTAGGAGATAACCCCTAGTTTCGTTATTAATTTATTAAAGGTTTAATAATATTCTCTTATTTGATCTAACTTCTTATTTATTAAGCTATTTATTATAATTCTTATAGATATTAAAATTTTTCGATCGTTTCTTAGGTAGTCTATAGGTCTTTATCTAGTTAGGTCTAGTTAGTTTCGGATATAGGGGTTTACGATATCCTTTTAGGAGTATTACTCTAATATATTATAATAGATCAGGTCTATAAGGTTATCCTATTTTTTAGATAATCGAAGAAGAAGATTTAGAATTATAAAAGATATATTTAGTAGGGTATAAAACCTATCGATTAAGTAAAGAAATAAAGAGAGAGAGTAGGAGAAATAGTATATCTTTATTACTATTAAGACTAAATCTTATCTTACTAGCTTAACACGAGAGTATTAATTTATAATATAATATCTTTTATAACTCTATATATTATTAATAATATAAACGACTAGGTCTTTATTATATATCGTGATTATTCCACTATAGAGTAGATCAAGTAACGAGTTCCGACTTCCTTCAGGATTATATGATATCACCTGATTCACCCCTTCCGTTAGTTAGGAATAACCTCATGCCTCACCATCTTGGTAGACCCTTTATATACGTGGAGTTACAAAGATATTATATAATAAATTAATACTCTTATATCAAGCTAGCAAGACAAGATTTAGTCTTGATAGTAATAAAGATATACTGTTTCTCCTACTCCTTCCCCTTATTTCTTTACCTGATCGATAGGTCTTATACCCTACCAAGTATATTCTTTATAAATTCTTTCTAAGATTCTTCCTAGTATTCTTCTAATTTTTTTAATCTTTCTTTTAAATCTTTCGCTAATTTTTTTTGTAATTTATTTTTAGTCCTTTTTTTAATTTGTAATTTTCTTTCTTTCTTTTAACCAAAGATTTATACTTATATAGAAGGTTAGGGTTATAAAGGGGGTAGCAAAGTTAAACCCTCCTAGATTTTCTGTGACCCACTTTCTGTCTTCTTATATTATTAAATTATAGTAATAAGGTATATAAGTTAGAGGATTGAGGTATCGGATTAAAGGGAGGGTGGTATTGTGACTAGTAGTAGCCTATATTTAGTAGGTCTACTCGCTGACCGAGGTCACTTGTGGCTTACGACTCAGAGCTTCCTATACTATGAGGTACAGTCTAATAATACGAGTTATATATAGTCTAGCTCCCCTAAGTAAATACAGTAAGGACTAATAGATAGTATATATAGCCCCAGGGTTTACGCTATTAGATAGATAAAGACCTATACCAATCGCTCGGTTCTGGAGGCCACCTTCCCACGAATTGCTGCCACAGGATCCAAAAACAACCCGCTAACATTGGAAGTGAAGAACATCACTGGGGGAGGTGACAAGGAGTGGTGTGTCGAGGAACTGCAGATCTATGAAATTTGCAAGAATGGTATGAGTCTCCCCCAACCGGTGTTTTCATCGCTAATGCATTGATGGCTAAGGGTTGGTATTTGACAACCGCTACTCCTGGGCCACGCGGTGGGCGAACCATCAGATTGCGAGGCTCGGGCCTATTTAGACTCGGCGCTGGTGTCGGCGGCGCTTCAGCAAAACGAGATTGGGATTCTTTTCACTTTCTCGGATCCGTGAGATACAATTCTTCCATTTGTGAATTCTCCGGAGAAGGCATTTGAGAAAACCTCGGGACTCTCACGGGAGCAACCAAGCGATGCATAGTGTATCTGAGTACTGGCTATCACTTCTTCTACTCTTGTCTTTCCTTCTGCATATGTTGAATCACAATTAGCCTGATCATTGTATAGAAGTAATTCCCTCAACATATCAAGGATTGAATTAGGCTATGGATGCTCAATCATAGCCCCAATAGATATATCAGAGGCTCCCCAGGGTTACAGAAAGCTACTCTTTGAGAAGCGTGTGTTGTAATCGCCTGCTTTATTCACCATCTCGCGACGCTGTGCATGGGAAACCTTGGACGAAATAGCCATATCTTTCTCTCGATCAAAAGCCCGGAGGCTGGGATCATCCTCTTCTTTGCGAGATTGCTCCGAGTGCTCAAGACGGGCGTTCTTCCCGGTTATATCCTAAGCAAAAGACAATTAGAAACAGGCATCAACACGAGCAAGAAAGGTTAGCTCACCCGATACTTCTGAATCTTCTTCTCCAATGATTTAGCCCCGTCAGCTGTACTTGATGTATCCTGTCGTGCGTTTGGCGTGGCAGCAACACCCATCACTTCATCCTGCAGTCGCCTTATTCGATCCTCGGGACTTTCCACCCATGATGAATCAGTCTTACTGGGAATGGACTTGGCCGATTTTCCCGTCTGGAATTTTCGACTTCGTAAATGGGTTGGATCGATTTTTGTCGCCCAGTCTGTCTGTGCCGGTGGTTGTAGCATCCATTGATCCCGCCGACTCTCCTCCAAACCAGGGGAGGGTACTGATGGCTTGTAATTATTCACTGGTTCGACAGTGACGCCGTCTGCTGGAGGCAGGCTTGGACCAAAGTCATCTTCACTGTCACTCCCACTGGGTGTGCTGTCTCCAGATTGTGGGGGAAGAGCAGGTCCTATGACTCTCCGCTTATCAGGCAAGTTTGACGGGCCTGGGTTTGGAGAATCCTCGGGTGAATCGAGCTTGCGTTTTTCGCCCATATTTTATATGATGAATGAATATGCGAGGGGAATGGCTGGGAAGAAGAAGATTGATGGATGGGGTGTTATCTTATCGACTTCGGTACCCCATGAACGTCTTTCTTGATACCCAACTCCCACCAGGCACCTCACCCTCATCTTCATCCGTCCAAGGCCATATCGTGGTGAGGGTAGCCTGGTATGAATTATTTATTTGGCTGATCTCTTGATTGAATTCTTCACTGACATTGTTTTGTGTCCCACAGTGTTTTTGAGATTCCCCACCCCGCAATCGTGATATCGCTTTGACTTGATGCGATCCGAGGCGCCCTTGTGATAGCGCAGGACCCCACTCCCCAAAGATGCCATTCCTTGCCAGGCGATCGCTTTGTCGATAATTAGAGAGAGAGAGAGAGAGAGAGAGAGAGGAGAGGGGGGAGAGAGCGAGCGTGGTGAGGCCGTTGCATTGGGCTACGAGAACTGAGACCAAACATGCCTCAGCCAGAAAAGGCCCATCGCAACAACTCGGCAAACCCCTATGAACCGGCGGATCAGAGACCCCCAACATCAATACCTGCTGGCACAGATTCGCTCGATGACCAGGGTGCATTTGGATCGACAAACAGTGAGGTATCATCCACTCGGCCCCGAAGATTCCTGGCCGAGCCAATCGAGACTTCATCACGAAGCAAGACCCGCCAGGAAGCCACCGGCATAGCTGCAGACCGTGAACAAGATCCTGGTGACGTCTCCAAGAAACCAGCCAGGAGATTCTTGCCGGAGCCAATTGAAACAACCAATACTAATCATAAAAGAGCCGGTCCAGCTTTACACGAAAAGGCCACTGAGTCTCCTAGTGCCGCGCTAGCAGGCTCAAGAAGATTCAAACCCGACCTCATTGAAACCGAAACTCGCTCAGTCAGAAACAAGGAATGGGTTCAGCCAACCGGCCGCCAGAATCCATCAACATGTCTGGTAGATCACACGAACCCCGCACCGGGCATGGGCAGTTTAGCATCCCGACCAGATCCCAATAATACTCCAACTCTGCTCCCCGAATCGAGGTTTTCATACTCCAATCTCCTGCGTCGGCAAGAGGCTCGCAGGCAGTCATTTCGGGTTCCGGATCTCCCGCCAATTCCTTCCAACAGCAGCCAAGAATCGGATGATGCAGGGTCAGTATCGATGCTGGCCTCGCCACCCCGGTCTCCTGCTCAACCTCTAGCAGACCAGGATGTTGGGAGACCACTTCGTGAAAGCTGCGACGGGGACTTCTCGGAATACTTACTTTCGCTTGCTGCCCGCTCAGCGCAACAGCAGCTGAAGGAGCAAGCCCTGGCAGCCTTCCCCAACGAGCAAGTCTATCAACCTGTCGATCATTTCGCCATCGATGAAGAAGATAGCCCCAGAAATAACTATCATATCAAGTCTCGGAGGCAGTCTTCTGCAGATCTTTCCTGGGAGCTCGAATATATGCGCCAGCATAAAGAGGAGGCGGAAATGAGGCTGAGGGCCATGGTTGTATCCGGGAATCCAGGGTTCACGCCCAATCAAGTGATTGATGTCCATGGCAATGTTCTGCCTCGCAATCAGTCCGCGCAAAAGAAGAATGGCGCAAGTCCACCGATGCTCGGAGACGACATCGTTTTCCCCTTCAGCCTGTCTCCGACCGGGACAATATGTGACCACGCCCATGGAGAGAGCGGTTCTCAAACTGCTCGGGCAGGGCTTGATATGTCGTCTTGCACCGACTGTGGAAGCTTATGGTATGCAGCGCCTCGTCCAGAACGTGGGCGCGGGGCGGGTCTTTGGATGGGGACATGCCGCAAAGATGAAGACCGTGGACGACATGTTGCCCAAGCACCGCCTGGAATCATGACCCCGACAACTCGGCATCCAGTCGAGAAGAATTTGACTCTCGGCTTGTCTTGCTCTAATGCTCAATTGAATCGATTCACAACTTTACCGGACAACATAGGGTCTCGGCAGTCTGCAATTTCTCGACTCGAGAAAACAATCGCCGATGAACTTCACGACGGTTTTGTCACCCAGATCTACAATTACCTCTCCTTAGGCTATCCATGCCTTGCACGATATTATGATTACGAGCTCAGCAGAATCTCAGGCATTCCGATTGAGGATCTTCGACGGGATGACTTGTACGCAGATGCGAAAGGCTATGTCGTTGCTCCCGGGACTGAGGACCTTACCGGGGCCTGTGCCCGATGGAGGGCCCTGCGTTTATATATACATGAATGGGGACGACAACAACCCAGCATGGCGGGAGATGAACCCAATCTTGAAACGTGGGGGGTGCCTGAACGGAGAGGGAGCTGGGCAGGCTGAATGCTTTAATGATAATGATTGTGACTTTTTTTTGTGTTCTAGCTAGTGTTTAGGATATTGTTGTATGATGAGCCGATACTAGCATGCTTGGTGAGTAGGGAAACATGTGTCTTGTATAGCTCGTGTCTATAGAGATGGGAAAGGAGGAATCTTCAATGGCCGCTTTGATTTTCCTAAAGCTGTGCTTCATGATCAGGCTCTTCTCTAGACAGCTGAGACAGTGTACTGCCTTTTCGAACTCTCTCATGAACTATGCCCGGGAAGATCTTTTGCTCTGGCAAGCCACCCGGGCCTGTAACATCTGCCCCAAGAGTCGTATTACTGCCGGAAGGTGAAGAGAACTCGCCGGCTGCAAGATGAGGAGATCGAGCATTTTGTGCCGAGGGTGCACTGGGATTCGTGGCGGCCACCCGACTTGTAGCTTGCGATTTGGGTTGAGAAGTCTGCTCATCATCGGCTGACACGGCATTTGGTCTTTGATGCCAAGAGACCGATGATTGTTGAAGAGCTGGCTCGGGGAGAGCTGAAGGCCGAATGAGTAAATGAATTGGCCGGGTGGCAATGTCTTATCTGACAGGGGACGTACCATGATTCATGGAAGTTGTACTCCTTGGCTTCCTAGCGGCTTGCTTTGCTGTGTGAAGTAAGCCCGGGGCCAAGCCGTTCTTCTCGTCGGTAGCGCTGCTGCCAGTGTACCGCTCGATCCTACCGCGAAGAAGGCTATGATTTAGCACCAAATGATTTTCTTTCCATCAAGGATTACTCACAAGGCCAATTCTCCCAATAGTGTCTCATGTCGGAATGCCTCACGAATGTCTGGCACATTGCTCTTCGCCACATTATTGCCGGCAACCCCTCGCAGGGGGCAGTTCGGTCCAAGCCATCTCTGTTTCAAGGACAGCTCAAATCCGCTTTGATCGACGGAATGCTTGGCCAACTCACACATGTCCACCGCACTGAATTTGTAGATCTGCGCGGCCACCGAGTACTCCTCGATCAGGGGCTCTTTGGTGAAGGCAAATTGCAACGGGTCGTCAGTTGACAGCGAGACATTGAGCCCTCGTTTGAAGAAACTGGCGCATGGATTTTTATCATAGGTGAGAAACAACGCATTGTTACTCAGGGGCGACATGGCAAGCCCAATTTGATCCAGGTAATACAGATACTGCAGTAGAGGTACTTTGCGCAGCAAAATGCCATGGCTGATGCTATGGCAGCAGAGGAAGCCCACGGCCAAGTGATCTGGATCCCCTGCTTCGCCGCAATGGGGACGAAGGACAAATGTGTTGAAGCCACGACGTTTGCGCCAGTTGTTGAGAGAGGCAATGTTGGCGAACATGAAATAAACCCAATAGCTGTAGGGCGGGTTTTGCTTGGTATCCCATTCTCGTGGGATGGGGTATTTTCTGTAGAACCGGCGTTCGGTCTTGCTCTCATCGTCGACACTATCGAAGCCAACCACCCGCTGTAGGAATACGTGGAGTTTGGGATGACTGGACGGGTCCTTGGTCACCTCAAACAAGGGCTGGAACACATTCGTAATCACCTGCTCAAAGTTCTCCATCATGCCGCTAGATTTGTACACATCGTATAGACGCGGAACCTGGATGAGCCAGCGCACATTGGGGGAGAACAGCTTGTTGTCCACTACCCAAGCCGCCAGTTTGTCCCATTCTTGGATGGACCGTCCGTAGATGGAAATCCGCCACTCGACCATTTGGTACTTGCTAGATTCTAAGTCCGAGATGACTTCCTTGGTGATTTCGGCCAGGTAGCGACCTTTGATATAATTGTCTGTTTTCAGAAAGATTTCTCGAAGCCGGGACTCCCCAACCGGGTTATATTTGAGATTGAACTTGTCGAATCGATGGAAAGAATCGGTGTGTGCCTGTTAATCAATTAACATTGGGTGTCAAAAGAGGAGCAGTAGAGGGGGAAAGAGAGACATACGTGCATGTCCAATGTATCGATGCTGAGATCATAAGCAGTGAGGTTGATACTCTCGAAAACCTCTCGCAAGGTTAAATGTTTTCCATCTCGAAAGAGAACCACTTCGTCAGGAGATTTTCTCATTTTGCTTTTGATAAAGCGAAGAAGATGTTTTTGGTTCATGCAGGCCGAGTGGTGGACGTGGGTGTCCACTTTGCGCACATTGTAAAAGTCTCGGTGAGGCACTTTCTTGCTGTCGGCAATCTCCTGGTATTCGTTCAACAAGGTGTACAATTGAAACTTGCCTTCCAGGTACGACAAGCGTTTGAAGGCAAAGCTCTTTGCAGGCCCGTCGGTCGACAAATCCACCACCGCATCCAAGTCCATATAGAAATCGCGCAGGGAAGGGATTCGGACGATGGGCTCCTGGTTGTTGGCAGCAGTCTCTGAATCAAAGACCTGAAATACACTACTGCCATCCAGCCGATACGTCCAGGAGGATTCTTCAGGAAGAGGCATCAGTTCGGTCATGTCAAAATCTTCCCCAATGTCTTGCCCCATCTTCCTCTTCTTTCCCGCGAGATCAGATGGGCCACCAACCGTGCCGGGCTGATATTCCTTGCCATCATCCCAAGCCGGTTCTGGAGGAGGGGGGTAGATGTCCCACTCGGGATGGTCCCTTGGATCGTCACCGGGTTTCTGGACTGACAGCTCCAGGTACGTCGATCGTCGGTCCAGAAGATTTTTGATCTTGCGGTAGATGGCACTCAACTCGGAGGTGACGGCATCGCTGCCAGATGGAAAACCATTGGCACCCTGGGCCATACCATTTCCCATACTGGCACTCTGTAGTTCCTCGGGTGTCGACAAGTACGGTCCCTGTCCATGAGCGGCCCGGAGAGGCACGGCCTGACCTTGGGCAGAATGACTTGCATCTTGAACAACCTCAACAGGGGGCGCTAAGAAAGCATTGTTTCCGTTCAGAGATCGTAAATGCAAAGTTGATGGGTCTGACTCAAGCGTTGAACCCTCCTGAGAGGTGGCGCCCTTCGTGGTCATCTGAGGACTGGAATCTGAGGCGTAGCCCGGCAATTCCATTTCACCACCAGAGCGCGCCGCTGGCATCGAGTTTGAAGACAAGGTATTGTCGGCGTTTCGCGACGCGAGCTGGTGGTGCTGATAGAAGAGCTTCGCCTCAGCGTGGCTCATGGACTTCTCAAAGGCATAGTCGTAGGTGGCAGTCTTTTGTTGTTGATCTCTAGGCAGAATGTCATGTGTACCATTCTCAGGCCCAGAGGAGTTTGCCAACCGCTCGGGGCTCATGGACTGGGGGGGTCATCGTTGGAAATCGCAGATGTGTTGGCATTCGGATTGAGACCGAGATTGTCGGAATGGTGAGACCCCATGACTTCAGAGAGGATGTGCCTATTTATTTATATTTTTGTTTTCGTGCAGTCCACTCTGGTTGTCTCTGATCCAAGAGTGACTCGAACGGCGATAACAACTTGGTGGAGGGGTAAGAGGCACACGAGGGCAGGGAAACGCAAGGAACGGTGCTCTGGAAATCGATTTATTGGCCCATGGTAGAAACAGGAGACCCAGAAGAGGTCACACAGGGAGGTTTGGGTAGAGACAATGTGCTATATCATATATATCCTGGGAAGAAAGATATCTACTGGAAATCTTTTTTAAACCCGTGATCCGCGGTGACTCGAATGGGGCATCCAAGTGGACGCGCCCGGTATGTACCTGTATGGTACATCGACGGGGCGCAGCACCAATACCATCCACTCTCGTACCGCCGAGGTACCCGCCCAGGCGACCATAATTATGACGGGCAATCAACCTTCTGGCCATCATCTGTCATCCTCAAACTGTCCACAGTCTCCGTGATTCTCTCTCTCTCTCTCCCTCTCTCTCCCTCTTCACCCTTCAGATCCCACCTTGAGGGGTCTCGTTTCGTCTTTTGTCATTTAAATCATTGCCCCTAGGTTGTGTTTACTCCCCTACCCACCATACCTAGGTATACGTCAACCCCATCTCCCGTCTCCCCCCAACTGAACCTCATACCTTTGCCACGCATAGCAACCCCACCGCCCAACCCTCGAGGTACCGCAGCATTGCGAGTCTCAGGCTTGTGATATTTACATGTTTCACTGACACTATGTGCGTTAAACACAGTTTCTATACCCCTCCACACGTGGTTATATCCGAACTCGCCCCCATCCTCTCCCCAGCTCCCCCTCCCGCCCCATTCGCCAGAAGTTATGGCATCCCTCAATCTTTCGTCCAACGGCCCCTCGATATCGAAAAGCTACCAGGCAGTTGTGAACTCTTCACTTCCATCTGGAAGTGCTGGTTCCCCTACCTATGCTCAATGGGCTGTCTTCTCGGTGTCTGCCCCGCTTGTTAATGCCTTCCAGCAAGATGCCGGTAACAAAGAAAGTGTGCTCAAGGTTCAAACGACGGGAGGTTAGTAATTATTACAAAACTCCTCAAATGCTTTTTACCTGACATCCCTTGAACTTGCCAGATGGTGAATTGGTGGATCTCATCGACGAGTTCTCCGAAGGGAAGGTGCAGTTTGCCTATGTGAAGGTGACAGATCCCAACACGAGCTTGCCCAAAAACGTCCTTATCGCGTGGTGTGGTGAGGGCGTGCCCGAGAGGACAAAGGGATACTTTACTAGCCACCTCTCCGTCGTATCCAAATTTCTACATGTGAGAGGCGTCTTTTCAGAAACCCCCTTCCCTTACCCGTAAGCAAGACTGATCCTTTTCAATAATATAGGGCTATCATGTCCAGATTACTGCCCGTGCCGATGGAGATCTGTCTCCCGAGGGTATCATTCAGAGAGTTGCTGATGCCTCCGGATCCAAATACTCGTCTGCCGAGTCTCCTGCTCCTGTCTCTGTGTCTGCCCCTCGGCCTGCGGTCGCAAGCAAGCCCGTTTTTACTCCGATCAGAACTGGCGGAATTAGTTCGAGCCCAGCTCCGACTGTTCCCAGGCAACCTACATCTTCTGCCTTGGATGATGATGGCTGGGGCCCCGATGCGCCTCCGGTGACCCGAACCCAACTGGAAAAAGTCCAACCCGCTTATAAACCCACCAAAGTCAACCTGCAGGATCTCAAAGCTGCGAATACTTCCTCGACTAGCCGACAACCCGCTGCTCCCATGACTGAAGACCATAGCGATGTTGTGAAGGGTGGCTACCAGCCTGTTGGCAAGGTGGATATTGCCGCTATCAGGAAGCAGGCTGCGGAGTCCGGCCAGCTCAAAGATGATCGCCCGGCTCCTGTCAAAGGAGCCTATGAACCAGTCGGCAAAGTTGACATCTCGGCTATTCGCGCAAGGGCACAGAAGCCCGAGAGTGCGGGCAGTGGTGCTGTGGGTGAGGCACCCAACACTACAGTCAAGAATGAGCCCCCAACGGCACTGCCCGAGCGACCGGCGCCACATTCTGCAGAGCGTCTGACAAACCTGCCGAAACCAAAAGTTACAAAGAAGTTTGGTAGCGGTCCATCCTTCACCGGAACGAAACCCCCTGTTCCAGCTGCCCTCGGCCCCAAGCCGACCTCTGCGGCAGCTCCGATAGGCACTGCAAGCCGAACGTTCGCCGACGAGGGCGGGAAGACACCTGCCCAATTGTGGGCCGAACGCAAAGCCAAAGAGCGTGGGGAGGCTCCGTCGGGAGGCGCTGCGCCTCCCCCGATCCAGAGCCAGACTAGCGGTCAAGGAGAATGGAAGAGCTCTTACGCTGGCAAGACTTGGGCTCCGGTTCATACCAAATACGATCAATCCACCGAGTCTCAAACTGTGGATGCCAAGGCCACTGATTTCGAAGACGCAGAACCCCAGGGCTCTCAACCCAATGTCCGAGGTATTCGCGATCAGTTCACCCACGATACTTCTGCGCTTTCTCCTCCGCCAGTTCCCCAGGCCAGCCGTCCGGTCCCCGTTCCTGATCTGCCCGCTGGGCCCACGGAGCCCGAGGCTGCACCCGAGTCTCAGCAGGTTCTCCCGGACCCGCCGCAGCAGCCTCGCTCTCCTACGCCTCCTACACCTCCGGTCCGGGAGAGCTCGCCTATTCGAGTGGCCATGCCCGTTGGCCGCAGCGTCGCGGATGCTCACGAAGAGCAACATGCTCCACCCCCGTCAATGCCCGTTCAAAGCCTCCAGGAGGCTGTGCCCGACGAAAGGGACATTGAGGACAGTGCGCATGACATCGGCCGTGCTGCAGCTGAGGCTACCGTTCCTGACCAACAGCCCGGTGGAATACGGGCCCTGGTTCAGTATGACTATGAGAAAGCCGAGGACAATGAGATTGATCTGAGAGAAGGAGACTATGTGACTGAGATTGAAATGGTGGACAGAGATTGGTGGCTAGGCGTCAATGCTCAAGGGGAGCGGGGCCTTTTCCCCGGCAACTATGTCGAGGTCGTGGAGGAGCAATCTGCACCACACGCGCCGGTCGAGACGCATGAACCCGAGCCCGTGCCGGAGCCCACACCCCAACCTTCGGCCGCTGCTCCCCCAAGCTCTCAAGGGCCAACTGCCACGGCTTTGTATGACTACGAGGCTGCTGAGGACAACGAGATCAGCTTCCCCGAGGGCGTCCAGATTGTGAACGTTGTAAGTGTAGCTTTTCCACCCCATTCCTTTGTAATATGCAGCTAAAGGACTTGTTCTCCAGGAATTCCCCGACGATGACTGGTGGCTAGGAGAGTATAAGGGGGCACGAGGACTGTTCCCCGCCAACTATGTGCAGTTGGATGCGTGAGGATGCGGACAGCACGAAGATCACATGGCGTAGGCCAAAAATTGCGTGTAAATAAGCTCGAGTCTTAGTACCCAACCGAAGAAAGCTCCCGAGCTAGTGAGAACAGAATTCTGTCTAGACTTCAGTCAATGTGTATTCATGCACGTGTACTATGGAGGGCTCAAGCTCCCCACGGTCCTTTGCGCAGGTGACATCATCCATGTATTTTACATAAGCCATTAGCTCAGCATCACGTGCCATAAACAACCGTGGAAGGCGCCGCTCGGCCCAGGTGGCTTTTGCACGCGGCTCCTTGAACGGCTGGCCTTCTTTCCCCTCTCTGGTTCTGACCCCGGAGTATTACTGCCACTTTTCGGGAGCCTGTCGGCTTCATCTTCTGATCATGGCATCTTTGGGTGAGGACCTGCTTGTGACGGTGAACAAGTTGCAGGACTTGGTGTTCAATACCATTGGGAACGACTCTCTTGATCTTCCCCAGATTGTGCGTCTTCCCGAATAGATCTTCTGAGATGCGCGAGGCCATTCCGTTCGCCTGGAAGCTTACGTTACTAGGTTGTTGTCGGGTCCCAATCGTCCGGCAAGTCGTCGGTATTGGAGAATGTCGTCGGCCGGGATTTTCTACCGCGAGGCAGTGGCATTGTCACTAGACGACCCTTGATTCTGCAACTGATCAATATACCCAGTGAACGCTCCGACAAGCCAGAATCGGACGAGGTCCACGTGCCGCATACGGCTGCCAGCGTTGCCGGCCAGCATGAATGGGCCGAATTCCACCATCTCCCAGGCCGCAAGTTCGATGACTTTGCGCTGGTGAAGCAAGAGATCGAAGCCGAGACAGCCAGGATAGCAGGTAGCAATAAGGGCATCAACCGACAACCTATCAATCTCAAGATCTTCTCGCCTCATGTCCTGAACTTGACGCTGGTGGACTTGCCCGGTTTGACCAAAGTGCCGATCGGCGACCAGCCGACCGATATCGAGAAACAGACGCGCACTCTGATTTTGGAATACATCGCCAAACCGAACAGCATAATTCTTGCGGTCTCCCCAGCCAACGTCGACCTGGTCAACTCCGAAGCACTGAAACTTGCACGCCAGGTGGATCCTATGGGTCGGAGGACGATTGGGGTCCTATCTAAGCTCGACCTTATGGATCATGGGACTAATGCGATGGACATTCTGTCCGGGCGTGTCTATCCTCTGAAGCTGGGGTTCATCGGCGTGGTCAACCGGTCGCAGCAAGACATCCAGTCTGGCAAATCTCTATCCGACGCTCTGCGAGGAGAGGCGGAGTTTTTCCGGCATCATCCTGCGTATCGAAACATGGCCACTCGGTGTGGAACACACTTTTTGGCCAAGACCTTGAACACTACCCTTATGTCGCATATTCGCGACCGGTTACCGGATATCAAGGCTCGTCTGAACACTTTGATGGGTCAGACGCAACAAGAATTGGCTAGCTATGGCAACAAGCAGTTTAGTGGCAAGGAACACCGCGGATCATTGATTTTGCAATTGATGACCAGATTCGCCTCTTCGTTCATCTCGTCGATTGACGGAACTTCTTCGGAGATCTCGACCAAGGAGCTCTGCGGAGGAGCGCGGATTTACTACATCTTCAACTCGGTTTTTGGCAATTCCCTCGAAACGGTCGACCCTACACAAAACTTGACCGTCTCCGACATCCGAACGGCCATTCGGAACTCGACGGGCCCCCGTCCGAGTCTGTTTGTCCCGGAGCTGGCCTTTGATCTGCTTGTCAAGCCTCAAATCAAACTGCTTGAGGCACCCAGTCAAAGATGCGTGGAATTGGTCTACGAGGAACTCATCAAGATCTGTCACACTTGCGGCTCACAAGAGCTCTTGCGGTTCCCCCGACTCCAAGGTAAACTCATCGAGGTCGTATCCGATCTGCTCCGCGAACGCCTGGGGCCCTGTTCAGGCTATGTGGAATCCTTGATCTCTATCCAGAGAGCCTACATCAATACCAACCACCCGAATTTCCTCGGCGCTGCCGCCGCGATGTCGTCCATCATCCAGAACAAACAGGAAGAAGAGAGGAAGGCTGTGTTGGCAGAGGAAAAGAAAAAACGCGAGAAGCGGCGCCTGAAGGAATTGGGCATGGTCAATGGCACGACTGCTCTTGATGAGGAAGAAGTGCATTCCGAATCCAAACAACAAAATCTCCCCATCCGAAGTCAGTCCACGAAGGGCGCCCGCAGCATGTCTCCTCATGTTGGTCGACCCGCAGAGAATGGCATTGCTGCGAGTCTGAACGGGGCACACTCGAACCATTCGGCCGCATTTGGTGCCTCCAATACCGCCCGCGATTCGTTTTTGAACTATTTCTTCGGCAAAGAAGGGGGTGCTCAACATGCGCCCCCTGCTCCGCAGAGTGGAATAAACGTATCCCGGCAAGGCCATGCAAGTGAACCTAGCATCAGCCAGAGTATTCGCCGTGCCGAGATGCGATCGCCTGTCATGCCCTCTGAAGAATATACCGCCCCGCCCGAGTACGGTGGTGACGTGTCTGTGTTTGTGAGTGTTTCCTCCATTTGCCCTCCGACATTTCGCTTCAGACCCTGGCTAATTCCCGCCATTCTTCTAGCCCCATGAAAATGCAGAGCCTGCTCTCACAGATCGTGAGATGCTCGAAACTGAACTCATTCGCCGCCTTATCTCCTCCTACTTCAACATCGTACGCGAGACCATTGCCGACCAGGTTCCCAAGGCCATCATGCATCTTCTGGTCAACCATAGCAAAGACGTCGTGCAGAATAGACTAGTCAGCGAACTCTACAAAGAGGATCTTTTCGGCGAGTTGCTCTATGAAGATGACGGTATCAAGGCCGAGAGGGAAAAGTGCGAGCGGTTGCTGGAGACATACAAAGAAGCCGCAAAGATTGTGGGCGAGGTGTTATAGAGGAGCCTCAAATATATGTTTTTTATGCTCCACGATTTCGGGACTGGAAAGATGTGTGATTTGTTGCAGTTATGTACAATTACTTGCTTGAATAACCCAGTTGCACATGATATTTGAGAAGGATATATACTAGGGAATTCTATTGTCCCCGTCCTGTAGCCGCAGGAAGGCATTCCTGCGATCGGACCCTCAAGGATCTCACCGAGCTTTTCTCGTAGAGAAATTCCTCAGGCGGGCACCTTCGAAGCCATACAAACCACCACCGACAAACACCAGAGCTGCGCCGACCAGCACACCCCAGGCCAAATGATTCCCAAATAGATAGATCGATAGGAGGAGAGAGACGAGTTTGCGGATATTCAAGACAATGGTGACTGTCAGCGACGAGGACTTGGCGGACAATAGGTGGACCCCGCGGATGCACAAATACTGAGTGAGAGCGTTCATCATCAGATACGCCACTTGGATCGGAAGCCGGCCCAGGGCAGATTGAATCGACGGATGATTCTGCACCAGTGCCAGCAACGGCAGAGTCGAGCGACTTGTTGAGGTCGATAGGAGTTCCGGCTGATCTGGCTGTCCAAGGGGAAGTTTGGAGAGGAGCGAGGGTGTCTCGGATACGCTTTGCCATTGAGAGGAAAGCTGGGAGCAGCTGGTTAAGAACAGAGGCAAAGAGAGCGTGTGCGAGTAAAACAAGGCCTCTTTCCAATGGTCTCTGCCGTAAGTGGCATACAGCCGGTCTGCGTAAATGCCCTGAAAGGCTGCCAGCACCATCGCCAACGCCAGAATGATGAACCCCGTCGCAGTGGTCGTCATGGCCACTCCCGTGCCCGCAGATGCCATCGAATGGCCCTTGGCCTGTGCATCCGCTAACGCGGCGGCGACCACGCCCAGGGTCAGCATGGCCACCGCAAGGACCTGGCCTCGGGAATACCGTTTGTTATTGAAAAGATATCCAACCACCATAGACGCCACAGGGCCACCGGACCGGAGGATGATATGGAGTGGCACCGAGATCTTGTATGCAAAGGCCCAATTGTTCAACACATTGACCGTTACAAAAAACGCGGTGTAGACCAGCCATGACCTAAGGGGAATGACCCGGGGGCTGAGGAAGAACGCTCGAGGGCCGGCGGAAAGGGACAGAAAGCTGGGTAAGGTAAAGGCTGCGCACAGCACGAATTGCGCGAAGGTAATCAGGGGACCTATAGCAACGCGATTAGGATCCCGGGGACCATGTTTCCATACAACATCATTCAGGATGGGTCCTTACCGGCCGTGGGCTGTTCTCTGGGATGGATGGTCAGTATAGAGGATCGGGAAACTGGACGATACTTGGGGGCAACAATCTTACTTGATGATCGCCTCGAGTGCAAAGACCTGCTCAAGTCAGTGGCGTCCCTCAAGACATCTTCCAGCCATGCACTCACATTGGCACAACAACCCCCAAAGATCAACGAGACCATTAAAACCACGGTGGTCCAACTGGGGACCGTCGCGTGCACCGCCGCTGCCACCAAGCCCGCATCCTTTCTCAATACATCGATCTTGGTGTCCTCGGACTTCCTTGGCAGACCAAGGGCGGGATAATTTCTAAAGTCCTGTAATTGATAGACCGCGTAGGCGTCGTGTCTGCGGGACGGGCCATTGTCATCCAGCATCCTCCCGGTGGGTGACTGAGGAAGAGAAGGTGTGGTGTTGGTGTCTCTCCCCGCCCAAGGCGACGTGGCCAAAGATAAGATGGGAGTGATCGGCGCACGTTACTTGGCAAATCAACTGGACTTGGAATGGTTGAAGGTTAAATGCATTTTGAGGCTACCTACAAGACACTAGTCCTACGTGTTTCAGTCCACAATATCATCGTCGCTAAGAATCAGCTTCTCTTCCTCTTGCATCCGAGGCCCAAACGCATTGCTCCTGTGATGGGGCATCTGGGGCTGTGGTAGGTCCTCCAGCTCGTCGATGCCCTCATCACGAAGGTTGTCACTGGTCCGAATATTCGTAATCTTATCCAATTGCCAGCTCTCTGGCCCATGGCGCTGGATTTGGGCCATGTAAGGCAGCTGATGGAGCAGTAGATCATGTCGCGACATCATGGTCACGACCGTCGAGTGCGGATCGCTGACCCCGGGCTTACCAAACGAACCGAACCGGTGGCTTTTCCACGATTTGACACCTGCGAGTTCGGTTGTAGATATTGTGTCATGCGGCGGACTGAAGGGATCGAGCAGTAGCCTCGACCACGAATCGATCAGGCCGTCGATTTCCTCCGACTCTCGCCATAAGCGCAAGGACGACGGATAAAACATCTTGTATGCGTCCCCGGCGCGGCTTCGTCCACCTTCAGGGCTCAACCGTCTCTTGACTGGGTAAGGCAGGGCGAAAAGAAGCCCGCGGGATGCCACTTGGAAGCAGGTTTCCTCCTGTCGCAGCACGTCAACTCCTCCGTTGACAGAGGTCACCCCAATTCCGATTCCGTCCCGCGCAGCATGCGTAGGTCTGCGATCGGCGCTGAGAATATCGCTGTCGGAGAGCGCCTCGATGCATCCGTTGAGGTAATCGGTGAAAGAAGCTCCATCACACGACGGAGGGTAGTTCTCATGCAGGGCGCTGATAAAAGTTGCGATATCGGTTCCGGTCTCATCGACCAGCTCATTCACTGCCACCTGCGAAATTTTCGGTCGCCGATGGTGGTGAAGGTGATCTGGGGGCGAGAGCGGAAGAATCTCGTTTGGCACCAGACTTGCATCCAGCCGCTTGTTGTAGACGACCTTTCCGACGGCGTGGAACATCCCAAGACTCGCCTCTCTCTGGGTGATCATTTTCAAAGACTCTTGCTCCATCGGCGTCAATGCCACATCTCGAGACTTCTTTGCTTTGGTAAACCTGCCTCCCCATTTCCCCACCGTATCCCCCTTTAGGCAGAGAAATTCAAGAGACGAGACTGCACTGCGGATGTCTCCAATTTCCGAAATCCGGTCCAGGACCCCTGGACCAGGTATATGGACACGTCTTGATGCTCGAGCCTCACGTTCGAGAATCAACCGTAGGGCCTTCAGCATAAATGTGGGTGCAATGCTATTGAAGTCGATCATTGTTGTCATGGGGTGATTATACAGGCTTGGCCCAAGCAACCTATGCACCGTCAAGTTGTCTGAAATCGACGATGCCGAGCTGAGCAGGGTCTCGGACACGACGATCACGACGGGTGGACCGGGTGACGCAGCAAGGTAACGCTGAAGTGAAGCTCTGAAGGCTGTGAGGCTGGATGATGCGCGGTTCAGTGCGGCGGGGAACTCCTCAATTAGGAGAATGCGGTAGCGAGAATGTGAGTCGCGTTCCCCAGTATTCGGATCAACGCTGGTAATATATTCAAGATCTAGTCCTCCAAACTGATCGCCGCGTCCTAGAAATTCCTCGAACTGGGCGCTAACGGGCATGTAATCCCGGGCTGTAAATTCGGACACCGGAGGGTTCTTCCACTCGACAATGTCGAATCCAAGTGATTCTGAAAGCAGCGTTATAGTCGTCGTCTTTCCACTCCCCGCGGGGCCTCGTAGGACGAGTAGCCTCTGGTCTCGTCAGTGGATCTTCAAACCCTCTCCCGTCCCCCCCAAGGGCTAGAATTAAGTACGACACTCACCTCATTTCGTCTTCCCGCAAAAGCGTCTTCCAGCCAATTTTGCACATCGGAGACCTTTTTCTTGTGAACGGCCAACTCGTCCAGATTCGACGGCGCGAACCGTTGCGACCACGGAAGTTGGTCCAAATCCCTTGAGCGAGCTGCACTGGGTTGAGTGGCAGTACTTCGATCAGAGTCGGGCAAGACAAATCGTTTGGAGTGATGAGTCTTTTTCCGTGGATTAGCTGTCTGTTTTGACCCGATCCGACGCTCCTGAGTGGAATTGGCGTCGTCTGTCACACCCGCCGGCCGCCCCACCATATGCTGAGTAAAGATTTCATCGTAGGAGTCATAGTCGTCCTCAATGGCATCATCCTCAAGAGCGGCCTCTGTTACCGAGCCGAGTGCTGGGGCCTCGAACTTTTGCGAGGACCATCGTTGCCCGTCCGTAGCCGGCTGGAAAAAGTTGTGTAACGACTTGGATTGGGTCTGTTTGGGCGAGGTTCCGGACTTTTTCGTAGGCGATGGGGAGGACGAGGGAACGCGAGTTGACGGAGCTGAGGCCGAAGGTCGCGAGCGAGCTTTGGGACGCGATGAAAGAGCGAACGGTTTGATGTTGGCCGGGCGTGAATTCCCCGATGCGCCTTGCGATTCACTTTCTGAACAACCTGATCTGCGCTGTCTCTTGGAGGGACGGCCGTCCATCATGGGACATGGTCAAAAGTCATACGTGCTGGAGGGGTGGAAGTGAGAAAGACGCGATAAGCCTATGACGCCAAGCATGGGGGATCCACCCTCGACGGCAGCGAAGGAGCTTCATAGGAGACAAGTCCAACAACAACACAACCAAAAGAAAAAAAAAAGGCCAGGAGAAGACTGTTCTCGGGGTAGTAAATACAATAACTACATCTAGAAGCACAACACGTTCAATGGAACTCGATACATATCACACAACCGGTCACAATGGGTATATCTGTATATATTTGACAGTTTCATGTCGACCGGAAAACAAAGACAATCAACGGACAGCTGGACTTTCACGCCCACTTAAGCGCCTCCAAAAACATCATAGAAGTAATCCTCATCCAGGCCATGGCGCGAGGGAACTGGAGGGGCCTCGCCCGCGAACGTAGCATCGTCAAACCGTACGTTGAGCAGACGGATCTTCAGTCCATAGTTGCTGACAAGGTCAATCAACTTAGTCGTCTCTGCCGTGATCGGCTGCTGGTTAAGCAGCATAAGCAGACCATCTAACCATTCAGAGGCAACACTGTGGGACGAAGGGCGCAGCGTGAGGAGAACAACCTCCTTCTGGGTGGTCCTGCTGCCCGACCGGACATGACCATGGCCTTTTGTATGGCCTGTGGCACCCGAAGACGCGTAGCCGTGGATGGTGATCTTGGTGGAGGGTTGACGAGGTGCGGTCTTGACGGTGGATGAAGAGGAATGATCGGGGGCGGTAGAGACATTGGAGACCACGGATGAAACGATGGAGAGATCGACTACCCACGAGATTAGCACCGCAAGAGAAACAAAAAGACGGGAGAGGGCGCCTTACTTTTTCTGGTAGAGTGTCGAGCTCTGGCGCTCGGTTGCCTATGGAATCAAACTTCCCAAAGTGCAAATATCGTCGATTATGCGACAGCTGCACATATTGGTGTGACGCGGTGGATTTTTCTGGGCCTGATTCTGACCGCGAATTTACATCTAGAGGAAACCAGACGCCTTGCAACAAGCATCGGATCCTCTGTTCTTTCACGAATTGAAGAGCCTCGTGGTGGAGTTCCTCACGCACCTGTCGCAAGTGCTGGCCCCAAGCGTCTTCATAGGTGAGTTCCAGCAGCTCCATCTGAAGCTCACGCAAACGATGATACTCAAAGTCGGCCAGTTCTTCCTCTACATCCTGGACGTCCTTGGTTCGGGCTGCTCCCCCAACCACCGACTCAACCAGAATGCGGACAAGCTCCACGATTTTGTCGAGATCCTCTGTCTCTGCAGCGGTGGCTTTCCACAGGCGGAAGAAAGCCTGCAGCCCGGCCACATGCAATCGGGTCCAGTGTAGTAACAGGGGCCTGAACAATCGGTCCAGACTGGAGCGAGATTCCATCATAAGGTAGCTTTTTGAGTCCTCCAGCTCGGACTTGTCTACTTCGAAATGTTCGTATAAGATGGCCGTCACCGCCAAGGATGCTCGAGCAATGGGACACCGCTGGCGGGATGGCTTGGTGGACTGCTCCAGGAGCATTTTCTGGAACTCATCCTGATGACTGCGCACATAATCGGCCAAATCCATCATCCCCAAGAATCCCACCTCGTAAAATTCCATAGTCGGACTCTCCGATTCAAATCCAAGGCGTTTCCATCTGTCTGGGTGGTGGCGCTTGGACCGCCGAGTCTCGTCGTCATTGTCGGCCTCACCAGGGCTCTTCTCGGGGAGGCTGGCCAGGTAAATTCCTTTCAACGCTCGTCGGTGCTCTGGCTTCTCTTGTGACATGAGAATATCTCGCCACTTCCGGAGCAGAACCTTGGTGAGAGCTTGAAATTCGAGTAAAGGATGCGCGAGGTCTTGCAGGGCGGAATCTTGCATGAGGACATAGACCGCGCGGATCACGCCCAAGTCTTGTAGTTTTTGGATAAATTTGGGCCACTCCGCCTCGGAGTCGTGGGTGATAGAATCTCGCATGAGCGAGTTGATTAATTGAAGGGCATTGGCGCATAGGGCGTGGTCTGCAGAGGATAGTCGACTAACGAGCATCTCCAAAAATTGTGGGTAGATGGCAATCGCGGGCTTCAGCGCGCGGAAACCAAACAGGTCGGCCTGCGACAAGCGGCTGCCGGTGCTCGGGTGGGAGACGATCGAGACGAGAATCGACATGGCCCCCCGAAGAATATTGACCAGCGGATGAGTGACGATCAACTCAACAATCTGAGACATATCCGAGATAATGGTCAGCGCACACAGTTCAAATACAGGGAAGTGAGACGCTTGGATCGAGGCTCACATACTCGTTGGACCAGCTCCTGATCGACACAATCCCATCCTTTGTCGACGTCGAGGAGTCGCGCGAAACTGGTGAGACTGTATGCCAGGGTGTTCCCGCTCGCGTGGAGGGTCAGATACCGCAGTCGGGTCAATCCTCCGTCGGTGATGAAGAGGTCCGCGAAGGAGGGGTCACCGATGCTATTCTGGAGCTTGAAGACCGCCATCTTGCGCACCGCATCTTCATCGCTCCCCAGTCGCTCCACCAACTCCGCGACGTTGACGTTCTCCATGATGCCGGAGGTGCTCCGTATTGCAAAGGCGTGGAGACTCAGACCAGCATGGATGGAGTAGAAGAAAAGAAAAGACCAGAAAAGAAAGTAAAAGGAGAGCAACGAAATGAGGGCCCAAGCCAAGGCCGAGAGAAAGTTGAGATGAATCGGGATCAGGGGGCCTGTGGGGCATTTTGGGATCTGAACTAAGGAGAATCTCCGAACTACACGGGCGCATCTCAAATCCATCAAGACATTATGTGTATATATTACTCTGTTTTGTGAGTGCTAATTCAAGGCACTCTTCAAGTGACTCCATACATTTCCCCCCCGGGGAATCTATACAGTCAACTCCCTCCATGCCTTCCCAAAAAAAAAAAAACACCCAAAAAACGCCGCTCCCAGTCGTCAATATGTACTGACGGGCTCGCCGTCGCAGATGGGTTGAGACCCAGTTACCGTCGCCAGCCTACATTCCAAATGACATGAGCAATGTCTCGGGCGGTGTTCACCGTGTCGACGACTCGGCCCAGGATGCCGTTATTGGCGGGTTCGCCGTCTTCATATGGCATGATCATGCCAGAAGCCGTCAGTCGAAGCGAACGATTCGAGGCCAGCTCGTTTTCTTCAAACCTCGACCAATCTCGATCAGACGGGCTCGGGAATTCGAGCCCGTCATCGTCCTCGTCCAGGAGAAAATTGGCCGATGGTTGTGATGGTCGCAGAGTCTCGACTGACGGGGACGGCGATAATGTGGATGGGAAGATGGACCATCGATCGAGTACTGACTCGGCGGGGGGCTCGGGTGTGTCTCCCCGGTATTTCAGGGTTGTGGGTGGCAGAGGAGCAATGGTTTTCCCGTCGCCACTGAAGCTATTGCGAGGCGTACTCCGGTTGCTCACCGAGGCTTGGGTCGGAATCTGGCTCATCATGACTACGCCGTCATCTGATGACGAGTCATCAAAAGTCGGCCAGTCTTGCTCGTCGCCATCCTTGGCTTCGACGGCAATACATTGTACCACCTCGTTATTAAAATGAATATGCCGTCGCTCACTCGGCGAAGTTACCCCAGAGGACGAGGTCGTGGTGAGGGTGCCGTCGAGCGAATATGTGGAGCTCCCAGTCCGATGATGAAAGTGATCTGGGTCTGTATTGGTCCGAGGAAAGGACGGTCGAGCCCAGCCATTATTCTCCGCCTCCTGGGCCTTGAGAATGGCTCCTGCATGCTGCAGAAGTGTGTGCTGAGAGAGCGACTGTTGCAGGATCGTCTCCGAGGCGGTTTTCTTTTTGAGGATTGGTTTGGGATCTAAATAGGAATTGGGGGTCTCGAGGCGACTGGGTGGCGGCGATACATCCGACGCGTAGTCGCCGGCAGTTTTCAGTGGACCGTAGAGCCACGTTACATCGCAGTCCTTGAGCCTAGAGACACAATTAGCATCCTTTGCACTGGGAATGGCGACGAATCACAAGCAAGAAAGAGAGAGAGAGAGAGCGGAAAGACTCACCAGTTGAGGGTCTCGGGCGAGATGGTCCCAAGATTATTCTTCGCCTTGGCCCATGTTCGCCATGAAGCATTTTCCAGCCGCACCCCATTGCTGTAGATGTTTTTGCGGGTGGTCACATAGCGCCATGAGGCCCAAATATCCTCCTCTCTCCAGTCGTGCGCGAGATAATCCACGTGTCGAGATGGTTCCACCTCGATGGCCGTGTCATCCGCCGCAGGGGCTTGTATGGCGCAGACCGGGGTCGCGGACACTTCAGCCGACGCGCGCTTCACATCTTCTCGTTCCTTGGACTCCGTGCGAGCTCCCGGTTCAGTATCGTAAGAGGGCAGGAGCAGTTCATCGTCTTCCAACGAGAGGCTGCTTAGAGTGGCGGGGGAGTAGGATAGCTGTTCCGGAGCGGACGGAGTGAAGCTCGGGGATGGCGGGATGGAGGAGAGGGTTGACGCAGTGGGACTCGGGCACTCCCTGGTCGGGTAGTCATCTTTCATGGATGATTTGGTCACAATGTCGTGATCCAAGAAATACCGTTGCGCAGTCGGGCTCCGCAGAAGATCGGGGGAAAAATGCGAATGCTCGTCGCGGGGAGCCGCAAGCGCCGCTGTCATGTCCGTGGCCAGCACACCCAGTGGGGGATTGGGAAGATAGGAAATGGGGAACGAGAGCGATGATTGATTTCGCAAGACTCGCGCCACAGAGGAACTGAAGGAAAGGGAGATGACGTTTGCGGAAAAAGGCGGGGAGGACGGGCAAAGGCCCCAAACAACCTCGGAAGATCAGAGGGGGATGACGAGGGCCATTGGTAGAAGAATATCAGAATATATTTAATCGAATGAATCGTCCAAGAAGCGAAGATGAAGAGAGAGTAACAGAGGGGGGTAAGCAATGGGAGAAGAGCGATAGAAAATCAGCGAAAATCGCAGGAAACCAGTAAATATAGAGAAATACAGCAATCCACACTGCAGTACCGTCAAACCAAAAAAAAAAAAAAAACAAGGAATCGCCACCGGATCGAAGATTTCCGGGTTGAATCTGGAGAAGAGGGAGAAGGGGACGTGCGACTTGCTCTGACCATCCGAAAACCAGCCATTCCAGCCGACGTGCAGAGTACATTTTGTCTGTGCGCTTGCAGAGAAATCACGGCATCACTGCATACGAAGCCGTTCAGGCCCTTTGGCATCTAGAACGTTGCCAGATCCACAGGACTCGATGTCCCCGGAGGTGCCGGAGATATATACGTAGTATACATATGGGGGTAGATATACACACATATCTACATATCTATATAGATAGATATATGTGTATATAATCTTTGCCTGCATTCACCAAGATAAGAACAGAAAGAGAAAGACAATCTGGAGTCCCCCTCTTTCTGCTATCTTATCACTTCTCAACGGTGCGGATCTATCAACCGGGCGCCAATTGGCGTCCAAGGTGTCTATCGTGTTTCATGGGGGTGCAGATGCCAATGGACAACCCCCCCCGGTTCAAAGAGTCTGGATTGCATCGCAGATCACGATGGATGTGTGGCCCCCTCCTTCCGAGATGGGGAATTGGGGGGTTACACACAGGAAGACCCACGGATAGAATTGATAACTCAATGAACCAGAGAAAGTGACAGAGATGGACACAGAGATAGATAGACAGCAAAAGAGAGAGAAAGAGAGAGAGAGAGAGAGAGAGAAGAAGAAGAAGAACAGAGTCCTCGTATCACATGATCTTCCCGAAATGGCCTAGCGGCATCCATAACCCCTCCAAGCGGTGATCTTCTCGCTCGAGCTGGTTCAGTATTGACATCGCCAAAACTCCCAGACGATGGCTGAGGTAGACCCAGGCGTCGAGTCACAGGCCAGGCATGTGGTCTACTGTGGAGGTGAGTACCCCTGGGGTGTCAATCCATCCATGGATGTGTGCTATCATTTGCTGACCATAGCGGCATCGGACTAGTGTGCTCACTGCCTCCTGAGGTATGATCTCCTCTCCGAGCCTCGCGTCCTTTTCTCCCCCCCTCTGCTGCTTTTGAACAGACTGTGCAGGATAGTCCCTTCTCGTTCTCAATTAATGAACTAACTCGACCCCAGTACTGTGAATTTGGGGGCACGGCCAAGAAGTGTGAAGAGTGGCTGAAGGATCATCAATCCGATCTATGGGACCAGTTATACTCCGGAGGTATTTATTCCCTTTGCATAGGCAAGAGTTGTCGAAACGAGGGCCGTTAACCATTTCGCCGCATAGATGCGTTGAATGCCAACTTGTCAACCCTGTCCGTCTCCGCCCAAGAGCGGGCCGCAAAGGACGCCGCCAAGAAAGAAGCCAAAGCAGCCCTGGTGGAGGCCCGTGATGCAGAGCGGAAGGCTGCATCGAGGATTCAGATTAAGCGGGTGGAACGGAACAAGCGCAAGCATGTCACCGTCATCACAGGACTGGAGGTTCATGGCTTAGAAAACAAAAAGCTCGCCAAGGAACTGGGCAAGAAATTCGCCACGGGTTCCTCGGTCACCAAATCCGCAGCCGGGGTCGAAGAGATCACCGTCCAAGGCGACGTGAGCGACGATGTGCGCGAATGGCTGCTGGAGGTCTATGGCAGCAAAGTCCCAGAGGCCAATATCGAATTGGTCGAGGACAAGAAGAAGAAGAGTGGGACTGGGGCGTAATGACGACAACGAAATCCATTGTGGACAGGGTATCATGGCATGACCGAATTAGAGGTACAACTGGGACAGACAAAAAGAAAACCAAAGATAACAAAACACCTCCCCTCTCCGAATCCTTGCAGCAAGCGCCGGTCCCGACGGAAATCGCATAGCGAGGGCTGCGTGGATCAAAGTGGTCGTTTCACAGTTCGTCAAACACCCTCAGAGGATCATGCTCCGTAGGCACGGCGCTGGCCCCAGTCTCGTCGAGCGTTGAGCTTGGTTGGGCCCGTTCCAAGCTTGCCCAGCGATCCGCAAGACTCGATGGATATTGAGAAGACCCGGCTTCAGCGTCATGGTGGTTGAGACCCAAAATCGACTCCCATACATCAGACGGGCTCCCCGCAGTTCGCCCGACCAGATCAGAGTCTGGGAATGATCGAATTGCGGGCCAATTCTGCACAACCACTGCCAGTACCAACACCAGGAGCGTGCCCGTGACGAAGGTCCAGAAAATACGGAGTCGGCGACTGATCCGCGTTTGCCACTCCGTCTCCCTTCTCTCCCAGCTATCAATCTCATGTCCGACAGCCTCGAGTCGATGCCCCAGGCCCTCTACTCGTTGCTTTCCCAGCTTCATTCGCGCCTCCAAGGCGTCCGCTTTTTCTCGGTGCGGTTCAAATCCTTTGAGGTCATTAATCTGTTTGCGAATCTCCTGGTCTAGCCCGGCGGTTTCGCGTTCAAAATCGGTAAGGAGTGTGGACGCGGAGTCCGAGAGCTCCTGGAATAACGTGATGGTCGAGTTGAGAGCCGTGATTTTCTCCAACAGATTGTAGTAGGTGTAATCGAGCCGGCGGGTGACGTCAGTTGCCAACGTTCCTAAGGAGGAGAGGGCAGAGCGTAGCGTCCTTGAATACGATTAGTTTGGGGTCATCCAGTGCCTGAAGTGACGAAAAGGAAGACGTACTCTTCGCCCTGTTTCCTCCGCTTCTTGACCTGCTCCAAGTCTGCCAGGGATCGTATCTCCTGCCGTCGAATCGGGCCGAGTCGCTCGTGTTGTTCTGGTGTATCAAGCAGGCTTCCCTTCCGGCTGCCCGTCCCCAAGCCGCTGGTCGAGTCCGATCCCCAGTGGGACCGAGTCGTCTCCCGCGTAATCGGTCTCAGCAGTCCATCGTCACCCTCGCGGTCTTTTTCCTTCCCACCAGACCAGGCCGGTAATAGCCCCCGGGCACTGGCAGAGGATGCGAGATTGCTCATGGGGCGTGGGAGACGGAGTTCGCGCGACTTGCTGTGTTTATGCCGGCGTGGTCTTGCCGCGTCGAATCCCAGTTCGATCAACGGTCGGGGAGGAGGCCGATGACGCGGAATGTCGCTTGGATGGTCCGTCGATGAGTCCTGCCCATTGAACCCATGGGATGCATGGAAATGCGTGCGTCCATCATGGAGCCCCGCAGACGATTGTTCGGTCGGTTCGTCACGGACCCCGGCGGTGGTTGAGCCATGGCTCAAAGGGAAAGTGGCGGATGCCGCGCGGGACGTGGAAAAGGGCGCGGGTTTGGGCAAGTCCATATCAGCACATTCTGGCTGGGGGTGCTATCTTCACTAGCGAGAAAGAGAGAGAGAGAGAGGACTTGAAGAGTGTGGAGATGGGACAGTCATGCCAAGCTGATGTGCGTCCGATCGTCCGCTACGTGAGAACAAGGAGGGACCTTACAATAAAACAAAGATTTAAGCCCTTTGGAAAAGATAGTCACATTTATCGATTTTGCTCGCTGTATCCAAAAAAAAAAAACACTCGGAAGAGAACAAGACAAAGAGAAAACACTCCAACGCCAGAATCAAGCCGCCATGCCTTACTAGGGTCTCATATCCACCGCAAAGTCTCCAAGACGAGCAAGATGAGGACAAGGACGAAGATGAAGAAGTATTTACAGACTGTCGACAGGGAGAACCATCATCTCATGAGTTAAGCAGCTTGTTGCGTTTCTCTCTGCGCTTCAAGCGCTCGACTCGCTTGTGGTGCATCTTCTCGGCCATCTTCTCGTATCGTGCCTTCTCCTCCTTGGCTGCTCGACGATCTTTAATGCGCTGGATATGGGACTGTAGGAGAAGAAGGTCCACAGTCAGTTTCGTCCGCGCATCTTCCTGAGTTCCTTCCTAAGAGCGACAAGAATGCGCTCCAATCTCGACTCACCTGCCGTTCTGCCTCCTTCTCCTTCTTCATCTCCCGCTCATGTTCCTTGACAGCCTCCTGGTGCTTGCGGGCCTCCTGTCTCTTCGCGTAAGAGCCGAGACCCGCACTGGGGCGGAAGGCCTTCTTCGAGGTGTGCCAGTTTTTGCCTATTCACGACGGGGTCAGTCGAGGGAACGCCAAGGTGGAGACTTGGTCTAAGTGAAAACCAACCATTTTTGCGCATGCCCTGGACGGGGGCAGCATCGGAAGACATGGTTTGGAGGGGAAGAAGAAGAGGAAGATCCGAGTGGCTGAGAAAGGATTTTTTTTCTTGCGATCGCAAGATTAGATTGATAATATCCGCCTTGGCACTTCTCCCGCCGCTAGCAGAACCTGCAACTCCATTTTGACTCCATTTTCATTTCATCGCTCCACTGGACTTCCCACTCTCTCTTGTTCTTCATTCGAATCGCGTTGCTCTCGTGGGGTTTTCTGTCTCTGCAGGTCTTGGCGACCCATTTGCTCTGCAAAAATCCCTCGTCTCACACCGCCCCGCGCAATCAAATCGCTCACGCCTTTTAAGAGCCCCCCTCTACGATGTTCCTTCGATAACCCCGCTGTTCTGGTCATATTTTTGTTTTCTGTCTGCGGACCGTTGGATGCTTGATGGCGGAGCATGCAATCATTAACGATGAGACATCGATGGAGCTCCCAGCCCTTCCACCCCATCAGGGGGTTGAGGCGATGAAGGATATTGTCTTTGGATCGGTAAGGGAACTTCTCGGCATATGCACATTGAGGTATGGGGAGATGGGGGCGTGGCTGACCGCACAACAGGCTGCGGGTATGGCAGGGAAGATCATTGAATATCCCTTCGACACTGTGAAAGTCCGACTGCAATCTCAACCAGAGCATGTTCCCCTTCGATATACGGGTCCACTGGACTGCTTCCGTCAATCCTTCCGGGCCGATGGCATCCGGGGCCTCTACCGAGGCATCAGTGCTCCCATGGCTGGGGCTGCCGTGGAAACCAGCTGTCTCTTCTTCAGCTACCGCATTATCCAGGATGTCCTGCGAGCAACCCTGTACTCGACCGAAGAATTGCCGTTCCCCGCCCTTGTGCTCAGTGGAGCAGCCTCCGGCTCATTGACCTCGCTGGCGCTCACGCCCATCGAGCTGATCAAATGCAAGATGCAGGTCCCCCTCGAGTCTGCCGGCCCCAAAGCCCCGGGTCCCTTGGTTCTCATTGCGTCCATTTTCCGCCAGGAAGGACTGTTGGGGTTCTGGCACGGTCAGCTGGGAACCCTCATTCGGGAAACGGGGGGCAGTGCAGCCTGGTTTGGTGGCTACGAGGGGGTGTCATCGCTCTTCCGCCAATACTCCGAGCCCCGGTCACAGTCCGCCTCGGAACCGCTCCCTGTCTACCAGCAAATGATTGCCGGGGCTACGGCCGGGATCAGCTATAACTTCTTGTTCTATCCCGCTGATACCATCAAATCCCGCATGCAAACCGAGGATCTCTCGCGGCTGCCGGCCAACGGGAGTCGGCAAAGCTTCTGGAACGTGGGGGCGGCGTTGTGGAAACAGCAGGGCTTGAAGGGCATGTATCGTGGGTGTGGGATCACCTGCGCGCGGTCAGCGCCTAGCTCTGCCTTCATTTTCTCCGTCTATGAAGGATTACGACACTATTTTGGATGAGCTCGTGTTTCGGTATATTTCACGCTTTGCACATAGACTTCGGTCATTTGTTCACATTTTCGGGTTTTAGGGGTTCAACAAGAATAGACCCTTGTTCATACACTTTTCCACTGCCTTTGGCGTCCTACAGTATATCCTCTCGTGGTATCAAGGACGCAGGCGAGCGTTTACAGGCTCGGCACCTCCCCTCTCGACTCTTCGCCACCTGCCGATCTACCAGTCACAATTCATGCAGTTCCCATAGTGGACCTGTCATAGGATGGGGTTCTCCAAGAGCACCTCACAAGTGTGCCATCTCAGCCAGAGATGGTCCTATGCTCTCTCAGATACTGTGATCTCTGAGACCCGGGCCAACCCTAGTCATGGGGATCGAGGCAGGCTCGGTTCATGTCTTTGCTTGTGGCATCAACATCGAGTTGGATAAAAAGCAGATTTCAAAAGGAGTATATAGAGATACAGAGAAACAGATATATATATCTTGTCATCCGAGGGTTTAAATCTCATTGGGTTGGTTCATGCCTTTCTGTCAGCGCCACAATGCTCATCCCTTGGTGGACCTCCCGGTCTGCAGCATCCAAAAAGTCCTTGACCGTCAACTTCAATCCTTTCTCACACAATAAATCCTCTTCATCCCCCAAGGTGCCCCGATGAAATGGCCCGTTCATTCCCCCGTTCAGTTCCCACACCGTTCCATCCTTCTTGACAAAAGCCACGAAATGAAATCGACACTCGTCTTGTGCGGATGGAACGACTGAGCACCCGCGCAATGCCGCATCCATGTGGGCCTCTTCTAGGAATGTGGACTCGTACAGCAGCTGTGCTCTCTGCGTGGGCATTAGCCCCGCCACACACTTTTGGAATGCGTCGAGCTCTGACCCAGGGGTGATATATCGCCCATCTTCCAGGTTGAGAACACAGTGCAAAAGCGCCATTAGACCACAGGAATGACGGATCGTCTGCTTGACCCAGAGGACCGGTGGCTCAGGACCAAATCCTCGGTACTCTTCGATCCCGGGTTCCACGGCAGAACGGGCTGCGTAGTAGATGGACTGATCACAGAGAAGGATGATGGCATGAACCGGACGAGGAATCTCGGTGAGCATGTCGGGGGCTGTCGAGACAACATCGTGGAAGTCAATGGTGGGTGCAACCCCCAGATTGTGGCAGAGATGGGACAACACCTCGGGGTTGTTTTCTGGCCGGCGTAAGCGGCGGCTATCTACAGCTGATGGAGAACTCACCCAGAGGGATGAAAGTCTTGCGGCCGTCGATGACCTGCACATGAGTCGACATCCTGCGAAATGTCTTGATGCTTGCTCGCAGGTGATTCTCTTCCCCACTTGAGTGTAATGAAAGACGAAGACTTGGGCTCAGGCACCCAGCTAAGGGGGGCCCAAAAATGACGGCGTAATATTCTCCCGACTGTTGGACCTCCCTGGCTGTAACCCGACTTGGCTCTCCCTACTTGCACGTTGGTCAATGCATTCACAGCAACAATTACTGCTCAGCTGGTTGATCAGTTCCACCGAGTCTCAGCCCTGTGGATCAAGGCCCGGATAGCTTTGACGAGCCTGCTAGGCAACAAACCTGGCTCCCATGGATATCGCGGTTGGCATTGGCCCAAAGTTCCACACGAGCGAGAATATAAACTGACCCATGGATTCATGTCAGTCTGGGACTACCGCATTCTTCCACATCTTGAACTATTTCCGCCTTCAACCTTGAACGTGTTAATCTCAACACAGCCAGGAAGGAAGATATCCTATGCTACCTGGCTATTTCCTATAATGACTACAACGGGCATCTCGGTGCTCGCATCTCTTCGATTTTCGTGATTCTCTTTGTGTAGTCTGCTTTCACGGTCTTTCCGGTGGTTTCTTAGCGCATGCCTGGATGGAAAATTCCGCATAGCGTATATATTTTTGCTCGGTACTTCGGTACGGGTGTCATCGTGTCCACGGCATTTATTCATCTGCTAGACCCGGCTTATAAGCGGATTGGTCCCAAGACCTGCGTTGGGGAATCGGGATACTGGGGCGAATTCTCGTGGTGTGCAGCAATTGTCCTAGCGTCGGTGGTTATTATCTTCCTTCTGGATCTCGCCGCCGAAGTCTATGTCGAGCACAAATATGGCATCCACAAAAATGAATCAGCCACAAACGCCTTGGTGAGCCACGGGCATTCCCTTGACGTGCAGCCGGCGCCGGTCACTTCTGCGGCCCGGGACGAGAAGCGAATCGACGCTTGGATGTCTGACGAGGACTCTATGACGATCGAGCGGTCCTTCCAGCAACAGATTTCCGCCTTTCTTCTCCTGGAGTTTGGGATCATCTTCCATTCCGTTATCATTGGTCTCAATTTCGGCGTCACTGGCTCCGAGTTTGCGACTCTTTACCCAGTACTGGTGTTCCACCAGTCATTCGAGCGACTTGGGATCGGGGCGCGGATGTCTGCCATCCCCTTTGGCCAGCACACCTGGCTCCCCTGGATATTGTGTGCCGCATACGGCCTGACGACTCCTGTCTCCATCGCCATTGGTCTCGGGGTGAGAACGACGTACAGTCCGAGGTCCAAGACGTCTTTGATTGTACAGGGGGTATTGAATGCCGTGTCCGCTGGCATCTTGATCTATAGCGGCTTGGTGGAATTGTTGGCCCGGGATTTCTTGTTTGACCCATGCCGCACCAAGCGCCGACCTAAACTCCTGTTTATGGTTTTGTGCACCTTGCTGGAGCCCGGGATCATGGCATTGATTGGGAAATGGGCGTAGGGCAGACTCGATGGTTGATCTGTGGCCGGGGAATCTGATGCTTAGGGGAAATGAGAAACATCTCGAGGTCAAAAAGACCTGATAAAAAAAGCAAAGAAAAACAAAAATGGAATATAGAAGTATAGAAAAAGAGGTGACTGCGGATATATAGGAGGCGTCAATTCTTTCTCCCTAATAAAAAGGCTCTGAAGCCCCAGAGTCAACTTATATTTAGTCCAGGGATAGCAGTCGTCCTGGATGTTCCATGGCATCTCATTCATATCTTGTTGGTTGACTCGATACATGATTCTACTGTATGTTCATGGATCGGATGCGGGTCTATCGATAGTGGCTTGTATATTATCAGCATCTTCACCCCCCGCTTATCACCTCCACCTTCTACCTTCTCCCACCATGTCTTCTAGCAGACCCCCTCTGACGGCCCAGGAGCTGGAGATCCTCTCCACCAAGGCCATTGCGGCCAAGGCCACCGCCTACTGTGCGTGCAACTATAGACCGAGGACGCAGACTATGCTGACTTTCCTTCCCCAGGTCCCTACTCCAAATTCCGCGTCGGTGCATGCGTCCTCACCGCGACGGGAGAGTTTGTCTCCGGTGCCAATGTAGAGAATGTCTCTTATCCGGTTGGAACATGTGCAGAGAGAGTAGCCTTTGGGACGGCTGTGGTAAGTCATTCATCCATCAAGTCATCGGGATAATTCCGCTGAGACCTGACCAGGTCGCGGGTCATAAGGACTTTAAGGCTGTTGCTGTGGCGTCGGATATCAAGCCGGGCGCTTCACCTTGCGGGATGTGCCGACAATTGTATGGTTGCCCATCTCATCTCTTCTTGTGTCGGGTGGCTAATGGCTTCGCAGTATGCGTGAATTCACGACTCCCTCGTGCCCGGTGTACATGTACGACGGCGAAGGCCAGTTTACCGTCAAGACGATGGGTGAGGTATGTGGATTGTCGACTCTGCGATATGCGATAAAAAGAAAAGCCCTGACCGATCCTAGCTTTTACCGGATTCCTTTGGACCGGACGACTTGCTTCACTGAGACTGATCCAGGTAGCCAGAGAGAGAGAGAGAATAGCAATCATAAGCCAAATCTATTCGCTACCTCTTTGCAAGCCGAATCGTATCAAGATCGCCAACAGCACTGTCCAGATCACAGAGGATATGCAATACACATCAAATCCAAAAGCAAATGAAATCACACATAGCGGCATTGCACGCTCATAATGACACAAGATTCCCAAGTAAATAGCCCTTAAAGACTCAAAAAAGCTTCCCCAAGGATATATCCTGGACCACGAGACCAAACCTATATCTCGTCATCGTCGAGGTCGTCAGCACCCAGGAGCTCATCCTCATCATCCACTACATGAGTATAATCGCCTCGACGCGCAGCGAAAGAACCCCGCGTCGAGTAGGGCTGCTGGTAGCTCCGACTGCGCGCGCGCACGTAGCCACTGGCGCTCCGCCACAAACTCATGGCTAGCAGTGGTAGTGCCTGGGCGACTGCCACAACGCCGGCGATCACCGCCACGGGCACTGCGACTAGCGGTGAATCTCGAGATAGCCGACTCGTGGATGGGGCCGTACTCTCGCCCAGCCGGATCTGGCCAAACTTGCCATCCCAGCGCGTGTAGACGTAATAGCCTGCCGCCGTCGCCGCGGCAATGGGAATCACGATGGCAAAGAACAGCCCCACGCTACTGATGCCGTGCTTCTTCTGATATTCCTCCTCTTTGTTCGGGCAGGGGTGCGAGACCTCCTGGTCCATCTGCAGTCCGCCCAGGCACGTCGACTGTGGAATCCGTCGGTACCCTGTCGGCTCCCAATACCCAACCAGGTCGGGGTTTGCGGTGCACTGCACCTTGTGGTCGGGCTTGGGAAGACCCGGGACAAGGCCACAGCTGCCGTCAGACTGGATTTCATAGTTGTAGTCACTGCATTCACGTCAGTTTCTGTGGCTATATGTCTCTCAAGATAGATAGATATGTCCGACTTACCATTCAAAGTCGGCCCGAGTGCAGGTACAGTTCCCGCCAATGCTGTGAATATGCGGTTCGCGCCAGTTGTTCCAACAGGTCGCCTCGGGTTTCTTGCGGTGGTACTGTTCGATATGGCCAAACAGGCAGTTGTCCTTTTGCTGTGGGTGCTTTGGCGTCCATAGAAAGTAGTCGTCGTTCTCGTTCACCTTCTCATCTAGCGAACATTGTCGGTCCCACACGCTACTGAAGTCGAGAGAAATCGTCACCCGTTTGTTCTGGGGGGTGGTCTTGACCTCCGTGCCCCACAAAAGGAAACTCTTCGAGGTGTCGGAGGGAACCGTGGAAATGTCATCAATCAGCATGTCCACGTCCGAGAACTGGAACTCCTTCCACGTGTCTCCATCGTCGAGGGTGTAATGGACAACTTTCGTCGCTTGGAGGTCTTTGACGAGCACGATCACCGAGCCGGCATCACCGTATTCCCACATGTACCGGCCTTTCTTGGCATGTTTCCAGGTGATACCGCCATCCTTGGTGATGAACGTGTCAGCCTCGTCTTTACTAGTCAACCGATCGCCGACGTTGCCGAGGGCAATCATCATGCCAATAGCGGATCCGGAGTAGAAAGTATCGCGCACATCGCGCCGCTCTGTGTAGCCATGAAGATGAAGCGCACATTTTTCAGTGCCCTTGCCCTTGGTGACGGAGCAATCGAATTCTTTGCCCTCCACATCAAGAGCTGGGGGCGGGACCAGGTCCCACTGGCCACCGTCGTTATGAGTGATCAGAGTGCGGAGCTTCTTGGTTGTCGCCTTCTTCTGCACGTCATCCATGTTGACGACCGCATTGGCAACAAGCACGCCCTCGAGCCCTTCCATCTTTTCGAAATCAGCAAAGCCGCGATCGTTCACATTGAGACCTTCGAGACTGGAGACAAAGTAGGTGCCGTTGCTGTTACTCTTGACCAGCGTGCCGAAGCTATGTCCCTCCGCCGCGTTTACCTCCACATGCAAGAACAACGCGTGCCCATTGCTGAGAAGCACGGTGTACTGGGGAACGTCGACATTGAAAGGAAAATGAGCATCTGCAAAGACTCGGCCATCCACGCTTGTGCTGGCATTCAAAAACTTGTGCTCTTCCGAGGAGTAGGTGGCCACGATGATAAACTCGTTCCTCTTGGTAAAATGGGCAATGTTCGGATGAATGACCGTGGAAGGAGTCGAGAACCAATCGTCGCTGGAAACCAATTGCCGGTTCTTTCGCTTGTCCTCTCCCTCGTACTGCTCGCAAAGAACGAGCTGGTCACTGTTGTTGCGACCAGGATGACTCGCAAACACACACTCACCGACTCCGCGAAGCATTGGTTCCCATTGCTCGCCGCGGCTTTTGCTGAGATAGGCCTCGGGGGAACATGTTTGACCGTCACAGTCTGGATCTCCTGTCCAAATCAACAAATCCTGGTTCTTCTCGTGGAAGGCCAAGGCGGGCAAGCGCTCCTTGGTGCGTGGGTGGGGTGCTTTGAAATGATAGAATGAATCTCCGCGGTCAAACGTATAATAGACTTTGTTACTCGTCGTGAGGAAGAAGGCGCTGTCAGTGTAGTAGGGGTTTGGAATCATCTCCATGATCTTCTCATCCTTGAGAGGCGCCGGGCGTTTCCAATTCCGACCGTGATCACGCGTGATGTGGAGCTCCAAGCGGTCGTTGAGCAGGAAGATGGTCTCATCCCTCCCCGAGCTACTCGCCTGCCGTTCAAGGTAGAAGTATTTGGTCTCTTTGCCGGTGATATACTGTGGAGGTCCCGCGCGCGGCTGGCCGTCTGCGATCGGCGCGCCGGTCAGGTTTCCGCACGACCGCTCGATCTCGCCGTCCAAGTTGGCGCCACCATCACGGATACACGCGTTGCCGGGAATAAGCCGCCAGCCCGAGGGTCCTGTGAATTTGTCGCTGGTTTCCTTGCATTTGCCGGGTGGGGGTAGCAGGGGCCTGGCGGGCACGCAATTCTTCTCATCCTCACTGTGTACAAAGTTGTAATCGCATTCAAAGTCCTCAGACGTACACTTGCACGGCTCGAAGGTGGGGCCAGTTATCTCAAACTCCTTCTTGATGAAGCAATCCGCATTAGCCTTGCGACGCCAGTAGGACTGTCGATGACCCATCAGGCAGTCCGGCTTGCCGTTCTCATCCAAGCGGGCCGTCCATTGCTCGAGATCATCTTTGCCGCACTTGCGTTCATGGAGTCCGTTGAAATCGATGGAGTTAATGACGAATTTCATTTGCTTGTCGTTAGAAATACCCGCAAGCAAAAACCTTAGGCTTGTCGAGTCCGGCGTGGTGGTCACGTACGCGGGCTTAATCTTGTGATGGAGCTTGACGGGGTTCCAGTCCTTCCCATGGTTGGTGGAGAAGTAGATTTCGTCAGTCTGGTCGTTGTCAGGGACTGCAACGATGATGCCGCCCTGGTCGCCGAATTCAAACCGATGCGGTCCCTTACGCGCGCGTTGCCAGGTGCGACCTGCATCATCTGAGATATAAAGGTCGCCCTCTGTGTATTTCTTAAGGTGGTCGCCAGTGTTGCCAACACCCATGACCAGCCCTGGGGCCGGGCTAGAGAAGACCCGACGGAGGTTGGAGAGCTCATGCAACGAGGCGTAGGTTGTGATCGAGTGGAGGTGCAGCTGGTCATTACCCGCCTTAAGAGGCTGGAACTTTCTCCCATCGTCGAAACTGATGCTGCTCACAAGGATCTTTTTCTCTGAGTCGGACTGCGCAACCGCCTCCCAGTTCTTCACAGTGTTGACAATAACGATACCTTGGATGTCGGCGACTTTTTCGAAATCTACCAGACCAAGTGGGTGCCTGTTGGTGTGCTCAATATTGCACGAGAAATAAGTTCCGTTCGAGTTGGAGGCAAAAAGCATGCCCATGCGTTTGTCGGTTTGTACGTCCACCTGGATGCTGTAGTTGGTGCTCTCCAGCAGGGTGTACGTATCCTGTTCGATCCGGCGTCCAAATTCTGCCCGGTGCCACACTGTCGCATCGTCACTTATGTACAGCGCCTCTTCCTTCGTGCCCCGAGATTGGAGACTTGACACGAGATGTTTTTTCACCGAGCGCAACCAGATGGCCGATCCGCTCAGTGGTCGGCCACGGTCTAATTTCACCTCGGTCCCATCGTGGTCGTCACGGAAGAAGTTGTCTGAATAGACCAATCGCTCCGAGCGGTCCGCTTTCAGTCCCGGGACCACGCAAAGAATCCGGTCACCAATCGTCTTGGGTGCGTCGACATCCTCTGCAAACTCCGGGGTGCTCGCTGCCCAAATGCACTGGAAAAAGAATTCCCGCAATGGAATGACGGTTTCAAAGTCGTCGGTGGTGTAATAGGACTTGGGCATACATCCAAGGACGTTGCAGTCCAGGCCCAGGAAGATCACCTTGCGAGGGTCCCAGCCATTGAAGCTCAGCGGATAACGAGTTCGCATGGTTTCCATGGGAAGGGCATCGACCTGGAAGGGCCTCCAGGTTTTGGCCTGGTCGGTGGTGATCCAGTGCTTTCCGCTTTGCCCAAGCGCGTAGGCGCGGTGGTTGTCGTGCGGATGCTGCCAGATCCAATTGACCGCGCCCTCCATGCTGCCGTCCTTCCCCTTGACTATCTCCCATTTCTTGCCTCCATCGAAGGACACTCGCGCACTCAGGGTGACCTCGTCGCGGAACAGGATGGTGTTGGTGCCTTCAAAATAGAATAGATCGTAAGGGGGACTGTCGAACAACGTGGGAGTGACTTCGACCTTGTCAGCAGTGGTTGGCTGCAAAATGCCGACTAGAAGCAGCCCGACTCCGAGCAGCAGCCTGCGAGCGATCATGATGGCTGATTCAACGGCATCTGAAGGGAACGGGGTTCGGTAGTGCCACAGCCTAAGCTGTTAGCGGGTGGACCGATCCAGAAGACGAGCCCGAGGGGCGATGGGTGAATTGTAGCGAAGAAACAAAAAGGCTGAAACAGTCGTCGTTGGTGTAATCAGATTCCAAATCTCCCGATGGCAGTTGGATGACGGAGCTGGCGTGGCCTTCAGCCGGGGGAGCTCTCGGTCACGTGTGATCATCGTTCCGTTCCCGTTGTAGGCTTAGTTCATTACATCCCTGGAGATGCTCAGGTACTTGGTCCACCGAGGAGAAGCCCTTAGTGAACAAGGTACCTCAGCATCACACATAATACATCCGTGGATATTTACATCACTATGCATTGATCGATCCAGATCGATTGCAGCCGGTGCTATGTACAAAGCGCTGCAGACTCAATAATAAATACACCAGAATGACCGGGAGGAACCCGAGAAACAGACAATAATTCGCTGGAAATGCAGAGATCGGCGAGCTTCTGAAAATACGCCATGGCCAAGAATGAAGGCAATCAAATGAGAAAAAAAGAGAAACAGAAAGAGGGCTCACTCGCTAGATCAACACAAAGAATGGGGTGAAAGGGGAAGATATATCAACCGAGATCCGTCGAGATCCGTCTCCTAGGCCCGCCGCCGGAGCTTGCGCCACATTTTCTTTACCACACCCTGCTCATCGAGATCAGTGTCCCAGATGTGCTGGCGACGGTCTGCAGGCGGTAGTGCGGCCAGCTGCAGAGGATCTGCCTTGGAGGATTCTGACGGGGTGGGGGATTCCGTGCGCAGATCGGGTCGAGTCAACGTCATTTTCAAGGTCATCTCCCGATTGCCGGGTAACCGTTGGGGGACAATCGTCTTGGGCCCCGGTAGCATGGATTGACGCCGCGGTCGACGGGATGAGTCCATGGATGAGCGGGGTGTCTCTCGAACCGGGGGTAACTCTGGGAGCTGGGTCGATGGCCGGGGAGTTGTGTCATGCTCGATTGAACCCCCGGGACTTCCCACGATGGTTCCATCGTCATCCTCGAAAAATGTGCCCGCGAACTCTGGGGTCACCGGAGCCGGCGGCGGAGGACTGGGCTCCGGGGCAACATTTTCCTTCTGGTCCTGTTCCAAGGCAGGGAACCCAAATTCGACTGCCTCATCAAACTTCTGAGGAGATGCCAGGTAAACTCGCAGCTTGAGCCGGGCATCAGGGTCTTGATAGTATTGTGCGGTGGGATCAATGCTCGAGGTGGACGACTTGGGACCGTGCTGAATGAGACGGTGACGAGACACAGGGTGTGAGGCCGAGGGATTTGCCAGCGGGGCGAGGGGTTGAACGGACGGGCTGAAGGAGGGTCGTCCGCGCGAGATGGATGCCGATGGTCGGCGTCTTAAGGGGTTGGTGGTCAGAGATAACGACCGGCGAAAGGATGAACGACGCCGGGATGGAGGTTTGACGGCGGCATCCGCCACATGAGCGTGGTACTCATCCAGGGACAGGTCGAGGTCCCCATCCCCATCGAGCCACCGGACGCTGTCGTAGAGGGATTGGTCCATCAAGTCGAAGTCGTCGTCGTCCGACTCCCAGAACACCGTCGATGGCTGAGCCACGGGCAAGGTAGCCTCGGAGGGAAGAGAGTCGGTGGACGGGCGGCCGAACCGGTCCCAATCCCGACGATAGCAGGCCTCGTCGGCGGCGTCGGCGATGATACTGCAGCGGTAGGCGAGCCGCAGACGACGCTGTTCTTCGCGGGAGAAAAGTTTTTGTTGGACCTTAACGGGAAGAGAATGAAAGCATTGCGAGTCTGCTTGGGTGGCCAAATAGGCCAGATGGAGAGAGCCGGGTTTGCGGAGTTTCTGGGGAGAGGCAGGACGCTTGAGGGCTCGCCTCCTTACGGACGAGTCGATCCGAACACGCGGGTGGACGGTCCCCAGGCGAATATTGGATCGATAGGCCCGATGATAGTTGGGCGTGGAGACCGCAGGGGAACCATGATCGCTCTGGGCTAACCGAATGCGCAAGCGCTCGACATTCGAGAAGAACTGGGTGACTGGGTCAGCACTCACGAAAAAGACGTGTAAGGTGGAGACATCAGCATCCCGATGCACCAATGCAGCAGACCAACGAGGAACGCCATCAACGATAGTGCGGGTGATAGTGTGGCTCCACCGAGTGTTTTTCTTTCAGGGGTCAAGTTTCTCGAGTGGAACCCCAACGCAATCACCGCAAGGGAGTCTGTGCCCTCTAGTGGAGAACAAAGAAACGGGAGAAAATCATCGAAATGGTTGATTCCCTTCTCTTCCCCAATGTTGCCACTATCGAGGAGACTATGGAAAGGGGGAAGAGATGAGGAAAGGATGTGGACCAAAGGGGAGAATGGAATTGTTTTTTTTTTTTTTCTTTTTCTCTCCTTACCTTTCGTCTCACTGCAGGAGGGAGAGACTCGAAGTCCTCGGGTGCAGACCGCATGATGGGGGGAGAAACAGAGGCTGAGAAGGAGTGAGGGAGTCAAGGAGGGAGAGAGAGGTGCAGAGAGAAGAGAAAAGAGAATGAAAGATGAAGAATATAGATAGAAGGATAGAAGGGTAGAAGGATGGTAGTTGAAGTATGCTTCACCGCAAGACAAAGAAATAAAGTACGAGTGTCGATGTAGACGACAGAACCCTCTACTCCGTGACGATGCTACAGATCCCCCCCCAAGATATATACCCAAGATCCTCGACAATCCCCAAGATTCCATACCCAACGATATGAACCCCTCCTGGCGCAGGAAGCCGTGGGGCGTTTGTGTCAATCAGCACAGACCGTGATAGGGGTATGTGATGGCTATTTCAAGACCTGTCATCTCACGCCCCTCAGTGGAGCAGAGTGCGTTGGCATACGATGTGACAAGTCATGAACTGTCCTTTCTTTCATGAACTGGGATCTGATCGCAGCAAGGGGACTGTAAGGTTCTCCCTGTGGTCAGATCAAGAAGAGAGCTGAGTTGATAACCAAGTAAACCCCGAAGTATAAGCACTGTTATGCCATCCAAGCCCTAATGTTGAAACCAGACCGGCGCGAACTGAAACCCGGGAATTCTGAAACTCGCATTGTCGAGTATTCGCAATACACCCAGGGGGAAATTCAACTATCGGATTGTACGCAATTAAACGGTTGGACGCAATGGCAATTGGGAAATCACATCTTGGATAGTTCGTCCATTTCACTAGCGCCAGTCCATATTCCCCCCAGATTGCAACCCCCAAACCCTATGTTGTGGGTTTCTATAGATAAGAACCCAAAAAGAGGAGAAAAAGGTTAAAAAAAGGGTATTCAATATCTCTCACAGTGCATTCAGCACTTGTTGCATGGCCACGGTATTCGAGTCCTCGCGTCGTGAGACATACGCGCGCACCTCCTGCACGCTGAGCTTGGCCTCCATCGCTCCCGCGCCTCGTCCCGACGTTGCGCCGCTGGCTGCTCCGCCGCGGATCCGCTCGCGCAGGGCTTCGACACCAATCACAAACAGACTGCCTACCTCCAGCAACACGTCCAGCGCGCCGCCGGGCCCCTTGGCTTCCTCTTCGATGTCCCAGGACTTGAGCAGGTCCGCATACTGGGTCATGTCCTTGGTCACCATCAACCCCCCGGGCCCACTCACGGCAAAGCGCTTGAAGTGCTCCAGGAATAGCCCTCGCGCTCCCAGCGCAATCTCTGTGAGTACCTGTCGGATGTTGGCTCCGCTGGATGGGAGCGACGTCCGCGCGACAGTGTGCAGACGGGCCAAGAAAGTGCAGATGGACGCACATGTCTATAGTATGGAAGCAGGCAGTTAGTGTCGGCTCTAATAACCTATAGTGTTCTGGGAAACCTACCGGAGTCTGCAGCATCTCTAACCATGCCGCGTTGTCACTCTCTCGGGGTCGGAAGTCGTTCTTCTTCTGCCCCGAGAGCAGCCGCCCGACCCACGCCAGAGTCGCATCGATGGTCTTCTGCTCGATCGAATTGATTTTTTCCTCGATGCGGGCGGTTGCTTGACTAGTCCGCTTCTCCATGTCCCGGCGGATGGTGATACTGACCGTCGCCAGGGGAAGAAGTACTGCATGGACGCACATCACCATCAACGTGGTGACGCTGATGGTCGTCCGCACCGCGGGGAGATATGCAAAATCTGGTTCTGCCTTGCCCGTTTCCTGAGCCGAGGCCGCCTCCAGGGCAGCATCGAGACAAACGTCTACATACCCATCCCCCATGGTGGCCAGAAGCAGAGTTAACAGGGCCGACACATCCTTGGGGGTGTCGCTGTTGACACTGAGTTCCAGCCCGCGGCCCACTGCCTCGGCCAGCCACTTAAGGATGCGCTTGGCGTCGCTCAGGTTCGGCTGACCATCCTCGTCGGCCAGCTTGATTTCGTTCTGCCGCAAGGTCTCTGGCGACTCGCCCAACCTGGCCACCTGAAGGAGCATTCGTCGTTGGATGGGCGAGATCTCGGGTGAGTCCAGACGATTGATGAAGGCATCGCGGGCTGTTGACAGAAGCTCCGTCCCGGGCCGGGCCAACGATGCCATGAAAGTGGTGGCCGCCTTCTTGCGGCGAGCATGAAAACTAGTAAATTTGAACAAGAGTGCATTAAACAATTCCTCGAGAGTGCGCCGCTCGCGTTCAATGTAAGAAGACCCAACAAAGTAGGGAACGAACAACTCCTCAAGTTGTTGGTCGAGCAGCAATGCCGTCTGCGACGAAATAGGGTCGGGGTGCTCGGTCAACCCGTGGGCCTTCAGGTCGTCAATCAGGGTACTGATATAGCCGCGGGAGCTCTGGAGGCATCGAAGAAAGGCCAACGAGGAGACCCCGTTGGCCTTTTCCAGAACCAGTTCCAGTCGCTGCTGGATTGATTGTTGAAAGACTCGCTGGAGGAACTTCCCCAGGACCTGCTCGTAGTATGGAAACGCCCGCCGGATGATGGCCGACTCTTCCTGCACCACGATCTTGACCTCATCGAGCAGCGACTGGAGGCTGGGCTCGACCCCCGGGAGCTCTGCGTCGGGATCGGCTAATTTTTCCCATGATTCGGGGTCACCACCGACTTCCTCGTTCACCAGCTGACTGCGGTCGATGAAGAACTGGTGCTGGTTGACGAATAGCGCAATTACGCTGGCACCGGCATTGAAATCTTGCAGAACCGTCGCGCAATCCCGCATGCCTTCAAAGTTGGCCTTGCGATAGAATTCATCAAATTGCTTTAGAAGGTCCTTTTCGAGGGTCTCCGAGAATTTCTCAATGATCTCCCGTGTGTTCCGCCGCGGGGCACTGCCCTCGCTGTTCAGCTCTTCAGACGATGAGTTGGCCCCATGGGTGCCATTAGCCGGAGCAGCCGTCTCCTGCCAGCTCTGGGGGTCAAGGCGCTGGCTGATGCGCAACAGTTGTCGGGCAATGTGTGCCGACCGGACCTTGGCTTCCCCTGTGCCGGACCGCCGCAAGTTCTCCAGCAGCGAAATCTCGCCTCGATTGCTGACTCCGTCCCAGCACTCGAGTAAAAAATGGGCATCCAAGGCCCGCCGTCGCTGCCGGTCCAGCTCCTCTAGTCTCTTTCCGGTTTCCACAGCCATATTCCCCGTCCCGCCGGCGCTTTCGAGGCCGGCGCCATTCAGTGATGTATCGAGCTGCTGGAAGGACTCGATCGTCTGTCGGAGTTTGCGGCCAAGGGTGGTGAGGTTCTGTGAATGCTGCGCCTCTGCGCGTCGTACGGCAGCCGATAGTTCATTCTCCCGGAGCTCTAGATCCCCCGAGAGCTCGCCGAGGCGCCGTTGGGCATGTTCAAAGGTTCGGATGAGGGGTTTAGGATCGAAGGGTTGGTTGGCCGCGCCGGTGGCTCCGACAGTCGAGCGGCGGTTAGAGATGGCACTGTCGGAGAGTGCCTCAATGAACTCCTTGACGATGAAGTCCCGACTAGAAAAGTCCTCGAGGGTGAAGCTGGGGCCTTTGGGGAAGACAGAGCGGGGGTTGGACGCAATGGATGCATTATCCGGCATCATGTTGCAAGGCACGGAGTCATGGGCAAAGAAGGAAACAATGAAGGAGCATCCAGTGTGACAATGGAATTGGAGAATCCGGGGAAAGCTGGGATGCGCGAGGGTCGGGAGATGCGGTGGGTATTTCCACCAGGGGAGGCTATTGCCACCATCTACGATCTTCTCCAAGTGACATCCACGAGATTCCAGGCAGCCAGCCAACTTGCCAATCTGGCCTGAATATCCTGAATATCCTCGACAATTCTCAGACTACCGATTACACACATCCAGCTGTTTTGCGCGTTCCATTCGACAAGAATACGTCCCGCTTTCTCTCTCTCTCTCCCACCGTCGTCATGGTCTCCCAAAGAGACCGCGAGATCCTCCGTGACGAGATCCACTCTCGCGGAGCCAAACTCTCTGCCACCGATCGAGAGACCTTGCTGAAGCCATATTTGCCCGATCCCTCCGATCTGTCCAGTTCCAAACGATCGCCCACGTCGCAGCGACGGCCGAAGACACGAAAGACGCCCATCCGCACATTCCTCAAATCGCAGTTGCACCACCTCACATACGCGCTCACTCATATCATTTTCGGGGTAATCGTGCGCTTGCTGCAGGCCTACCATGCCGTGGTTGAGCGCGTCTTCGCTATCGTTTACCACCACCACCGCACGCCCGAGCTGATCCGCAAGGATGTCCGAGGCCTCAAACGAGTGCCACAGCATTTGAGTATCATTTTGAATTTGCGGACCGAGGATGACGCCCTAACGGTGTTGATGGACGAGGTGGCTGAATTGGCCGCCTGGAGTGCTTGCGCGGGGATCCCGCAGCTCAGTGTGTATGAGAAAACTGGTATGGCATCTTTTTGTGTCGTCTCTCTTGTCTCTCGGTGGGTTGCTTATACTTATTATACTAGGGGTCCTCAAATCCTGTATTCCCGCCCTACACCAGATCATCACCACCAAGCTTGCTTCCTACTATGGCTCTCCTTCTCAACAACCGAGCTTGCAGCTCTTTGCACCCCACCATCCCGTCCATGGCACCGCACCAGACCCTCAGTTCGATAGCCCCTCCCTCACACTTCTTCTCTTGTCGTCTACGGACGGCCGTGAGACTCTTGTCGACCTGACCAAAACCTTGACCGAGATGTCACAGAACGGCAAGCTGTCCCCTGCGGACATCACCCCAGAACTTGTGGACGCGGAGGTCAGCGAGATTACCTCCCAGCCTCTGCAATCTGATTCGGGGTCTGGGTATTGTACGATCGGACCGGAACCGGATCTTCTATTGGTGTTTGGTCCCTTCCTGAAGCTCGACGGGTATCCTCCCTGGCAGCTTCGTCTAACAGAAATGTACTGCACCGGGGACCGTAGCCATGCGCTGACCGGGTACGGAGAGGCTGTAGAGTACCAGGGGTTCATGCGAGGGCTGTGGCACTATGCCGGGGCTCAGATGCGCTTTGGGCGCTGAGCAACGAACCACTCGATGATTTTTGTGGTTATCTCTGAGCATCGACCGAGGTCTGTCTGTATCTGCATTTGCATTTGCATCGTGTATTGTCTATAGTTTGCATAAATTTCATTCTTGATAGTTCAATTGTCATTATATTGATGGATTTATACCCAAGTACCTATAGAATCTCGGTTGGTATCACTATGCGACGCCGGTAACAAAACAGACTAAAGCAAAATGGTTGGAAAATAAATGGTATCGCCATGCCCCAAATCAGAGGAAAACAGAAAAGAGAAAAAAAAAAAAAAATCATAGCCCGCCGTGCATGAATGCCATCCAACTCCTATACGACCACACCCAGAGGTGGCCCCAATAAAACCAGGCTAGATGAATCAATCGCAATGAAAAATGGGGTCGTTGTCGTCTCTTCTTCATAAACCCAGAAACCCAAAAGTAATCGAGGCATCTGTCGAGGATTGCAGGCTCCACAATTCTGCCCACGGTTATCCGTTCATGGTAACATGGCGCATCCCGTCCCATGTTGACCCAGAAGCCAGAGACGAGGCAGACCAGGGAGTTGAATGACCACGCACACAATCGAGACACCGCACGATTTCGACGCCGGTCTCGGTCACGCCCTCGACTGCGCAGCTGGAGCAGATCTTCCGTCGAGACTCACCATCACCATTGAGGTCGCCGTGAGGAGTGATCAGAGCTGGATTCGACTGGTTGCCGGAGAGACCGACGGAGCCTCCGCAGGGGACGGCGTCACATTGACGAAGACAGATGAAGCAGGCTCGCTCACCGCAGAGATCACAGTCGGCGTAAGCATCCAGGACCTGGCGGGTGGTGGGCCGGCGATGGCAGATGTGACAGGGCCGGAGGGCCGACGGCGGGGCGGATGGATATGAGAGCGGGACGATAGTCTTGGGGGATACGGGCGGAGAGTATGGGTCTGGAGCGGGTGAGCCATAGACGTTGGGTGAGAGTAGCGAAGGTTGCGGCGTAGGAAGAGTGAGATAGGGTGGTTGGACATGTCGGCGTTTACGAGGAAGACACCGCGGCCGGAACGAGAGGTCGTTGTGGTCGCCGTCAGAACGATCCGCCCGAAATGGAGGCCCAAAGGTCGAGCTAAAGAACAGGCCAAACCGGTTAGTAAACGGTTTCCAGCTTCGAGGGTAGTAGAAAGAGGCATAACACTTACGGACGAGCCAAGGTCACCGTCTCCTCATGATCTCGCTTTCGTTTCTTCCAGGCGAGAGACTCGGCCGGCTCCGATAAACCGGGCATAGGGGAACAGTATTCGAGCCAATTCATGAGGTCTATATTGATTAGGACTCTCCTGATGAAGAAGAGAAAGAGGGAAAAGGTTAAGGTCCAAACAAAAGATAAGAAAATGAAGCTCCGGGTCACGGTACCTCGGGGGGACGAAGCACACCGCCTCGCAGGTACCGGTACCTGACGAACCAGAGGAACCTCTCCCAGCTTTGCTCGGGTTACCCACACGTTGCAAGATGAGGGTAATTTTTGCTGGAGACTTGGACTGCTATAATGTTATATTGATTGTATCTTCTATTCTTTGTTCACCCAGCCAATGGGTGACCCAGCGCCATCCAGCCGGGCCTGAATCGTCTTCTCGTCAAACCGTCCACTCTCTCCCTCATAGTTGCGCAGCACCTCCAGGGTCATTAATCGGCGAGGGGCTTTCCGGCCGGTCATCAGTTCAAACTGAGCAATCCCTTGTTCTGTGACATTCTCCAACCCGTCCGACAAGACCCAGGGTCGCCCCATTTCACTGCGGATGCGGCGCATCTGTCGGAGAAGCGGCGTATCTAATGGCTTATAGGCCAGCTATCCCACCTTCATCAGTAAAGTCGCAGATGCATGCAATTGTACAATTACACTTACCTCTAAAACCACTCCTCCTGTAGGACTTCCCAGCCACTGCATGGGCATCTCGAAGTTGGCCGGGGGCTCATCGCGGTCCGGGTCTGCGGGCACACAAGATGCAATCAGACTGGGCGGGCAGGCGTCGATGGGCCAGTCGTCCTGGGTGGACCGGAGCACACGCACCACCTCGGCTGAGTCCACTTGAGATGACGCCCAGGAGTTGAAGTGTCGCGCAACGTCTTCCGCGTGCGATTGGGTCCGGTTGTAGATGAAGACCCTGCGACAACCCAGCCGGAGCATGGCATAGATGGCCGCCCGCGCCATCCCACCCGCTCCAATGACCAGGCCGGTTGTCCTGGCGCTGATGGCGTTGCGTGGGGAGAGATGGCGGGTGATGCAGGTCATGATGCCAACCCAGTCAGTGTTTTCGCCGTACCACCCCAGCACACGGCCTGCTTGATTGCGCCGGCTGGCCTGTTCCTGGAGGGAGAACATGGTTCCGTCGGCCCGACCCCGCAATGGCATGATGGTGTTGATGGCTCCGATCGCCTCGGCATGTCGGCTTTTGGATGCAAGCTTTTGATACACCTGCACGCGCCACGGTTGGACCACACTGGCTCCCCCGAAATGCGGGTCCCGGCCCAGTCGTTCGAGCGCCGCGAGGGAGGGCGAGTCTGGGATGCTGTAGGTGTGGCTCATGCCACAGTGTTGTATTGCGGCATTATGCATGGCCGGCGATAGACTGTAGGCAACACTGGCGCCGAGGATATAAAATTGCAGCGGATCCAGCATGTAGCTCTGGAAGAGGGCACGCACTGCATCACGCGATGCAATCTGCGGGTCGTATTCATTGCCCGTCGATGTGATGGCTGGGTGGGTGACTCCGGTCAGGATCGAATTGAACACTTGCGAGGTCCGCCCCAAGCGGCCAATGTTGTAGGCGATGAGTGGCGGGTGCTCTCCTGGAAGTGACCGGATCTTATTCGTGAATTCTGCGACTGCAGCGTTGTCCTCGCGTTCGGTAGCCACCCGAAGGAGGCGGACTAGTTGACAGCCAAGTTTTTCTGCGTCGTGGTAGAGAGCGACACAGCTCTTGTCCCCCCAGGTGATGCCAGAAGATGGCTTGAGAATCTGCTGGCCGATGATCTTGGTCTTCCCCCGGCCACGCACGATTTGGGCTAGCTGGGCTTGATCTTGATCTAGATCCACGACTAAGTATTCCACCGCTAGACGTAGACCGTGCTCCAGAATATTCAAACACGCTGGAGAATCCACGGTTTTGATCCCCGTGGACGACGGGTCGACGGAGAGGATCACAGGAGTGCGCGCATTTCGACGCAACAACGACACCTGCTTGCTGACGGTGACCGCCATGTCCGGATCCCAACGATCGACGCAGAGCTCGATGGCATCGCCCCCAGACTCGAGCTCCTCCAGATGGACTGTGTTGGCCATGAGATCAGAGGACCGCACCAATATGGCGTGGGTGAAAGAGCGAAGTTCTGGTGGTGTCTCCAGCAGGACAAAGGGAGAGTCGTAGCTCGAATGGTTTACATCAGCCCCGGTGATAAACTGTACGAACCGCGTGAAGTCTTCCTTGACATCTTGCAACTTGAATGAATAGTCGGCGGATCGTCGATCGGGACTTCCGCCATCAGATGGAATCCCGACGCGTGTTTGGTCCTCGACATTGTAGAACTCGAAATTGGAACACGTCCGGTGCACTGGATCGCCCTCGCGAAGAAGACGTATTGACTGGTTGTCCAGACCCAACAGTTGTTGAATGTAGTTGATATCACGCACCAGATGAACCACTGGGTTGGTGGTAGCGTAACGACGGAGGTGATCCTGGACGGGCCGCGTGAGACTGCCTAGTCCACATTCAATGACACATCGAGACCGGTGGTTGTCGAGCATCATGGTCAGGACTTCAATATCACGCCGCTGGAACTCCTGGCTGCCGTAGCGCTGCAGATATTCATGTCGCGTAACGCCCGTGACTTCCTTGAAGTAATGATCCTCGGTAATGAAGCGCCGCTTGAGGGCCGTTGCCGCGACGAACCCCAGCGAACGCTTGCCGCATCCTCGAATGCCGACTAGCACCAGAGATGCGTCGCGGTCGAAGGTGCGTGACGCGATCTCGGAGTGATGCATGGTGACCGAGAAACGCGCACGTTGTTCAGCGCATGCGACGGAAGCGTCGGGATCACTGGCAGGATGGAGAGAATGAATGGACGAATGGCGCAGTAACTAAATCGAGTCTGCGGGTGCCATGATCAGAGACAATCCAAGTCCATGCCGTGTGGGGGTGTGCATCAAAGAAGGTCAAGCCCAGGTGAGAATTGCGCGAAGGAATGACGTGTCTTTTCTTTTCCTTCAGTGACTGGGTGAATATGTGAGTATACCACTTCAATTGCCCCTCGTTTCTTAGGAGCTTCACCTGGGGGGACTCGCGGGTCGTCCATGTCATTCCCCGGAGAGCCGTGGGGCGGCAAAAGACTTATCCAGGGAAACTCCATGAATTACCCAGGAATTGTCCCCGGGATGTCCGTCGGCTATTTCGGATGAAGACAGTTCGGAGAAGAAAACAATGAGGGATAGAAAGAAGCAGACTCGGGATGCCGGCATGGGAACTCGTGGAGACCAGCATGGTAGATATTCATGGATTTGAAGGATATCAAGGACATACTATGTCAGATGTCTACGTATAGAAGAATAGTAGGTCAACCGGTGAATATATTTGAATAGATATTCAGATTGACCATATTATAGAGAGCATAAGACAAAGGATAAAAGAATATCTCAAGAAATAAGAACCGAGAACACATAGAAAACCTCAATGTACATACATCGAGTGACCGTGGAGACGTGGGGATCTCCCGAGGGTTTGCGCCGATGGCCGGGCTGCAACCTCCAAGATTTGCTGTCTTTTCGACTTTTCGCTTTCCTTTCCTTTCCTTTTCCCTCTGTACTCTTCAATCCATTGATTTCTTTCTTTCCCCTTCAATTGGACAATCCGAGTCCCACCGGTTTGTTGCGTAATTTCCCCGTCTTTCCGCATCCCCGGCTCTTCGCTTCTGATATTCCCGGCATGCGCGACAGGCCGCGCGCTTGAACTCCCCAGCTAATACCCTGCAACTGGCACCCTCATTTTGCCTGGATTTTTCCCCTACATGGCATGCATGCTGCTCTAAACCCTCTGCATGGATGAGGGCTCCGAGAAAGCCCCTCGAAGGAAGAGGGTCTCCAGAGCATGCGACCGGTGTCGCAGCAAGAAGGTGAGTGAATCACCGTCAAAATCGCCACATACTTGTCATCGCCCTTGTTTCTTCTCCGTTCTGACCCAGAAAATTGATCACAGGATAAATGCGACGGTATCCGACCAACTTGTTCTGCTTGTCGGGCCTCGGGCCAGACCTGTTCGTACGACCCGCATGCGAAGAAACGCGGTCTCCCCGAGGGCTACGTCCGCGGCCTGGAGAAGCTGTGGGCGCTATCGCTTTGCAACATCGATGGCTTTGAGGATACCATGTTGGCGATGCTGGGGACCACAGCGGAATCGGCCGGTCGTCGGGAGAGAGTGATGTCGGTGTGGGCAGAAGACAGCGCTTCTGACAGCCTTCATGAAACGTGGAAGACGAGTCGCTTGTTTGGTGCACTAGAGAAAATGCTGTCCCACCCCGACACACTCCCCGCGACGACCGGGAAGCGATCGCGAAACCCCAATGATGACGCCAAAGGTCAATGGGGGTTCCGGGTCGCTCACAGCTCAACTCCACTGGGCCCCGACGCGCCGCGCGTGATCGAACCATCAAGCGCGCCGCAGGGCGTGAAAAGACCTCGATTATCGGAGCCCCAGAGTCGAGCTAATGCGTACACCGCCAGCGGCACCCAGACATTGCAATTGCCGCCTCAGACGTCACAGCTGCTCGATATCTATTTCGCAGTCACGCATTCGTGGTTCCCTGTCGTGGCGAAGCACAACATTCTTCGCGCCTCCTACCTCTACGCCAGCGCTCCCGTCTCTGTTGCAGCAGCTTCGCCCGGATCTGGTGACCACGCTGCGCTGTGGGCGATCTTGACTTATACCATCATCCAATCCCCGGCCACCGCGCAGGCGGGGCCGGGGGCCGTCTCGCTTGCAAAGGAATACTATGCTCTGTCTCGCAGTCTGATACCCTCAGAGAAAGAGCGCTACGAGCTAGGCCATATCCAGGCACTGCTTCTGTTGACCCTCGTCAACATGGGTCTGGAGGACTGGACGGCAGCTTGGTTGTTGAGTGGCCAAGCAGTACGAATGGCCATTGCCATGGAGCTAGGGGTTATGACGGATGCTCGACCATCTGATGGCATGAGACAAAGTAAGGCGGTCTTTCTGGGATGCTTCGTGGTCGATTCGTTGCTCTCTTTTCGCCTTTCACGGTGCCCATCTGTCCCTCCCAGTGACCTGGCTGCCGTAGGTCTTTTGGAAGAGGATGGGCTGGAGGAGTGGAACTCTTGGGTGGATGTCCTCCCAACCATGGGGGCTGCGCAAGGCAAAACTCCTCCGCGCCGAGGACCGTTACTGGCCCTGAGTTGCTTTAACCGCTTGGTCGAGCTGGCCAGTGTTCTCAACAAGATCTCGCGAAATGTATCAACGGGATTTCAGCCGGCCGCATTTGCGCAGCAATTAGTGATGGATCTGAAGCAGTGGGATGACAGCTTGCCCCTGGGATGTCGGTTGATTGGACCCGAGAGTATCTACCCGGAACGACATTCGGCCTTGCTCCCACACCAGAGCTATCTTGGATTGACCTACGGGGCCACACTTCTCTGGCTGTACTTGCGCCTCATCCCGACAGAACAGGGTCTGCCCCGATCGCAGCGGCCGGCTACAGAGGGTGCAAAGAAGCTCTTATACCGAGGCCTGGCCATGATCTGCCAGCATTTGGACAACTTTCCCATGTGTGGTCTCCCACCACTCTTCGAATTTGGCCTGCGTACTATCGCTGAGCAGGCATTTACACTGCGACACACCGTTGAGTCGCCCGACAATTTCCCTTTTGCCCGATGGGCCGATGAATTTCGCCAGAAAACGACTGCTCTAAGCTCGACGTGGCCGGTGTATAGTTCTTTGGTTTCTGCAATGGAGCGATGGCAATCATCCAGGGATCTTCCGGCAGCACCGACATCTGCCTTCTCTGGGCCCGTCGGGAATACACCAGCACTTCCCCCGTCAGGCTCTATGCAGCCACCACCTGGCATCCGCGGTCTTGCTCCGAATGGCGAAGCAAACTATGCCTCATCTATTCTCGATATCAGCATTCCCGTGGATGGGCAATCCATGACTCCCAAAGACACGGATCTAGCTATGATGGATGTGTCTTTGCAACCACCGCTGGAAGGGCCTCATCCTATCCTACCCGACAAGATCGTGTCGCACAGTGGACCCGACTCAATTTACCCCCCTAGTAGCCTGCATCCGCAAACTCCCACCTCCGATTCCTCAACGTCGAACCCGATGATATCGGGTAACCCTCCCCCCAATGATCGATCCATTCCGGCCGGTGACGGTATGGCATTTCCCTCGACCAACGCGGATTACCACGAACCCCGTGCAGCCATCGGCGATTTCGATACTATTTTCAAGGATTTGGCGTATCTCGACACCACCGAGTGGGCCACCAACCGTGAAGCTGGCCTGAAAGACTTTGGCTTCCTTGATGACAGCACCTTCCAGGCCTTCTGCCATGATCCGGACCGTCTGGTCGGCTCTCAGCCGCTCGTCCATCCGCCTTCCATCGGCGATATCTGGCCGCCCCCAGGATTCTTCCCGGAGACATTCCAGGAAGGTCCCGAAGAGACCATGGGTGGTTGATTTGGTGTGCTGTGGAACAAACACCTTCTCATCACTTACTTTGAACCATCCCGGGACCCGGGTAGACGCTGGTCCGAGGAGTATCTCTAGCGGATCGACCGGCCTGCCTAGTCGAGTTGTCTCTGATATAACAATCCCGTCTGCCGTTGCGCTGCAGAGCGGTCCAGAAATCTATCTGCCCGCCATATGCAGGCCTCGGGCCATTGTCATAGCACACTTAAGATGGACCGTCTTACTCGAGTTATATGGCTCTCCCTCCGCTTGGTGAACACATGTATCTATCCAGCACGGCGGACTCGATGGAATCGGGAAAAACGCACCCACCGTGATATATACTTACTGCCGTGCTTTGGAATCTGCCTGTACTGAGAGCCTTTTGAGTCTTGCTGTGCTTTTGCACAGCAGAGTGCTCTCCAATGTCAGATAATTCTTACTAGGATTCGGACTGGCCGTGTTCCTACAGATCCAACACATGGAATGACTCGAAAGATATATCTAGATGTATTTGTTTTTTGTTGCGCTGGAAATGAATGCCAGTAAATGCAAGGAAATGATTCAGGGTCCTGAAGTCTGATTTGTCCAAACAGACAACTCGAAAGACAGCGCCCGAGATAACGCCTCGCCAATGATCTCCACATTGACACCTCTTGGGAAAGACATGCAAAAAGAGAAAGAAAAAAAAAAGAAAACAATCAAGAGAAGGGCATAGGTATATATGTACACAGGGGCCTCAATAAAAGAGACAAGGGGTAGTAGAACGAATGAATCACTCAAAGATATATTCCACTTGACCACACGAGGACTGGAATGATTTCAAGAGTTTCTTGATGCGGAATTGCATCCAACCGGACTGGGTGCCGGGGCTAGGAATACCACGCATGGCCGTGGCGGAGTGTTTGCAGACACGGTCATTCTTATTGAAGGTATATTGGAGGCATTCGCTGTTGCGGGCGCAGACTTCGGCGCAGGCCTGCAGTGAGGGCTCAGTTGGGGCTGCAAAATCGATCACGGTACCAGCGAGGTTATCCCATTCGTCCAGTTGGCGGAGAGACTGGTCGTGAATAAGTTTGCGGAAAACGTCGCCGTGGAGCAGTAGCGCATTCTTGCCCTGTTTTGTTTGAACCAAATTAGCGAACAGAAGGAAAAGTAACCAACAAGGGAAAAAAAAAATCTTACACTCTTGAAAAATCCCCGGTCGAAGTGCCACATCAAGTCGATATCCTCTTCAGTCATGTGGTGGTACGAAACAACGGGATAGCACCACGGTTGACGGCCATAGCCCTCGCTGAAGTGATCGAGCTCCCACGGCCGAGAGGTCAGCATCATGGGCCATGCCCAAGTCAAGGGAATCTGCAAATCGCCCAGAGCCCGAGCCAGGGCACAGTCTCCCGCCCACTCGCCAGCGGTCATGCGCTCCAAATCCTCCTGCTTGCTGGCAGTGTAGCCATGCAATTGCTGCACGGCGTTTTGAGAGAGAATGATACCAGCTCCACCATAGGCAAACAGCATGTCACCGATTTGCATCGGGCTGCCGAGGTAGTACGGTCGGTTCCAGTCCAGATGTGCCAACCAGGTGATCACGTTCTGCCACACGATGTATGTGTCGGCTTCGAGAAAAATGAACCACTTGGCTTTGGGCATGGTCTCGAATGCCTTGTCGACCATGGGGAGGAACTTCCACTTGTCCAGCTTCCATCCGGGGTTGTTGACTTTGCCCAGCGGGCCGTTGGTGTGGTCTCCCCATTCGGCCTCGGTCAGTCCTTCTCGGCCCACCTTCTGCAAGCGATGGTAGAACCCAAATTCGGGCTCGTTTTGCAAGGTGTTTGGCTTGACGTTGCGGATGACGTTTTGGGTTCGCACGCCATTGATGGTCTCCTCGTAGTCGGAGAAAATGGCGAAGTGCGGCACACACTGCAGCGTGGTGCGGAGGTGCACGGGGACTTTCTCGAGGGCCTCGGTCGCTCCGGTCTTCAGGACGACCAGGACATCGTCCATGTCATGTGGCAAATTCCCACATAACTCCTCTTTCGACGCAAACTCCACGGGCGGAGGCTCTACCTTGGGCTTCTCTTGTCCGACAACCGGGTTTGGTTTGGGTTGTCCGGGCGCGTGGTCGGGAGCTGGAGGGTTTTGGGCGACCGGAGGTTGCGTGATGGGTTGTGTGGCAGGTTGTGAGGTAGGGGTGAGATAGAAATGATAGACAAAAAAAATTGCAATGAACGGAGAGACGATGAGAAGCCACCGTCGTGGAAAACCGGTCGCCATGGCCAACGATCTAGAGAAAAGATGGGGAATGCAGCCAAGCCATCGAGGAAGAAGGAGGAGGAGGGAAGAAATAAAAAAAGCCGCGCTCGAAGTGAAGAAAGGGTGTGATCCGCTCCGTCCCTTGTGGGGGAGCAAACGAGTTCCTCAACGTCGATCCATGGGCCGGCAGAGCAGACACATTTGATTTGGTCGCATCGTGACCAGCGTCGGCTTGATTGGGTATGGATTTGCCAAAACGCGGCCCATGAACCAACGAGACTTCGAAGACGGTGGCAGGGCCCAAGACCCACTGGACGCGTGCGTCATATGTGGGGACTCTCGGTCTCAGGGGGGATGAAGATCTTGTTTCAAAAGAGGTTGGTGGCTTAGTGCACAGATGCTGAGTGTCATCATCGGTAAACTCTGGAAAGAGTGACATGGAGAGAACGGGGAAAAGGGAGGGAAAACGCGTGTGTTCCCGAGGCTGTGGCGTGAGAGTTGACGTCGAGATTGGTGCCTGGGGAGCCAGGTTTGAATCACGTGACATGGATTATGTAAAATACGTCAAATTGGATGTGACACATTTGACATGGCCCCAAATGCGTTTCATCCATGGTATTCTGAATCCTAGTGGCAATATGACAACTGTGGAATGGTCCATGGCGAGCAGTGGCGGGAGAATGGTGGTTGGAACGCCACCGGGGCTCTCGATTCGTGGATATGTTTGAGATCAGGATTCATTCTTGGCCTACTAATTTTTTCCCAATATCTAGAGCAAGGCCTTAAACCTCTACTCATTCCAGTCATCGCTCGTATACGATTTCAAGCCTTGTGTCTCTTCGTGCATCATGCTATTTCGACATCCTCGACCAATGTCTGTTTGGATCGCTCCCACAGCAATACCGGGGTGATGGTCAAGATGATAGCTGCACAAACCGCGGCCGCCTGGATACCAAACACGAGTCCAAGACCGTTGTGCTCGATCCAGGCTGGCTAAGTACCCCACGGCAAAGCCACCGCAGGTCCGCCACATGTTGAGGATCGCTGATACACAAGTGGACTGCTCAGGGTATCGCTCCAACGCGTATGCTGAGGCTGAGATGGCCCTATCCAGAAGCGTTAGGTTCTTGTCTTTTTTTTTTTTTTTTTTTTGTTTTTGTTTTTGTCAGGATCTTTTGTGTGCTGGACATTGACACTCACACAATCGTGGCCACCATGCCGATGTTGACCATGATCCAGCCAAAGGCCAGCCCAATCCAGTGCTTGCCGAAATGCATGGTTAGTCCATAGGTGAGCAAGCCGCTAGCCATACTGCCAATTGGGAGTCAGACCCCATGCATCCGGTACTCGGTTCGCTAGTTTGCCCGGCAATGACGGAAGATCCACTCGTTAAAGAAGTGACCGAAAGTCCATCCTGAGTGCTAGTGAGCAAGCGACCTAAAAGGGCCATAGATTGAGGGGCATACCGGCAAAACGCATGGATGATGCTTGGATAGTGTTGAACAGGTAGGGAGGGCTATGCAAAAAAGTATCGACAGTGGCCGTGATGCCTAAAATCCGTTAGCAAGAAGGCGCAGACATTCATGGATAAATTCCCTCCAAGCTTACCAATAGGCTAAGTGAAGGTCACCAGAGTAGCAAAGCCTATGGACGGTACATTGATCAGTCTTCATGCTTCAACCGACCCTCATTTACTTGCAACTCACCCGTCATTAGTAGCGGGAACTTGAACACATAAACCACAACCGTCCGGCACCAGTATGCTAGAGCGGATATTTTCGAGAACTGAGTATTACCAACGCCAGAGTAAGATGCAATCCGTGGGCGCATCGGACCTTGCTGTGTGGGCACGTAATAGGTCTCACGGCTAAACAGAACGACCAGGTACTTACCGACCATAGGCTTCAATGAGCGGAACGGCAAAGGTACCCCCCAAACCCTGCAGCAGAATACTATAGCTCATGCTAGTAGCTGACTGAGTGACGGAAATCTCCCACTCCATGGCTTGCTGGGTGACAACCGTGGACCCCCAGACCATTGCCCTGTCCGGTCAGTCTTCGGTTAGTTTTGTATTCGGAGGGGGTTTGGTCCAATGTTCCACACCCATCGACCAGCAGCGAGCTGGACATGAGTGATACAAAAAAGGAGGGTCTTCACGATCGGGGCAGGGCAGCCTTTAGGTTTTAGGGTATCTGAAGACCACAAGTTTATTCCTAAATAGGTATAGCGTGATTTGCGTTCCCCCCCACAAAACCGGTCTTGGCATTTCACCTTCTTACAGTACTTTCTGCACGTTCCCGTTCCCGTTCCCGCTCCCGCTCCCGTCTACTATTTCGACCGATCTCCAACCAATCTAAAATGCAAAATGCCTGATCTCCCCATTTTCCTGTCAAACTGTCCTGCCTATGACGAATACGTTCGTCTGGGAACGATAAACAAGCTTTGCTTCCCTCCATATGAAGAGGCGAGTATGGAAGAGCAAGGAGAAACAACCGGTCATATGTGGTTACTGATAGGCTGTATTTACAATAGGACGATGAGGGCCTGGTAACTGTATACCATGGCGAGTTTTGGTGCCGGTGGCCCCAATGTCATCGCGGCAAGGTAAGTGAACCGAAGTAGACCCTAACTTTTTGCACTTCCATGACCGGTTATTGATCGATCTACTTCCAGAAGGGATTCAACGCCACCAACAACCTTCGCAAGCATGTTGCGAGTGTTCACAATCTTGCCGTCAAGCTGGCCGACGTGGGGAATCTCACCGGTACGGAACAGGACGCCATCCGGACCTGGTATGATGACTTGATCGATGACCAGGAGGAGTAGATGACTTTCTGAAGCACTTCGATATTTTCTCTGGCATAGGTTTTTTCTTCTTCTTTTCTGTTTTTATTCCAGATATCCATACATGCCAAATAAATGACCCTAAATTTCAAGATATTGTAGAATTCATTCATAGCAGTGTTCAAGCATCTTGCTCTGCAGCGCAAATTCGAGTATCTTTCGCACATTCAGCGTGGGGAAATGCACATCGTCTTCGGAAATATAGGCCACGGCGCCACGATAATGTTTTCTGGCTTCCTCCAGGCTGAGGCCAGAATAATCAATGGAGCCGGTGACCCCCAAGAACGATGAGTGTTGGCCAGCGATAGTCCGCAGGAAGGTCGAGCAGCCAGCTCCCGGGCGTCCAAGAACGCTGGTTGAGTGTTAGCTCTTGGGTTCCTCCCACACATAACCACGTCATTTGCAGCATGATTTCCCCGCTGTGAACCACACCCGAGAAGTCTCGGATGAGAGGACGGCCATCTTGGGGCTTCTTTCTGGATATCCACGGCTGGATGGTCCATTCGTAGATGTCCTGCTGCGTGAGGGTCCGCCACAGTGCTGTCCCCACCGTTTTCACATCGGCATGGCCATCTCCCTCACCCCACGTCGAGACGGCTTGAAAACACACTCCGAGATTGGATCGTTTCTTGCCTCCTTGGACTTGTTCCTCGAGGAATTTGTCAAACGACGAGTGTAGCTCGGAGTAGTCATGGCCTGGGTGACTTTTCCCCGTCAAGGTACGATGAATGTCGGCAATGACCTCCTCATCCTCATGCGATACACACACTCGTGGACCACTGTCTGTGTGGTGAGTGTCCGGGTTGGGGGCAAAGCCCGTGCCATGCGGATGAGAATGGAGACGAGCGGGGATGGTGCACCCGTGGGATTTCAAATCGCCGACCAACTACCAATTCTCACGATATTTTCAGCGTGTTTCTACAGCGAACCTGGCGTTCTACGGTATTTATCCAAAAGACATCCGAGCGCAAGTCGAGCCGAAAAGGGCAGCCAATGCTCATGTCTGGATGAGTGGGCCATGAGTTGAACACCATCTTCTTTTGTGATTGTTCTCTTCATCAGCAGAGAGATCCTGGACAAGACGTGCCGGTTGATCCAGTTGATTCCAGCGCAAGTGGAACTAGAAGACGCTGACTCTTCGACAGAAAAAGGAAACCAAGGCGAGAGAAGATCCACCGGGGCTCCAGTTTTCCCCACATGGTATTCTCCGATCATCTTTCATCGATCACCTTCATCTTCATCTTCACTTCCATCCTGCAATCTTACCGTCATCAGGATTCAGGCCGCTTAGTGGCTTCCATGGCCCAGTTGTGTGCGTTCCAGTCCCTCACTCATCAGACCAATCCCCAGCTCCACGGCCTCATTATGGCGGTCCGGGTCATTGAGCACAGTCCATGGCATCACACCTTTGTGGTTACGCAGCTGCATGTCCAAAAGATGTAGGCCCAGTCCCGGGGTCTTTGACACTCGAGCAACCTGCTTGAGCAAATCTCCCAGATTTTTGACATGCTTGGCCTCTTTGCGCAGGAATCGGGTCTGAATGGCTTCAGTCAGAGCACTCTCCCCGGACTTCTCGGCCAGCGAGCAGAGTCGCTCGAGGTCCTCCAACAACTGTTTTTCCGTCAGGAACGCCTCCTTGCAAGGCGCCACGGGTTCCACGGGATTGTCGGAGAATTCGCAGGTGGGGGCCTCGATGTTGGTGGGTTTGCATCGGCCCCCGCGGGTGACGAGGTACTTTTCCAGCCAGTGCATGTCGATCAGACACTCCCGCGCCGACCTCTCCCAAAGCCTGCAACAAGACATTAACCCCGAATCCCCCCCCATCTCCATGATCACACTTGGTGCGACCTACATGGCAAAACCGTGCAGCGCCACATTCGCTCGAGAACAGTCTGCGGCCAACTTGCGGTAGAACATCCAACTTGTCAATTCCTGGTGGATGTGGCCGCGAACCGACTGTGCGCGTGCTTAGTCTGTGTGGCCCCACAAGAAATGAAACAGAGGAGATATACTTCTTCCAACTGCTCGGTCAAGCTCGACGGGCGCACCAGGTCATCAATATTCTGCTTGGAGAGGTCTCCGATAACTTTTCGAGCTTCCTCGGCGTGAGACATGGTGGATTGACGTAAAAAACTAGGGGGCTGAAACATCGAGGTAAGAGACTTAGCAAGATGATCTTCGGACGAATCTCTATGTCTTCTTGCCTTGATATACCTCACAAGGGGAGTGGCAAAGCGGGCTCTCTCATCATGACATCGGCGTCACGTATTGCCGGGACTCGGGGGGTACATGCTTTTGTTCTTTCAGGACTGGGGCTTTATTTCCGCAGTGGCATCCTTTCTTGAATTGGATATTCTGGGAACATGACAAAATCCATGGCCTCTTACACTGAGACTCGGCATAACCCGCTTCCCGGATTATAGAGCTGGTATTCCATGGTCTCAGTGAGTTTTTCCATCTGATTGATACTATAAGTAACTCTAATTTATATTGCTATTGGGTCCAAGATATCAGTTCTCAGGGCTGATATATATATATATATATCTGCAAGAGTATATAGACATGCTCCATTGTACTTGGGCTAAAAGCGGCGAGGATTGAAAACCAAAACAGAATAGCCCACACGTGACCTTCTCCCCTAGTATTGCCAATTCCCAACCTTCTTCGCAGCCATATCCTGTCACACCATGCGCTATCATGCCCTCATTCGCACCCATCATATAACCTCCCGTAAGAAAGTTGCAGTACTCAAGCGTGCTGCGAACACTCACCAATGTGCTGTGCTTCTTCGCTCCGGTGGCTGCCCAGGGATCATGTACGTCGAAGGGCAGGACCAGACGCAGGTCGAGTCGTGGGTGAGCGCTGTGCGCAAGCTCCGCTACAAAGATTTCCAGCTAGTGACCCGGCCGGGTCTCCTGGAACCAGAGGAGTCAGATCAAGGGACCGATGATCTACCCTCGGGCTTGTCCGAGGTCGAGAGTGTGAAGGATTTTGGGAGTTGGATGCAACGGCGCAGGGTGTGGCATTGGTGGAGGAGAGGGATGGGATACTCTTAGGTGATGGAAGGGGATTGAGTGCTGTTGCGGGCGATAGCACTTGAATGTGAGACGGTCATTCATGTGGATATCCATGATGGGTAATCCATTGGTTTGCCTCGGTCGATTCCTGAGATGAGATATCATTTCAGCAAGTGGAAAACCCTTTGATATCAATCTTCCTGTACAATAATCTACCACCAACTTAAACGCCAAACCCCGAATATGCTTATATACGCCGCAGGCCAAGACCCATCCCCAGTCGTTAGACCGGTGCGGGAAAGCTGAGCAGCTTGCACACATCCTGGGAAGGGGTCAGCACACGTGTAATGCTTGAATCACACGCCAGACTCACCTTTCTTCGGTGTCGGAAATCATCGTAAATCTTCTTCCACACCTCGCGATCGCGGCAGCCACTCTCCTCGGGCGTCCCTGGGTTGTTGTCGCACTTGGGCTGCATCTCCGCCAGCTCCTTCTGTGGCCACATCACCCAGGGCTTGGGCAAGGGCCAGTCAGAAAAGTGCACGAATTTTGCCTCGGCCAGTGCCCTGTCGGGATCCCATTCCTCGTGTTCATTCCCCATGTAGTTGCGGTGATCCTTGGTCCGGAACTCTCCGGTAATGAGGTTGTATTTCCGGTGGGGGAGGACCAGGGCGTTGTCACGGTACCGGTCGTTCAAAAGGTCCATGTCGTACCGGTTTTTAGACTGGCCCAACTGGACTTGGCCAGACATGGCAGCCTTGACGGCATCGTTCAACGCATTATACTCGCGGTAGGAGGGTTCGATGACGACGACCTGGGATGATAGCATCTGGTCGGGCAAAAGCCAGTATGCCCGGGGCATAGCAACGATGGCGGGAGGGAGGAAGAACAGTTCATCGAGCTTCTGCAGCAGGATCATGTCGGAGTCGAGATGGATGACTCGCTCGTATTGAGTCTCGCTAAACGCAAACAGTTTCGCTCGGCTCATGTCCCAAGACTGCTTGGAGCCTACCAAAAGCAAAACAATTAGCCCGCACAAGTCGCACTTCAGTACCGTTTGAACTTACCAGTTCGATCCAGGTTGACCCCCTCGATCTTCACCGGCACCACCTGGGCGTTATATTCATTTTTGGCCATGAGCAACAGCTGGCTCACGCGGTCTTCAGGAGAATCTATGATCAAATCCCAATCTTGCGGGTAGTAAAGTATACGATCCGCGCGGCTCCCAAGCCGTTGCAAGGCCTCAAACACCATCACGCAATTGCAGAGGTAGGTCTCCGACGTCGCATACTGGGTGTATGCAAAGCGAGACCAATCGACCGCATCATAGTTAATATGGGAGCGCGGCCGCGGGGGCGCCGCTGGCGCACGACGCAGCCACACAACTAACAAGGCGAAGACTGCGAGAGCAACCCAGGTGCGGATATGACGCAGCTGCCGCTTCACCAAGGCCAGGCATGTTTCGTCCGGGATGTCAAAGAAATCATCCTCCGAGGCCGCAGAGCCCCTACGGTAGGGGAATGCGTCACTTTTGGGTGGCATTGTCGAATGGAGAAGACATGGAGGAGTGGCAGACAAGCTGCTCCTCACACCCGCCAGATCACGTGGATTTCTCTCGCCCCTGGACGAAGATCGTCGAGTTTTGCGCGCGAAGTGGATCGACGGATCAACAGAACTGAAAACATTTGACGGAGGTCACAGCAAGAGGATGCATCGTCATGGGAAACGAGAATTAAGGGCAGAGAATAAGAGGCTAGCTAACAGAACTCCAGCATCATCTCAACAATTTTGTCTCGTGGTCAAGATGACGATAGACATCCTCCACCTGAAATCTCTGCGATGATTGTCATTTCTTCTCTAGATTGGCCCGTAATACTCAGTCCATTTTTATTGACTATGGCGATCACCTTTATTCTCTCTCGTTTGGTTTTCTGGAGAAAGAAAAGGACAATACTCGATCTCCCACCAGAAGTGTTGGCCTTGATCTTCCCCTATCTCTCAGTGGTCTCGCAAGCTTGCTTGGCTTTCAGTTGCAAAGCGTTCTATCATCCGTTCGAATATATCTTGAAAACGCCCGTCTTTCGATATCCCTACTCTAATGGCCTGGACCCGACTATTCATGTTGATACTCGAGCTCGATTTCTGATCAAGCTGGAATCCAAAGGCTGGTTCAAGCCATATTTCCGATCCCGACGTTGGAGGTATTGTGCCGCCTGCCTCAAATTACACCCGCGAAGTGAATTTAATTTTCGCCATTGGCGAGATGAACCATCCGGGCGTGTATGCCAATGGCCCGGGGTGATCATCCTCTGTCCATGCCTGAAGTTCAGACCGAAGAAACTGACCCAGCTCCATCGGGAACTCCAAAAGTCGAAGAAGAATTCGAGTATCGGTGTCGAAATTACGAAGCACATTCCAAAGTGGCATCAATGTGTATTCTATCGACAAGGGACACCGTTATATACGTTGGCAATATCAGTCTCCCTTGATGAGACAGATCGGCTTATCTTTCATTTTGACTACGACATTTATGCTGATCGAGCTGGGCGGAGCCTAGCGGACAGAAGAATCATGTTCTGCCCTCATACGAATGCCCTTGCGACGATCCTAAACGGGAGGCAGATCGTCTGTACTAGATGTGATATATACCCTTCCCCTAGGGTGTCGGATGGCACAAAATACTCGATTCAATTCACAAGAAAATTTTGCGTACCCAAGGGAAAGTGCCGCGATTTTCGGGACTATATGAATATGGAGAAGATTACTGATTACATGTGGAAAGAGTACGAATTTCCCCTTGGAGATACAAGGCAGATTGGCTAATGGCCCTAGGACCTGATGACCTCGTCTGCGCATTTGCTGAACGTCCTTGGGAGGCCCTTGTGCTGAATAGCTGTATGATTGCTTGTGCTTGGTAGTTTCAATCAAAACCATGTAATCCAAATCACGTATTTAAACAACATGATATACGGATTGTGTCGCTGAGATAGTCCTGGAGTATGTAGGGCGCTACTCAGCAGTGCACCGAGAGTGTTGATACTCCTCGATATCAAAAAACAGTGCTCTGGCCTCTTTTGTATGAGTAATATCCTGGATGAGGCCGAATACTCTTGCAAAAGATCGGGTTGCCACCTTTTCAAGGCAGTCCAATCCTCGGGGCTTGGCATTTATGCCCCATACGGCAAGTCCGAACATCTCCGAGCAGGCGTCACTGACGCCGTCCTGCGTGCTTCCACGTTTGGGGGATTCGGTTTTCAACATTTCGCCGTTGAATCTGGTGATACCTTCAATCTCCAAGTACTGACCGAGCTTTGCTTGCTTTATCATCGACAGAGCCTGATTGCGAGGTGCTTGAGGCCTCCGAGGACTCCATCCAAGTCGCCGCCAGCTGCCATCAGCTGTTGGGGGCCATTGTTACGTCGACTGTGTTCACAAATTGAGCCTATCTCGCTCCCCCGATTTCATAAATCCTACTGTAAATGGAGAGCCAGGAGCCGCGATCCCCCGACCCTGAGTCGGGAAGAAATCCCCAGCGCCGGCGTCGACCACCGCTGTCTTGCACAGAATGTCGCCGGCGCAAACTGAGGTGCGATCGCTCGCTGCCATGCGGGCAGTGTATTCGTTCCAAGACTGCGGACGCCTGTGTCTTTGCCGGTCCACAACCAGGGCCGTCGGATTCGTTGAACAGCCGCATGTCGCCACCCATCGCGCGGATGCAACCACCCAGCGGCTCCGATAATCAATCCGGGGAGAAGGGAGGCATGTTTGTCTTCGACTCAAAGCTGGGGCCCAGCTTCAACTCACATCGCATCTCTAAACGCAGCCGCCCGGATGAGCTCCATGACATGCGGCAGCGGCTGCGTCTACTGGAGAATGCCTTGACCAAAACATCTAGTTTGAACACCCTCGAAAACACGACAAGCGACGTCCGGTCCAACTTGAGAATATCCCAGCCCCCCGAAAACATTGGGGTCGATGATCATGTCCGGTTTTTGCCCGATGCGAGTTTCCGGGGCAAGAAAGCCAAAACCCGCTACTTTGGTCGCAGTCACTATACAACCACGGTATCATTTGTAAGTGAGATAGCATGGCAAGCCAGAGAAGTCTTGTTGATGGGGTGTATAGTTTTGCGATCTTGGGATATTTATGCGGAAGTACCGCGGAAACTCCAAAGACAAAGAATATACGGACGTAAAACAGTTCAAGTGCGAGCTCTGGTCACGGGAAACACAGAATCACCAACGGGAGTTTCGAGAGCAAGCATTTAACTTGGAAGAAATGATTCCGCCTCGGCCTGTGGCAGATGAGCTGCTTCACTTGTACCTGGAGACATTCGAAACCACCTACCGGGTTTTACATGTGCCGACCTTTTTAAAGCAATACTCCGATCACTGGGCTCGCATCCAACCCCCCGACATGGCTTTTGTGGCCCAGCTGCTGGCGGTAATGGCGGCCGGTAGCTGTTTCTATGTGTCTTCTGACCAGTATGGTGGAGAGGCACCTCAAAAGTCTGCCCTGAAGTGGATCATGGCGGTTCAGTCGTACATCTCATGCACCTTTGTGAGCCCCGACATCGATTTGCGAATGATTCAGATACAGACTTTGCTCTTGGTCGCTCGTCTTGGAGTGGCCAGCGACGGGGATGTGGCCTGGGCTTCGTCGGGATCGTTGATCCGGTCTGCCATGACGATGGGGTTGCACCGCGATCCCACCCGTTTCCGCAAAGCTGTGCCCTACTGGTCTGAAATGCGTCGTCGTTTATGGGCCACAATTGTTGAGCTGGATCTCAAGATTTCGTTGGACCGTGGCGTGCCGCCGTCGATGGACTTGGACGAATGCGACTGTGACCCGCCATCAAACTGGGACGATGCTGACTTGACAGAAGATATGAAGCATGATCCGGCTCCACTTGGTGTGACTCGATATACCCGGAATTTTTACCAAGTGCTTCTCGCGAAGACGCTGCCCCTGCGGTACCGCGTTGCCAAGAAGATTAATAGCCTGAAGTTCGACCTATCCTACGATGATGCGTTGCGCATGAGCGAGGAGCTTGTCCAGTATATGCAAACTGTAAAATCCCTCTTTGACGACCATGCTTCGGGCATGATGCACAATGAAGCCGGCCAACGGCGATTTCCCCAGTCCCTGCATCTGTTTATCATCCGCAAGTTTCTTCTGGCCCTCCATCGGCCTTTTTCGCTCAGTGTTGCGCGGCTCCCCAAGTGCTCGTACTCCCGAAAGATCTGCCTCGAAAATTCCCTTGAAATCCTCTCGCAGATGGAGCTTCCTCCCTCCCCAGAGACCAATCTCCATCCGCACATTACCCAATTGGGCAGTGGCATGTTTCGTGATGAGACCTTTCACGCTGCGGTCACCGTCTGCGTGGAGCTCATTCTCCAGGCCAATGAAATGAGCCATTCCGTGGGGCTTTCAATGGAGGGGACCAACTCCAGTGTGCTTTTGAGCATGATCCAATCTCAGCAAGGCGTGATGCTCAAGGCGGTGGACCGAATCACCGATGATTTTGGAAGGCGAATCGATCCGAGTGGAAAAGGATGCAAGCCATACTATTTTATGAACATCATCTTGGCGTCGGTCAAGTCTCGCATCAACGGGGAGGAGCCACAGAGCAAGGTCGAGGCTGCGTCAAAAATAGCGGTTCGCGTCTGCCGAGCACTGTTGAACGGTGTGCCGTGGCCCGAGGCCAAAGCTTGCGGGGATTGCAAGCCTGCATCGGTGAGCTTTGTTCTGTGTTTATATTGTTGGTCGAGCTGTACTAACCGGCACTTAGATCCCAACAGCACCGGGGGGGTTGACCCCGACCTCTCGCACCCCGAGTGACTTGGATCCTGCGTCTCTGTTGTCGACGGACCTCACCGACTTCACGGTAAGTACTATACGACTTCTCTCTGCGCTCTTGGATTACATGCTAATCGCCGCAGCCCATGGATCTCGGGGGTTGGTTTGATGGGTTAGACTATGGAGGTCCAGAGCTCTGGGATCGCGACTTCCTGGGGAACTTGCCCTGGGCATCATGACGTCTATTTACTATAATGAAGATATCCAACAAACCGTTCTTCTAATGCGATGTTGAACCAAGGGATGGAGCGCCAACTCGAGCCATCAGCATCGCTTCATGCAGCTCTGGCCAGTATAGACACACCCGTGACGTACGTACATAACGGGAGACAATATATGATTTTTGAAGTGAATGTGATGCATACTTCTTTTCTAAGAAGTTCTCATGCATGGCTGCTTCACCCGAGATCCCCAGGGGCAATGTTGAAGAAGCAAGGGCAGCAGGGGCACCCCTACATGCCGCCCTCGAGTCTCTGGTTGTATTTACTCTTTCTCTTTCGCATTTCGAATGTCCCATTGTCGCAGCAATGTTCGCACTTGTAATATCATTGCTGCTCCTTGGTGACTCCATCAGCGCAGATTTTCAGGAAAATCTTCCCCAAGCTGAGCTTGTCGCGAACGGCGTCGGCCAAACGCTTCTTCGGCCTCTTGAGCACGCAAGAAACGAGAATCTCACAATCGCGACCAGCCTCGTAGGCCAACCATGCGATATCCACAACCACCAGCGGTGTGAAAGGGGAGCTTTCTGCAACATGCATGTCAAGCAATGCTGGTCCAATGGCGTATATCGAAGCGACTGTGGCCCCGAGGATTACAAGCAGTGCCACCCCTTGTTTTTCTGCGACCCCGACCACCACTGCGCATTAAAGCGCCCCCGGGGACTGGAGTGCTCGGTTGATGTGCAATGCGTCTCCGGTCGCTGCAATCATGGGAGCTGTGAGACACCCAGAAAACAATGATTCATGCGAACACGGGCACATCGAGGGGTTTGGATTCATAAGTGATCGGCGTCCATGATCTCATTCCTCGGTCGGTTGAGAACCCACATGCGCCGATCACCGAAATATAAGAGCGCTCGAGCGTCCGAGGAGAGAGTCCATATTCATCGCACTCGATTTATTGATACAGAGACATGTCGTATGTAGCCACTCCGAGCTTTGATGATGATCAGGCATTAACCTCTTTGCAGCGCCATCCTCACCACCCTCGGACTTCGCGCCGCGCCCGGCCAGCAGCCGCCAAACCATGCCTCGGCCTTTCTGGTGGCCAATTGGCTCTTTGCATACGTGCTGATGAGCACCCGCGGGTCCAAGTTCCGCTATGGAATCGACAACAATGTCGCACCGCGAGAAGACCTGTCCAAGTACGGCGAGGCGGCCGTCCAAGCGGGCAAGTTGAGCCGAAGCACACTGAACAAGCTCAAGCGCCAGGAGGCAGCGCACGCAAACGCAGTCGAGGGCTATCCTCTGTTTGTTGCAGCCAGTACGTTGTATCCATCCCTCATCGGTGCCATGCTGACGACCCAGTCATCCTCTCCGTCTTGGCCGGAGTCCCCAACGAAACCATCAACACCATCGGGGTGTGGTACACAGCGTCCCGGATTGCCTTTAGCCTGGCGTACTCGTACATCGAATCGAAGCCGCTGAGCTTCTTGCGCTCGGTGGTGTGGTGGTCGGGCAACATCAGCTGTATCACAGGTCTGGTGTTGGCAGGAAAGAAGCTGTAGACTGGATATATCCAAATTTGCTACTCCGTCAGCCATTAGCTAGATCTGTGACAGATGAACATTGGGACATACTAAGACCCACGTCTTAAGAAATACGACTGGCTTTTGTCCCTGGACAAGCTTCATCGTGTAAGGGTTAAAGCGTGAAATGAAACGATATAGATCTTCTTTAATACTAATAACCAGCTCTGTGGGATCCTTCATACAGCCTTGGAGCCTTATGACGATCCAATGTCGTGATGATTTACTAAATTAGAAGTCTCAAGGGACACTCTTTCCCTTCTAGTGCTATTCTGCAAGCCAAGTTCACCTATAAACCATGAGAGAATCCAAATCTTTATTTACTATTCTCCTGTATTTTCTGCTGCCTTTCAAGAGAACCTTAACAATCGGTCATAGACCAGTCACTATTTTCACAAGCTGCAAGAGAACCTCAACAATCAATCAGCAACCGGTCATTGTCTTGATACTTCTTGATACCCTGTTTGCCAACTTCACGACCAAACTGATTTCTGTCATGACCCCAATCAATCAGAGTCAAAAACCGTGGATCGGTCAACAACCGGTCACTATATGGAATGTCTGGGACAAATTCTGGAAATATGGGTGGACAGTCCTCGTGTTTACGCTGGGCTTTTTCTTGCACGAATGGGCGAAGCACTGGTTACGGTCTCTAGGTCTATTGCCTGAGAGCTCTACCGATGTGAAGATCAAAGAGATCCACCCGGTTGTTATACGCCTAGAATCGTTCTTTGACCGGTCATTTCCTGATTTCCACCCTAAAAAGGACGATCACAAACACCTCCATTGGCTTCAGCGACTGGAATCAGTCGTTGATGAATTCATCAAATGGTCTAAGGAAAACCCGCTGACCAATCTCCCACCGGTCATTACAGAGACCAGCAATCCATCGACCGATACCCAACCGATCATTAAAAAGACCGGCGAACTACTTGATCTCATAGATGGATTGGTGACCACTCTACACAGAATCCAGGCGCAACATGAGCATCTGGTCTCTGAGGCTGCGTCCTCTGCTGGTCAGGAGAACCAAGTGACCGGTCAACAACCAATATCAACCTCTCCTCCACCTCCTCCACCTCCTCCACCTCCTCCCCAGATCCTGACCCCCCTGCCCCCAATCCCGACAACTCCACCGAGGAACCCATGACTGGGTCGACCGATCAGCAACCGATCCCTACATCTCCATGGCCTACAGGGCCGCCAGTTATAATTCTCGCTTATGACTGGCTCTTGGAAGAGGCCTAAGGGAGGGAGATTATGCTATGGTTGGGTGGTGTTTTGTCTTTTATTCTTATTTTGTAGACTTAGAATTACTGTATTCATATTATTATATAGTTTAGTGTGGACATAAGAGGATAGGAGAGGCAGGTTTTCTTTTCTTTTTATTGCTGTTTCTGTTATATTATATACCCAAAGACCTTGTTGATTTCTAGTCCATTCCTAGTAGTACTGCTCCTTACTGACTTATACTATACTTAATAATCAAAATTATCACGACATGAAATCATCACGCTTAACACATTTTCCAGCCCAGAATTACCACTCGTCCACCCGACGCATGCGGAGATGCATGCCCTCGACGGGCTTGGTGGTCACAGCACCTGCAATGTGGATCTCCTGCTTGGGATCTTGCATCTCAAAGGCAAAGCGACCAACCACGCCAGCGACGGCGCAGCGCAGCTCAGCGCGCGCAAAGTCCTTGCCAATGCACGAGCGCTGGCCGTGCAAGAAAGTGATTTGCGCAAAATTGGTCGACGCGCCGCCGTTGTGGTTGGGAACAGGAGCACCGGTCTTGTCGGTGTCAATCCACCGCTCCGGCACAAACTCCTCACCGTTGTCGCCCCAGAAGGTTGGGCTACGATTGATCGCGTACGGACACAGGATAACCCGCGTTCCCTTGGGTACGTGCTTGCCGACCACCACAGTGTCGCGAGCTGCTTCACGGATCGTCGCCGGTACCGTCGGGTATAGTCGCAGTACCTCCTGACACACCCCGTTGAGCAACGGCAGCGACTCCAGATCCTGGTATGTGATCGGACTGTTGCCGGAGGGGATCTTGGCGCGGATCTCCTCCCGCAGTCGGGTCTGCGTATCTGGGTACTGGGTAAGTAGATAGCATGCCCAAGTAAGGGCACTGGCGGTGGTCTCGTGCTAGATAGGCGTTAGTGCGTGCCAAAATGTATACGGAGGAATCGAATGAGGAAGAAGATAACTCACCCCCGCAGCCAAGAAGGTCAACATCTGATCTACCAGCTCCGTATCAGAAAAGTTCCCGCCAAGCATCATCGTGCCCAGAATATCTGCTTCAAGATCCTTGGTCGAGGCCTTGGAAGCAGCAAGCGTTTCACGTTTCTCGCGTACGATGTCATTGCACAGATTGCGCAAGAAACCGGTCTCGTTAGCAACCACCTGATTAAGACGCCACGGCACGCGCTGCGCAATCCACTGCGGTAGGGTAAAGTTCATGGCCAAAAACGCCATCTTTTCGGTAGTTGGTTCGAGAATATTCAGAAAGCTCTCGGCCACCCTATTGTCGGTATTTTGCAGGGAGCGAAAATCGCGGCCCATGGCGGCGGGTCCGATAATATCCAGAGTGAGGCGGCTGGGTTCATTATGAGTATACACTATTGGAGAGGAGCTGGAATTTGCTGCTTCACGTACCTCCCCCACACGCCCATTTCCAGCTTACCAACCCCGTCAGCGATGTTGGTACCCTCCATGGGATTGAGCTTCAGCTCTTTCTCCATCTCTTCTAAGTACTGGTTGGTCTTATCCCACATGAGCGAATACATGGCGCGAATGTTCTTGATATTGAATGCCGGGGTTAGAGCCTTGCGCTGCTTCTTGTGGGCTGCGCCCTCGGACAAAATCAGCCCAAAGCCCAAAATGCGGGCTAAAAAGTTGCGGAAGCGCCAGGGCTTCTCAAAGTCGTAGGTGTTGGTGCTCATAATATCCAGCAGCGCCTGGTGGTTGGTGGCTACTAAATAGCTCTGGCTGATGGTGTCGCGCATATGGATGAGACCCTCATTGGGAATGGTCTTCATCCAGTACAAGGGCATCCGGCCCCGCGGAGAGTCAAAAATGATCTGCGCATGGTTCATGAGACCCTAGAAGGCGCGTCAGTGTTTGTAGATGTATCGCAACGGGAAGGCCATCACGATACCGGGACCTTGGGCAGATGTCGCAACGGGTTCAGGAAGAACGGCCAAATGGCCAAACTCCAAATTCCCTTGAGAAGGAGGTTGACCCCCAGGGCCCCCAGACACACGGTCCGGAAGGCTTCATCGGCGAACAGAGTGCGTTGTAAAAAATAGGCCTCCACGATAGTGAAGGCCGCGAGGGCGGGCAAACTATCGCCGGCCGCCATGATGAAAAAAAAATCACAAGATGGCCATCGATCGAAAGTTCTTATTCAACCATGGGCAGTGGGCCCAAATATGAGAGGAATAGGCGGAACACCTTTTGCCCCAGACGGTAGGGCCATGACTCCACCAGGGATCGGCATGAACCAGTTGTTGGGGAAGATCTCCGACCTCGGCAGGTGGGATGAGGGGGGAGCTTGTGGGAACAGCATTAGCATCGTCATCGACATCATTAGTCGGAGTTCAAAGAAAGAAAAAGAACAGTGTTAGGTGAACCGAGAGAGAAGAAAGAAAGGAAGAAGAAGCGAGAGAGAGACGTGGAGACTTCATGTGAAGTTGATCGGCGCGAGTCGCATTGATTTCCCCATTAAGTGGACCTCGGCTGAGTGTCATTCGCTTGAATTTCGGGAATTTGCGCGTTTCTTAAAGCTCTATCATTGTGAGAATTGCTATACTTATTGCTGAGTTTACTCTTGCTCATTGCAGCTCATTTGAATATACACTGCCCTCGTCGAAGCAAGTTACACCAGTCCGGAGGGTTTCTACGCCATCCCCATTGTCCTTTTCTCTACACCTTTCCTCTTTCCTCTTTCCTCTCCATCGCTCGCCATGTCTCTCGATCTTGTTCGCCAATATATTCAAACGGCTCTGGCCCACCTCCCCGACCCGGCCCAGCAATGGCTGCGCAACCCAACCATCCAGAAGGTGCTGGCCGTCGTGGTCGCGCTGGGCCTGTTGCGCTCCGCCAACCGTTGTCTATCGCAGTGGGCTTTGAACAATTGGCGGCGCAGTGACCCATGGCGCTCCACACGCGAGTTGGTCTTGTTGACCGGTGGGTGCAGTGGAATTGGTCGCCAGGTCATGGAGGATCTGGCGCGGACGGGCGTGCGAGTGGTGATTCTGGATATCAACGAACCAACCTTCCAATTGCCGGCCAATGTCTCGTTCTATCGTGCCAATATCACCTCCTCGGAGAATATTGCCGATGTGGCCAAGACGATTCGGAGCAACCATGGCGAACCTACGGTGTTGATCAACAACGCTGGCGTCGCCTACGAAGGCACGATTCTGGAGAAGCCCGAGGCCAAGATCCGCCAGACTCTCGATGTGAACACCTTCGCGCACTTCCTGATGGTCAAGGAGTTCCTGCCGGCCATGGTCCGCGCCAACCATGGCCACATCATTACCGTGGCCAGTATGGCCAGCTTTGTTGGACTGGCCGAGATGACCGACTACTGCTGTTCCAAGGCCAGTGCTCTGGCCTTCCACGAGGGTCTCCGCCAGGAATTGCGGTTCTGGTACAACGCGCCCAAAGTGCGAACGAGGCAAGTTGACTCACCAGCGCCGAAAGAGAGACCCCTTTGCTGATCAGTTCTTGTTTTACTGCAGTGTGATCCACCCGATGTGGGTACGGACGCCCATGATCAAGATGCTCACCGACCACGAAAAGCATTTCAGGCAACCCATCATGACGGTGCAGGTGGTCTCGGATGCCATCTGCAAGCAGGTCCTAACGCAAAACAGTGGCCAGATTATCCTGCCCGCCAGCCAATCTGTGGCTAGCACGATTCGGGGCATGCCGGCGTGGATGCAGGAGGGCATTCGTGCCGTCGTGTCGCAGAGCTTCCGGAAACTCCGGCACGCGCAGCAACAGGAGGCGTCGTAGGCGAAAATGAAATTTGGCTGGGTAGAGTGATTGAAGATGTGATGAAACGCCATATACACTGGAAATATGCCGAGCTACCTGACTTGATACCTGAAATTTATACCTTGAATATACTCTATGGATTGATGGAGGCCTCGACGTGGAAATGAAGAAATGAATGCCATTTATTTGATCTAGATCCAGTCGAATGTGTATGTTATTGCTATCGGAGTACCTCGGGAAGTACCTATATCCTCTCACATGGCGTACATCTATCGCATGGAACATCAAGTATTCCATAGTTGATCAAGACAAATCTGCCTCGAGCTGTGTATATACTAATAGATGGACAAATATGTACCGATACGCAGATGTACAGAACCATCTATGAGTGCATCTACCGCGCAAGCTCCGTCAGCCACGTTTTTACCTTCTTCCCCTGCTGTGTCTCGGTGCGATCCCCAATGTACAGGTTGTAGATAGGCGCCACATGGCACTCGCGGTGGCCAACTAGCAGTTCCACGTTGGGGAAGCCCTCTTTGAACTTGGCGGCAAATTCTTGGATGATGGGAAGGAGAATCTCATTTCCACCACCCGTAATCAGCACCGAGTTCACCGGGAACGACTGGTACCAATCAGCTGGTGCCGTTAACAGATCCGTGTAGAAGTCGCGCGGAGCATCACCCAGATATGCCGAAGCCCAGGGCTGCGCAACGGCCGGCGTGATCAGGTCACCTCCATGATAGATTTCCTGGCCCTCGAACTCGGTGTCCAGTAGAGCCCAAGGTGCGATCATGGCAGCGCCGCCCAGATTCCCGTCGAGGGCTACAGGCGAGATCTGCGGGTGCGGGTGAGCCAGATGCGACAGCACGCCACCCACCAGATTCCCACCAGCCGAGTCACCGGCCAAGAAGACGGTGGCTGGATCTCGGTTAGGCTGGGAGACGATGTAGCGCACGCATTCCACAGCCTGCCGCAGCTGGGTTGGATAAGTGGCTTGGGGGGCGAGAGTGTAGGTCAAACTGAAGACGGCGATCTGCTTGCCGGCGCGCTCGAGCTCGCGAATGATTTGGGCATAGAACTTGAAGTAGCCGATATTGGCAGGCAGACCGAAACCACCACCATGAAACCACACCAGCACATTGGGGGCATTGCGATCGCCAATCCAGTGGCCTAAAGCACCATGGCCCAAATCCACCGATTGAGGGACGAGACCGGACTTTTTGGTGTACTGCTCGTAGATCTTGTTGGAAGGCGGCAACACATACTGCATCTGCGTTGGCGACAGACGCGCGGTAGCCTTGCGGAACAGGGCGTAGCCAAAATGCAGGAGCAGGGACTTGGCCTGGCGCTCGGTGCGCCACAGGCCCGTCAGAATGGCATAGAAGCCGGCCAGGACAATGGAGCCCAATGCAGGGAGAAAGTCCAGCTTCTCCTGGAATGAGAGTGTAACTTTGGTCAACGACATGGTATAGCAGAGTCTCTCACGAGATCACAGTTCTCCTGGAGGCCATCGCGCCTGATAAGTCTCGAAGGTGGAGCCTTGTTTCCCCTTGAAGAACCTCGGGGGAAGAAGAAGTGGAGAGGATCCACTCGCACTGGTGACTGAAAGCAGTAAACGAGAGGACTATCCCTCGTTGTTGGGGCCGAGGTTGGTGGGGGACCCTCGGCATGATGAAAGAACTCATGAGGGATCTTGGAAGATCAAGATGGTGAAGATGGTGAAGATGTTGGATGTGATGAATATGATCGATGGTGGTATACTGATATACTATGGAGACATCCCTTCATCGTTCGAGTCCCCCGAGTCCCCGATTTTTTTTTTTTTTTTTGTAAGAGTCTCACCGAAATCCCCGGGTTTTCTTTCATGTTTAATATGTCTTATCGAATATTTTATAGTATATTAATTTATTATTTGTAGTTTGTTCGCAACGCGAGCGATCGGCTTCACTTGTGAAACCGAGGCATATGCACCCCTTCAACATCGCATGTCCGCATAAAATCGTGGCTCAATCCACCTCCATCCTCCCCCAGAATCTTGCGCAACTCACCCCTCATCACTATGAATGGCCATGCTGTACAGTCGGAGCATCGCTTCGACGTGATCATCGTCGGCGCCGGTATCTCTGGCATCAACGCCGCCTATCGTCTCCAGGAACAATTGCCTGGCTACAGCTATGCAATCCTTGAAGCTCGCAATGACCTGGGTGGGACCTGGGATCTCTTCCGCTATCCGGGAATTCGTTCTGATTCGGATCTTTTTACTTTCGGCTTTGCCTTCAACCCGTGGAGTCGCGACAACCCGATCGCCGAGGGCTCTGCCATCAAACAGTACGTGCGCGACACCGCCCACAAATTCGACATCGACTCGCACATCCACTTCAAACACCGGCTGTCATCGGCCGACTGGTCGACCTCCGAAAAGACATGGTCGCTCACCGTCGACCACGACGGGACGGCCAAGAAATTCACGACCCGTTTTATGATCTTCGGCACAGGCTACTACAACTACAATGAGCCGTTGCAGGCGCAAATCCCGGGCCTGGATAACTTCCAGGGTCAGACAATCCACCCCCAATTTTGGCCCAAGGATTTGAATTACAAGGACAAGAAGGTTGTCATCATCGGCAGTGGCGCCACTGCCATCACTCTCCTCCCCAACATGGCCGACCAAGCCTCGCGTGTCACCATGCTACAGCGCAGTCCCACCTACATTCTCTCGCTCCCCAACCGCACCAATGGTCGTTGGTTGTCCTATATACTACCGTCTTCAGCGTACCGCAAACTGCAGCGCATCATTTGGATCGTCACCTCGCGCATCTTCTTCCTGTTTTGCCAGCGATTCCCCAACTTCTCGCGCTGGATCCTGAAGCTCAATGTGCGCAGGCAGCTTCCGAGCCACATCCCCTACGACCCGCACTTTAAGCCGCGTTATAACCCGTGGGACCAGCGGCTCTGTGTCTCGCCCGATGGGGACTTCTTCGACTGTATGCGCCGCGGCAAGGCCGATGTCAAGACAGACACCATCAAAACTGTCACTAAAAAGGGTATCACGCTGAACTCGGGGGAGACGCTGGACGCCGATATTATCGTCACGGCGACCGGGTTGAAACTGCAGATTGCTGGCGGCGCGCCACTCTCAGTGGACGGCAAGAAGATCGACATCGGAACCAAGTACCTGTGGAACGGGGTGATGCTGCAGGACCTGCCCAACGCCTCGTTTATCATCGGTTACACCAACGCCTCGTGGACGCTAGGCGCCGATGCCACCGCCCAGTTTGTGTGTCGGCTGCTGAAGACCCTGGAATCGCGTAAGATGATCGCTGCCACGCCGCGAATGAAGCCGGCCGACGCGGGAACTCTTCAAGATCGCCACCTGCTGAACCTGACCTCGACCTACGTGACGGTCGCCGAGCGCGAGCTGCCCAAGGCGGCTGACCGGGGGCCCTGGCAGCCGCGCGATAACTACCTGGACGACCTCAAATTTGCCCAGAAGGGGAACCTCGATAACTGTTTGGAGCTGGTGCAAGGCCCGAGCCTGCGTCTGCGCCCCAAGTTGTCGTAGCCCTTGGCACGCGTGTATATTTTTGACGACATGATACCGGAATGATTTGTTTGATTTGACATGTATTAGACTCGGCGCATTTTAACACATAACGACATTTCACTTGCTCTCGAGATCGTGATATTCAAGGCATCCTAGATCTTGCGCATACTGAGTCAATACCTTTGAATGGAATGGAAGTATTACAGTCAGAGATGATGTCACCATCACGATGCCATCGGTGTCTTGTAGATCACCACCCTCGTAGCTGTCGTTGAAACCACTCACCTTGGTCTGCCACAATGCCCCCCCCCCGAAGGACAAATACATCAACCCGGACCTGCGTGACCAAATCAAGCAGGAAATTCACGGCGGCGACAAAGGCGGAAAAACAGGTCAGTGGTCTGCACGCAAGGCGCAATTAGTGGCATCCGAGTACAAAAAGCGCGGAGGGAACTACACCACCTCCAAGGATCAAGCCCAAGACGCCTCTCAAAAACACCTGGACCAATGGACCAAGGAAGAGTGGCAGACCCAGGAAGGCTCCGGCACAGCGCGCCAGGCTGACGACACCCGGAAACGGTATTTGCCCAAGCAGGCGTGGGAGGCGATGAGCGTCGAGAAAAACAGGAGACCGAGACGAAAAAAGATTCAGAATCGGGTCAAGGGAGACAATTCGTGGAGAACACGGAGAAGGCGAGGTCAGCGCGGCGAAAGGCGAGTGATGCAGTGGCATCCGATAATCAAGATACAAGTGAAGACGAAGAGCAGTCCAGCTAGACAAACTCCATGAGACATTTCATCCCATCTACAAGCAGCAATGACCCAAAATTATGTAGTTCCTGCTCAGACCAAAAGAAAATACACATGAGAACACTCCCCAAACGCTCGAATCTTGGTCTTGTCGCATTCGATGTGCATCGACCATCGCCTCTTACTTGCTTTCCTCGTCGTTCTTTTCATTACCTTGATACCGACTTTGCGGCAGCATGTTCAGTTGGTCCTCCTCCCGGTCCAACTTGTAGTTGGTCAACCAGAAGCCCGCACCCCCGACAAATGCCAGGATGGCTGTGACGCCGTAGTTCCACTCGAGGAGCGGATCCTCCGACAAGCTGACAAGGGCCTGTCCCAGAGCCGAAGAGAAGGCATTCATGAACAGCGCCACAGCCTGTACTAGGGATCGCATGTTGCGCGGCGCTTTGGTGAATGCATACTCCAGCGAGGTGACCGAAGCAAAGATCTCTGAAATACCGCCCAGCACATAGGTTAGTGCCTGCACCCAGACCGAGATATCAGTATATTTGCCCTCGCTTTCCAGACAGTAGTTGGCATTCTTGCCGCACGGGCCGTTCTTGTAGATATAATGTTGGGTCACTGTAGCGACGATCATCGAGCAGCCCGCCGCGAGGAAGCCCGCCGTGATTCGCTTCAGAGGGGTGAAGTTAAATCCAGCGCGACGGAGGCCCGGGTAGATAATACGATCCATAATGGGAATGAAAATAATGAGCGAGAGCGGGTTGAGGTTGTTAATGATGTCGTTCGGCACACCCCCGAGGCGCATGGTCGCGGCTTGCGAGGTGAGGTTGTTTAGCATCTGGTTGTAGGACAACCCTAAAGACAGTCAGTAAACGGTCACAGTCAAATATGATTTGCACGCCACCTACAGTACAACGGATACCACAAGAACACTACGCAGGCTTTGAGCCCACGTCCAACTTCATCCACCCATTCGTCATCAAAGGTCATCCAATCCGGCTTGTTCGCACCGAGATGGCTTGGCTTGACGTGCTCCCAGAAATCATTCGAGTTGGATGTCCCCCGGAACCTGTGATGCGTGAGTCCAGTTTTTCTTGTCATTATTGGAAGTCAGGATAGACATACAGTCGCACAGGATTGAAAGACCAGCGATCCTTCATCGCCAGGCTCCACAGTCGGAATGCCTGAGAGTACACAGACCCAGTGGGTGGAATCAAATAATAGCGATTGCGGCACATGAACAAAACTGTAGGGCAGAGACAAAACATGGCTGTGGGCAGAAGGAACGACAGCCAGAAGCCAACGTATCGTTCGGCATAGACCATACTCACTTGCCCCACAATGGAGCCAATGTTGATCATCATATAGAAGTAGAGATAGATGCGCGAGACGGTGGCAGCCGGGTCGACAATGACGCGCTCTCCGCTGGCCAGAGTCTGAATGTACGGCCTGTCCTCTCGGTACTGTTCGGCAATGAGGGCAGAGATGTTAGATCTACAAAGAGTTAGTCTCCGTCTGCATTGGTTCAATTGCGGGAGGCATACTTGAAACCACCTGTTCCCACGCCCATAATCACCAGTCCGACTGAGAAGCAGACAATCGAGCCGCCAGGGCTTGCAATCACTTTGGGGATGGCGGAGATAATCAAAATGACATGTCCGAGGAGGGCGGCGGCGATGGAGGCAAAAATGGTGCGGAATCGGCCCCAGTACTGGTCTGCCACGAACGCACCCGCCAGTGGCATGATATAGGACCAAAATTGATTGACTGGGCTATCAGTCAAAGTTGACGTACCGGATTTGACAATACTCACACAAAGTCAATCCAGTTGATGCTCGTTGACCCATCCCCAGAGCACCCGGCACATCACTGTCCCAATTGGCACCGGCAGACAAAGCACCGGTAGTCGAGTTCGCCGGAAGAGGTCGCTGGATGAAATTGACAACTGATTTCCGTCAATCAAAATGTTCTAGTTCAGGGTTCATTCTCCTTCATTCATCTGTGGGTAAACCTACAAACCGCTGTCGTGCCATAGTAAGAGAATCGCTCGCAGAGCTCCACGAACGCAATAGTAAAGGCTGACCATGGCACCTTGCCCGCAACTCGACGCAACGCGCGCAAATCCTCATCACTAGGATAAATCTTGTCCAGCGATTGAGTGCCTGCATCAGCATCGAGGCCTTTGCAGATGGTGGTTTCCTGAATGCTTGGTTCAATGATCAAGTCATGCTTCTCGTCTAGACCGATGGCATGCGAGGCAGATCTGGATTTAGCAACCTCGGCCACCTCGACCGGACCCGAGGAGTTCATTGTGAGCGAGGCACGTCAGAAGCCAAAGGTGAGAGACGGAGAGTGATGAGACAAAATGAAAGAAAGAAGGAAAGGAGCGCAAGGCGAAGTCAGGCCGAGTTAAATGGCGAGGCCACAAGGTGTCTACAATAGGCAGGAGGCAAACTCCCCTTCATCTTCGGCTTTTGTTCCCTGCTTCTCCCATCGCTCCCCATTATTCTCATCCTCTTCCATTCTGCCCTTTTCCCACTAACGGAGCATTGACTAGAATAGGCCTCTCCAGATCCAAAATGTCTGTGCGACACGATCGAGATTCTCACGGTTGCCATCGGCCCATGAGACACAATTTGGCCTCATTTGACGATAAGAAACCTTCGCCGTGGCCATTGTGAAAGATCCCAGAAGCTAAAGCCTGCCAAGTTCAGGCAAATCCAATCACCACGACAATTCCCACGGCCGAGTTCATTTCCATCCCGTCGGCGCCCCTTTAGCGCACGCTGCCCCGCGCACGATGCACGCTTGGCTGGCAGGTTACACTGTAACCTTGTCTCTTGGCTTAAAGAAGCGAATCCACAAGCGTGGCCAATATGCAGGGTTCCAGAGAAACTCATTTTGCCACGATACAAACCGGATCTGACAGCTCGCGTGATAACGACGGGTCCGCTATAACCCCCGGACTCCAACGGAACCCCCAATCAGACATGTCATGATTATCTTATTCTCATTCTATTCTATTTTATTTTTCTTACCCTACTCATTCCGCGATTGCGCCTCCCGATTGCGCCTCGCATTTCCCTCTAACCCATACAGTGTATCCTCCGACATGCCTGGGATGACCATGTCGAATGTATCTTTGACTACCGTGTACTGGTAGTAACCACACCGTGCAATCGGTTGAGTTTTCCGAATGTCGAGGATGCCGTCCGTGAGGTCCTCATCCTGGATGTGCACGGCGATCACCCGGCCGATCACCACGTCCACTGTGCCCATCGGCGGATTGCCGGGCAGCCGTACAGTGGAATGGTACTCACATTCGAACTTGACGGGCGATGGTTTTTTCCTGGTGACTCCCATCTCTGCCCTAAATACAAAGTCAACCGCATCACCTACCGGAACAGTGCGATTCTGCCTATGTCATGTGGCCGATTGACAGATGAGACTGTAATTTGATCACTCCTATTTTAAGGTGACACTGACAAAACGAAATAGCACACAATGATTGGATCTTTGGCTGCCGCCGAGATTCGCAAAATCTGTCAGCAGCACGATCTTCCCGTCACCGATGCCTTTGCCCTGTTCGAATCGCAAGTCACCTGGGTGGAATTGCAAATCGATACCGCGCGGCTGCGTGCAACGAAAACCACACCGTCCGAATTCTCAAAGCAGATCGGAGACCTAATCTTCGATTGCAAGGCCGGATACACCATCCATCGTCTGGTAATGGTGGGTGATGACATCGACGTCTACAGCGGCAAGGACGTCGTGTGGGCCTTCTCCACTCGTTATAGACCGGGATTGGATGTGATATTCTATGAAGATGTGCGTGGATTCCCACTGGTTCCTTAGATGTCGCATGAGAACTGTTCGCCGGTCCAGGGGGCAAGGTGGTCTTGAATGCGTTGCTCCCATGTGAGTATACCACGGGACGGGACTGGGAGCCCGCAGATTTCGAGAGCTCGTATCCAGCGGATGTCAAGCAAAGGGTGTTGGATGCTTGGACTTGAATGGGGTTTCGTGAGGAGTAAAGATTGATCCATGAATGATATTCTCTAGACTGTACACTAGTATCAATATAGATATTGATTGGCTTTCAATGATTGATTATTCGTGTTTGCAGTTCTGGATTTGATATTTTCCATTAAAACACACTTTTACCTGGTGGTTTTGTTGTATTGGTCCAATATCTATGTTGCAATATGAACCCGAGTACTTCCAACCCGGCATTGCCATGCTCATTCTTTGATCAGCTGAGATATATCTCACGCGAGCAAATATCTAATAAACAATTCTTAGTGTTGGCTAATTGTTCATAAATAATCGAGCACGGTATATATATATATATATATTTGAAAATCATGTGAGAAGGCGTTCACAACATTCCGACGAAGAGCATTTTCCTTGGACATGCCGGATCTTGATATCTCAGATATTGACACCAGCTGCCCAGAAGTGTCCCATCAGATTCACCGCTTCACTTCAACCAACTGTCTTGTATTGGTCAAGACCTGCCCTTTCAAGAAATTCGCCAAGCTCGGACCCTCGGCATCATGAGTGTCAGTCATGACGAGGTGGATCGAGTGCTGCGTCTCAAGCGAGAATCGCGAGCCTGCTACCCTTGTAGGAAGCGAAAAGTGAAATGCGATGGAAACCAACCGTGTCGGATGTGTCAGAAGCGAAACACTTACGATGCGTCGGGTGGTTCGGCGCCTGGTCCAAGCTCTCACCATGGAATCCCTCAATCGACCACGCCCAGTTCACCACCGATAGTTCCCAGTCCGGCTATTGAGACATCGTCGCGCGAGAACCAGAGCACCGGGAATTATGTCTACTGCGGAGATAACTCGATCGTGTCAATTTGACGCTCTCGTGCATCCGATGCTAATGATTCTATGACCCACGATGTCGGTTCGGTGCTCGGACTCTAGAACACTTTCAATAGGTACCCCTTCATGGACTCCAAAACACCACAGTAACGATGGAAGTCTTTACTGGCGGTGTTACCACAAGGAAGCGAAGTCCTGAAGTATGTCGCCGTGGCTCAATTGAGACAAGGGCGACGGCTGATAATGCTAGATTTTTTCATTATTATCGCGTGACTGCTTATCCTTTCAACCCCATCTTAGTAGACATGGATCGCTTCGAATCGGACTTGTGTACCTACCTCAGGGCCCATGCCGCCGGAGAAGCTCCGAGACTCAGACAGGGTCACTGATCGGTGGGCGACGGATAAGTCCATTGGCCATATCGGCCTTTTGCTGGCGACGCTAGCAGCAGGAGCTCACTATTCTGATGTTGGGTATTCCCAGCGCTTGAAGACTTCTACCGATTTCGGTATGGCCTGGTCCTTCACATTGCGGGACTATATTAATGATTTTCATAGCTCGCCGATCCTTCCACGCGCTTCAGCTGGCCAATTTTCTATTTCGCCCATCACTGAATATCATTCAAGCTCTTCTTATTTTGGGAAATACTCTGCAAAATACAGGCCAGTCTGATGCTGGGTACAACAATTCGACTGGCTCAGACCATGGGGCTGCATACCGAAAGAAGTACGCTTCATTGGCCCGACTACCTGCAAACCAATGCCAGGACACTATGGTGAACAGGTCCTCTATTGTCTGGCAGGATAGCCTTTGCCTTTGTTATGACCGCCCACCGATTGTTTCCGTGGCGGGGTGGACTCTTGACGAATCCTTTTATCAACGACAGGATTTGTCTTATGCTGAAATCATGCATTTTATTTGTCGACTCGGACTAGATATCATGCAGCCAGAACACCCGGGGGTAACCGAAGCGGATCGAGCGCTTGAGGCTTTGCACAAACTTGATGCGGTTTACCAACGCGGGAAGGCGTTCTTACATGCTCGTGAGGCGTGTGTCACCTTTCAGCAGCATCTCGAGCATTTGGCCCTCAAAATGCACACATCATTTTGCGTGTCAGTAGTTTGCCGCCCGGCTATGAAAGAGTCCAACGCGCAACATCTATTGGGGTCGGCATCTATTGGGGTCGGCGGACATTCACCGGGAGGAGCTTGATTGATGCTTCGAGAGCCTTCCTCGATTTCCAAGCACTTAGCATTATTCCCTTGCGCAGCTGGTCAATGGTGCACACGGCCTTGAGTTCCACCTTGCTGCTTTGTATCTGGGAAGAGACACGCAATGATCCCGACTGTCGGCGCTTGCAGCAACAGGTGATTGATGTTTTCTTTTCCTCTAATGCGAGAGCCTCCGATGAGGGAGATTCAAATTCCGATAGTGATAACCAGTGGTTGTGTACGCATCATATCCGAGCGTTGGTCACACTACGAAATACTTTAGATCGGCAGGAAGAGGCGGGAGCTGTCAACCATGAAGACTGGTCCGGCCAAGGGTTGAATGCGGGTGTCCTCGGGGCTGGGTGAGTCGATTTACATGGCTTGCTTTCCGATATTGTTGCTCATGCTACTGCCCTTAGTATGCCCGGTTGGTATCTGGATATGGCCAACCCGATGGATATATCACCAGCGTCTTACCTCGACTCAATAATGAACGGTAATTGTATTTGTGTCAGCCTGTACATGTGTACCTGTATAGTATTCGCTGACTTGAATGACCCGTAGCTCCTTTGTTTGACTTTTCGCAAAGGAATGAGTATCTATAAAAGCATGGCAAAACAATGACTGCTGACAGATGGCGTACTTTGGCAATACCCAGCTCAAGAACAACAGATCAGATTTCTATTTCGTCGTCGCTGGTGGCCCATCTATCCCTACTCCTCCGCGGCAGCTTGCCGGCGCAGTGAAACTCCCTTGCGACGCCGTATGGGAAAGCCCAATTGGCAAAAAACCCACGACAAACGCTGATCGTTGTATTTAGCCAGTCCCAGAGCCCCGTCACCGATTTCCCAGGTCCAGTTGATCCACTGCAACCTCCAGCGCACGCAGGATCTCAACAAATCTCTCGGCCGCTTTCCGACGTGATAGAGACTGGTGCATTAAGATATTCAGCGCATTGAGATCAGATTCATCAAAGATATGATTTACCGTTTCGAGTTGCGCGAAGCCTTCAAGGCGACGGGGCAGTTTCAGTATACTGCGACAGCCGGACTGTGATTCCATGACAATAATCGATCGGATGCACTGCCGGGCTAGGCGATGATCCGAAGCCCTCAAATGCTGGACTTCATTGTGAAGCTGATCCATTAACTTGCTCCTCATGGCAAAGGTCTCGACACCGAAAAGAACGGTTTACCCATCAGCCGGATCCTACAGGTGCCCGTTATGAACTGCCAGTCCTGCAAATGGCCAAACTGCGCGGGGTCCGCATACCGCAGAAGCAGAGGTGGCAGGCCAGCGGGAATATGGTCCCACCTATCTATATCTTCTATATTGAATGAGTGAGTGAAGTGCCGTATCGAAGGGTGCTCTTCTTACCCGTCAGTGCTTTGTTGTATGCTCGAAGACAGTCCTCCAAGCAGAAGGGGGTATCATTCGTCAAGACAAAATGCAAGATCATTACCAGGAGTTCATCTGGTAGACGATCCATGATTGACGAAAAGCTGGAGTGCGATGGGGGAAGACAGGAAGTTTCCTCGGTACATCGCCATTGCCCCCACCTCATTCCATCCTGACAACATTCCACGTCGAAATCGAGGAACAAGGGAGGGAAAAGGAAGAGAAAGGCGAACAAAAAAGATAGGAAAACAAAACATTGAGCCCATCTCGACTTCAGTGCCGAATCCCGAATTGCAAACTGTTTATCCACAACCGCCGGCATACCGGTTTCGGTGACTCGGGATCGGATACTCGAATCTTCGGAGTGAACTATTTGGTGCTCGATATCGGACCGACCAAAAATGATCAGGTCAGAAATTGCACGACATTGTATTTCCCAGGGGAAACCTATGGGGCTTTGATCTTGCCCACCTCCAGATATAAAAGTATCACCGCCGACTGGAATAAGCGGAACCGTTTCAGTCTAATAATCCTCATCTGCCAACCTAGAACGAGATTCCATTCTTCTGTCGATTGAGCATCACCACCAAACCAATGCTTTCGTTATTTTCTGGCACTCATACTCCACACTCTATGCGCGCCTCGCCCGGTGAAAGTCCGACTGAAACAACAATGCCTCGGCCAGATCAGTCCGACCAGTCCGACCAACCGGATCATCCCGCCCCCATTCATCAGCCACGACGCCGGTTGTCGTTGCCATGACCGGAGCCACTGGGGCCATCCTGGGCATCAAAGCGCTAATTGCCTTGAGCCGGCCCAACGTCGCGACGCATCTTGTGATGAGCAAATGGGCCGAGGCCACCATCAAATACGAAACGGACTACCACCCGTCGAACGTCAAGGCCTTGGCGGATCATGTCTACTCGATCAATGACATGGCTGCCCCAGTGTCCAGCGGCTCTTTCCGTACCGACGGTATGATTGTCGTACCTTGCAGCATGAAGACATTGGCCGCGATCAATACCGGGTTCTGTGATGATCTGACCTCTCGCACGGCCGATGTCATGTTGAAAGAGCGTCGGTGGTTGGTGTTAGTCACCCGCGAGACCCCGTTGAGTGATATCCACTTGCGCAACATGCTCGAAGTGTCCCGCAGCGGCGCGGTGATTTCCCATCAAAATGTGGGAATGCTCGACCTGTTTGATCTCGACACGGGCGACTTTGAACGATGGGAGGGGTGGCAGCATTGAAAGAGGTCCACGTGAAGAGGAATTATTAGTTATTATCGGTTAGTATAAGGGTTGTGAATTGCATGGCGTTGTTGATATTCACATGGCGAGATTGTACTACAATATCATGGATATCATAAGAATTATAGAGTAATAAGAATATAATAAACAATAAAATAATAAGCCTTGTAAATGGTTTCCCCCCAACTGCACATCTTTGGGAATTCCCCGAGTCCACCCGCGCATCCTCGCTGCTCCACCTGCTTTTCCCCCACAAGGCAGGGATATTCTCTCCCCCACGTCTCTTCACATTCGCTAAGGCCCCCCAGCATCGATGGCTTTCTGCGAGGCAATGTAAGCCCTGGCATCTCGCAGGATACTTAGCGTCAGCCGACCATTAACATGACTCCGTGCTCGGTCATCCCCGAAGGTCGCAAATATGCTCCCCTGCAAACCGAATGATCATTCCATGCGGGGTTTCCTTTTCGAGTCAAACGCGATGCTCCGCCGTTGTATCTCCGCCCCCTTTCGCGGGGTATTTGATGCAAGCAAGCTAGCAGTGTGCCTCGGATCAATCGCAAAACCCCATGTGCATTCGGTGTCAAGTAGATCTTCCCCTCCCGCATCGCCTGGGGTCGATTTATATCTATCCCATTCCCCCCTCGGACGAGGGGCAGAGACAGGGGATCAGTCAGGGTCACAGTTGTGATCGCAAGTTATCACTGCTCAGTTCACTTTGATTGTCGCAATGCTGTCCCTGTGGAAATTCGCTTTGCTTGCTCTGCCTGTCGCGCGGGCCTCTCCCGCCTTAAAGAGAGACAGCGATCCTACAGTCACCATCTCGCACCCGGAAGCCACGATTGTCGGCTCATCCGGCTCCAACAAGATCGACAGCTTCAATGGCATCCCCTTTGCCGTGGCTCCAACGGGATCTCTTCGGTTGAAGCCACCGCAGCCAATCCAGACATCGCTGGGTACTGTGAAGGCAACGGGACTAGCCAAGTCCTGCCCCCAGTTCTTCTTTAGCACCGACAAGGACAACCTCCCCACCGCAGTCTTGGGAGAGCTATCCAACATCCCGTTGTTCCAGACAGTCACCAATACAGGAGAAGACTGCTTGAATATCAACATCCGCCGCCCCTCCGACACAAAATCGGACGCCAAATTACCCGTGCTCGTGTGGATCTTCGGCGGTGGCTTCGAACTAGGCTCGACCACGATGTATGATGGGGCTAGCCTAGTAGCAGACTCGGTGGATTTGAAGATGCCGATCATTTTCGTGGCCATCAACTACCGCGTGGGCGGTTTTGGATTCCTGCCGGGGTCGGAGGTCCTGAAAGACGGTTCCGCCAACCTGGGCTTACGCGATCAGCGTCTGGCGCTGGAGTGGGTTGCTGACAATATTGAAGCCTTTGGGGGTGACCCGTCTAAGGTGACCATCTGGGGCGAGTCGGCGGGGTCCATCTCCGTGTTTGACCAGATGGCTCTGTACGACGGCAACAACAAATATAATGGGTCGCCGCTGTTCCAGGGTGGCATTATGAACTCGGGCAGCATGGTACCCGCGGATCCTATCGATGGCAAGAAAGGACAAGCAGTTTATGATGCCGTTGTGAAAGATGCAGGCTGCAGCAAGGCCGACGATACCCTCGACTGTCTCCGCAAACTGGACTATGATAAGTTTTTGAACGCGGCCAATTCAGTTCCGGGCATTTTAGGATACAACTCAGTTGCCCTCTCCTATCTTCCACGACCGGATGGCAAGGTCTTGACTGATTCACCCGACAAGTTGGTGAAACATGGCAAATACGCCTCGGTGCCTTTCATCGTCGGTGACCAGGAAGACGAGGGCACGATCTTTTCCTTATTCCAGGCCAATCTGACCACCACCGACGACATTGTCCAGTACTTGAAGAACCTCTTCTTTTTCAATGCCAGTGAACAGGATCTCAAAGATCTGGTTGCAGCCTATCCTGATATTAACAAATATGGCTCGCCATTCCGCTCTAGCATTCTCAACAACTGGTACCCACAATACAAGCGCATTGCAGCTATTCTGGGTGATCTGACATTCACCATCACCCGTCGGGCCTTCCTCACGCTGGCCAGGAAAGCTAAACCCGACGTCCCGGTCTGGTCGTATCTCTCCTCATACGACCATGGCACGCCGATCCTAGGAACTTTTCATGGCAGTGACATCTTACAGGTGTTTTATGGGATCAAGTCGAACTATGCCTCTAAGTCTATTCACTCATATTACCTGTCATTTGTGTACGACCAAGATCCGAACTCCCGGGCCAAAGACTTTATGAATTGGCCACAGTGGGGCTCCAATCAGACGCTGATGAATTTCTTCAATGACCACGGGGCGTTGATTGCCGATGACTTTCGGCAAAAGACCTGCGACTTGATCATGGACAAAGTGGCCTCATTCTATATCTAGTGAGCGTGATCCTAATCTCATGTATATACTTCGGGTGGATAATGAAATGAGAGCACATCGCAAGTATGGACCAACCAGGACAACAGATGCATTTTCGCATTGTCGAGCGTGGTATAGCTTGTATGTCGATATCTAGAAACAACTTGATGAGACGACGTAATGAACTAACGATAGAGTTGTCTGTTGCGGGGAGGGCCAATAGCAAATATTCCACTGTTACCCAGTACCTTTTAAAGAGACAAGCATGTCAGACTGACCTGCAGCTCGCTTGCACTAAAACCACCAGTTGGGGAGAGCAAAAGGTGTCAGGGACGGAGCAATCGTCGACAGTAATTCGCGGTGAGTCCGAATGCGACGCAGAAGACCGGGGGCGGAAATTTGTGCATAATTCTTTTTAATGAGGCTGCATTTACAATCACTCAACTTACACTCTTTGCGTCGATTCCGGCATTTGAATTCGCTTCGTCTTGCTCATTTCAACAGTAGAAGCGCGGGGCTGACGTGCATTTCCCCTGACGCTGCTGCAGATGTCTGCCCTGCGCAGCTCACCTGCCGAGGATATAAAATCCCGTGCCACCCCAGAGATCGATAAACACAGGTTCTCTGCGACATGACTCCTGCAATCTGGTTTGTCCTGTGGGCGCTTACACTCGGCCACGCGGTGGCTGTAGCACAACTGGCTCTTGGCGCCACCAGCCTGGATCGCTGGTTGACTTCGGAGACGGTGGTTGCGAGACAGGGCATTCTGGATAACATCGGATCGGGGGGTGTATATGCCCACAGCGCGAAATCAGGCATCGTTATTGCCAGCCCGAGCACTGACAGTCCAGACTGTGAGAATAAACCTCGACATCAGACAAGTCCTAAGTTAACCATCTACAGATTACCACACATGGACTCGCGACTCGGCTTTGACGATGAAGGCGGTGATTGATCTCTGCAAGAACGGCGATGTTGAGCTACTGGGCACCATCACAGAATATATCAATTCACAGGCTTATATCCAAACGGTCTCCAATCCCTCGGGAGACTTGGCCAGCGGTGGACTAGGAGAGCCCAAATTTCACGTTGACGAGATAGCGTTCACCGGCTCATGGGGGCGTCCTCAGCGCGATGGACCGGCGCTCCGAGCAACAGCTCTTATTGCCTTTGGCCAATGGTTGATAGTAAGTGCCGGCTATATCCTATCGAGATATTTTATTGATCGTGGGTTTCACAGGAAAATGGATACTCGGCCCAAGCAAAGGAGATCATCTGGCCCATTGTACGAAACGATCTCTCCTACGTGGCGCAATACTGGAATTCGACAGGTTATGGTGAGGATCCTCCCCTATCCTGCTCCATTCATTCTAATTGCATCCCAGATCTATGGGAAGAAGTGCTAGGTTCTTCCTTTTTCACCGTTGCAGTGCAACACCGTGCCTTGGTGGAGGGCAACACGTTCGCCAGTCAGGTCGGCTCGACCTGTTCATTCTGTGACTCGCAAGCACCACAGACTCTCTGCTTCTTGCAGTCATTTTGGACTGGGTCTTATACGCTGGCCAATTTTGGCGGAGGCCGTACGGGGAAAGACGCCAACACACTGCTGGGCACTATCCATACCTTCGACCCAAAGGCCGATTGCGATGATACTACCTTCCAGCCCTGTTCAGCGCGAGCACTGGCAAACCACAAGGTCGTGACCGACTCTTTTCGGTCGATCTATGCAATCAATTTGGGTATCCATGCTGGCCAGGCGGTTGCTGTTGGCCGCTACCCAGAGGATTCGTACTATGATGGCAACCCGTGGTACCTGTGTACACTTGCAGCAGCCGAGTTACTCTATGACGCGATATACCAGTGGGACCGTCTCGGCTCTCTATCCATCACCGATGTCTCTTTAGGTTTCTTTAGGGATTTGCACAGCTCCTCGGCTATCGGCACTTACTCCTCATCGAGTGGGATCTACTCGTCGATCGTGAGTGCAGTCAAGACTTATGCAGATGGATATGTCGGTCTTGTGGTAGGTTTCAGTTGTTGGAGAGTCTATTAAAAGTGTACGCTTATCAATTGTCTCCCCAGGAAAAGCACGCCATGGCCAACGGGTCTATGGCAGAGCAGTTCTCCAAGTGGGATGGCTTTCAACTATCGGCGCGTGATCTGACCTGGTCTTACGCTGCCCTTCTCACTGCAAACTCACGCCGAAATGCCGTCGTCCCTGCGGCATGGGGCGAGACAGCTGCCAGCAATGTGCCGTCAAAATGTAGTAGCACTTGGGCGACTGGGACCTACAGTACGGCAACTAATACAAACTGGCCCAGCACGTTAACCAGCGGATCAGCGAGCCAGACAGGTACTTCCTCGACTACGACAAAGAAAACAACGTCGCCATGTGCCACACCTACTTCGGTCGAGGTAACCTTTGACCTGATTGCGACCACCGCCTGGGGACAGAGTATCAAGTTGTCCGGGTCGATTAACGAGCTCGGAGCCTGGGATCTGGACCAAGCAATCGCGTTGGGTGCAGACCAATATACCAGCGACAAGCATCGTTGGTCGGTGACAGCGGACTTGCCCGCAGGAGCCAGCTTGGAATATAAGTACATTCGAGTGGAGAGCGACGGCAGGATTAAGTGGGAGAGTGACCCGAACCGTTCATACAAGGTTCCAGCAGCTTGTGGAATTTCATTTACCACGATAAGTGATACATGGAGGTAGGATGATACACGAAGGCCGTGCTTGCCATGACGTGTATGGAAGAAGAAAGGTGGGATGATCCAGGAATCACTGGCTATGCCTTACCTATTCCTTAGTTTGTTTGGTATATTTTGTATCTTGAGTCTATACGCAATGATGCACTTCTACATGGGAATGCTTTCTAAGCCCATCTATAGCTGGTGATGCTGGATAAACAGCCCCAGGAAAGAGGCAACCAAAGAGCACGAGAGGGAGACCACTGTTGATATCAGTCAGTGTTCGGTCTTCATGTCCCCAGGAAAATACTCACAGTAGGCGTGTTGGAGGCCTGAGATATAGCAGCCTACAACAATATCTCGGAGACGACCACTGAGATGGGCAATGTATTCGGAATCGGCCATAGCACGTTGGATCACCTATTCCTCGTCAGCCGAGAGCATTAGTGAACATTATCAGAGACGCGTACATTTTCAGAACCTGGGCCATTGAGGTTTTGGTGAAGTTTTTGCTGGAAAAAGAAGCCCAGGACCGAGTTTTCGGTAGTGACGCCTGCCGTCATGGCGAAGCTCAACAACAACATAAACCCCGAAGTTGCCATAGCCACCTCTTCAGGTTGCAGAAGGGTTGTCATAGCGACAAAGGCCGAGGCAGATGCTATTCCGGTTCCCATGCCACCTGGGAGAATGTATAGTGACCCCCAGAGCCCGGTTTGACCGTTCCACCGGAGATACTGCAGCGAGTAAGTGATGGAGGCGATCAAACCTGCTAGAACCAGCAAAATCTTGTAGTGACCAGTGCGCCGGATGAAAACTCCCGCCAGAAGTCCCCCTAGGGTGTTTCCCACCACCGCAGGGACTACGTGAATCCCGGCCATGGCGGCTGAGGATCGTTGAGTGACCTGAAAATATAGCGGGACGGAGAACATCATGCCGACCTGCGCCATAATCTGCAACGATATAATCAGATAGCTGATGGGCACGTTGGGCCGACGAAGAATGCGCAAGTTGAAGATGGGCTCCCGTGCCAGGTAGGCTTCAACCAGGACAAAAGCCACCAGCAAGGCCGTTCCTCCACCTCCCATCATCACTGCCCACCACGAGCGCCACGCAAAGTTCTTGCCCCCTGGTCCAGGAGTAAAGTGATGACAACCACGGCTGATCCTAATAACCCCGTTCCCACGAAGTCGACGTGGCGCACTCTTGACGCGGCACTCTCCTTGGCCCCGTCGGCCGTCGACTGCGCGACTTGAAGTTTGACGACTACCAGAAGTGCCGCAAGTGCCACAAACGGAGCCTGCAAGATAAACAGCCTGGGCAGGATATTAGCATGTGCGATCGGAATTTGAACCTCACTCCACGAACCATCTCCATCCAATCGTGTCGCTGAGCCAACCGCCCAGAGGGCCTCCGATGCTGCGACCCAGAGTCATCGAGATATTGACATAGGCTCGCCAGGTTGCGACCTCCCGCTTGGGAACGATATCTGGGGCCGTCTCAGCAACAATCCCCCCGATGCATTGGAAGTGATCTTACCGGTGATGATCACTGCGCTGATGGTCATTGTCCCAGCGCCCCCCATTCCACTGACGATGCGGCCGAGAATGACCCCCCACATGTGTGGTGCGATGCCACTGCATCTTAGTGATGAATCAGATTTCTATCATACGTGTCGAGGCCACCTGAACCTACCAGATGATACACCCCACGGCGAAGAGAAGGTACGAGACCAGCAGAAGGGGTTTGCGGCCGTATATATCGCTCAATTTTCCATACTGTTGACATGGCATCAGCACCGGTCTACCTTTGTCGCCGCTTTCATTGCTTGCGACCTACCATGGGTTGGGCGGCGCAGAGACCGAGTGTATACCCGGTGGACAACCAGTTCGCATCGCGCAAGCGATTGAACTCGGAGGATATGCGGCCGGCAGCGGCCATCACCAGAGTGGCATCGGCATTCGAGATGAACTCGCCTACATCACACGATAAGTATGGGAATATGAGAGCCATTGGAGTATCTTACCAAGCAGCAGAACGGCAACGATGGTCCAAACACCCGTTAGCGCCTTGACTTTGGATTCTGAGTTGGCCGGCAACAGAGGACTCTCCTCGTCCGTGTGAGCCTGGGAGTTGGCATTTTCGGGTGCATTGGGATTTTCCATGATGCACACAGATATCGGCCAAAGAGAATTGCAAGACAATCTCTATCGCCTTGTCGAATATCCAGAAGTGAACTGTCGCATGGGGTGTTCTCATCGCGACACCAAAGCACGTCAGAGACCCACTTGGTTATATGTAATCGATGCATTTTCGATCGTCAATCATTCCCCCTGGGCCGGGCTTTTAATATATTTAATATGTTTTTAAATATATAATTAGTATCTACTATATCTAACCTTATTTATTATTCTAGTCTAGGCCTTATATCTATTTTAATATCTCGTAGATCTATAATACTATAAAACCTAACCCTTTAGCTAGTTATATATATAATAAGTAATCCCGCTACGTCTTTTCGATTTATACTAAATATATATAGGGTTTATTCTAAATAATAATATTAACTAGAAGTCTTAAGTGTTGCTCGATATAATTACTAAGTATGTACTAATGTTTTATAGTATAGATATAATCCCTCTTTTAATTATCTTTCCCTAGCTTAAATATTACTTCGGAGTCTATTAATATCTTTAATCCTAGCGATAATAATAATAATAAAGATATAGGTAATAAGGAGTTTACTAGTTTTAAGAGTAATTCTAGCGAGGGCTCTATTAATAATAAGGAGTAAGAGAAGAAGGAAACTAATATAACGTAATCGGTAAGCGAGTTGGCCACCTACTCAAAAATCGCGCCATTTTCGCGAACCTCCCAATTTTAATCAGCTACTATACCACCAATTCGCTCTTAAAATACTAGAAAATCTATCGAGTAAGAGGGTAAGATCCTACTTACTATCGAGGCTATTCAGAAGCAAGAAATCTCTTTAATTCGCAAAGCAGGACGCTGATTTCAAATACCTCGCTTATCGCTTTAATACCGAATCTCTGGCCACTTAAATCGACGCGATGCTCGGGTTAACTGCTAGAAATTGACTAAAAATAAAGAAAATTCGTTTTTTAATAGATTATCTCTATAGATCGACGTAGAGCAGCTCTTTGGCTAATAGCTATACGAGAAATAGCTAATATGCTATTAGCTAAACATGGCTCTACTACTATTAAGTCTATCGGCGAAAAAATAGGTCTATAATTTTATTAATAGATGTAATAAAATCAAAACTCGATTCTCTCACCGCTACGATTATCGACGAGTTTAAAATAAAGATCCTAAAATTATTAATGAGTGGTTCGATCGTATTAAAAAGATAGTCGACAAGAACGGTATACTATACAAAGATATATACAATTTCGATAAGACTAGCTTCGTAATAGGTCTTATCTTAATAGCTAAAGTAATTACTCGGTCTAAATACTATAGTCGGCGATTATTATTACAACCTAGGAATCGTGAATATATTATAGCGATTAAGTCGATAAATATCGCTGGATAGGTACTCCTACCCTATATTATTTTTAAAGATAAGGTCTATATCGAAGGCTGGTTTGTGTTACAGGACCTTCGTACAAAGTCCTATATAATAAAGAAGCTTGATCTAAAGGCCTCGCTAGCAGAAACTGACCGCCTCCCTGACGGAACCCTAACTCCTACTGAACCCCTTTTCTCCTTATATCTTTTAACGAATCCTTCTTGTATCTAGGATGTACTATCAATTGATATAATTTGGTCTAATCCCCTAACATAAAGAAACAGATATTATAAATCTATTATTAATTATTTAGTTTTATCTAATTAAAAATATATTCTTATTATATATCTATAAAGGATAAGCTAAAAGATATTATTTATAAATTAAAATAGTAACTTTATTCTTAATATTTAAATTCTAGTAAAAATATAAACTTATAAATAATTAGTCTTAAAAATTATACTTTAAAATAAGATTCGCGATTTAATAGCTAATCTTTAATAGTATCTTTATAGATAAAGACAAAAAATAGATATAATTACCTTAAATAATAAAAAGAATAAAAAGAAATGGATCCCAAAAATATAGAATAAATAGGTTAAACTTAATCTTATACTTTTAAGAAATTATATATTTTAGACCTCTAAAATAGATAGAATCTAGATTTAATATAAATAAATAATATTTAATTTATTTAAAGACTAATGAATTTATATTAGATATACTATAAAAAGATAATCTAATATATTAATAATATATTAAAAAATAACTTAGACCCTAATTTAATTAGGGTAGTTTCTTGTAGTAGTCAGAATTAGGGTCTAAATAAGGGATTATAGAAATATTATAAAAATACTATAATATAGTAGATATAGTATAAAAAAAGATAAAAAAAAGATTTATATATATAAAATTAGCTTAGATAATAAGGAATTCTTTAGACCCTGGTCAATTAAGCGAGTCGATGGGGGCCTAAAATCTAGATTAAATTTTGGGCCCCTCTTAGCTTTTTCTGGGCCCGCAGCTAAATTTTTGGGGCCCCCTTTAGCTGGGTGCTCCCTCTGGGCTATTCTCAGACCCGTAGACCTGGACAGACCCGCGGACAACCCATATAGGTCGACCCGTGGGTCAGCCTATGGGCGGGTTGTGGGTCAGACCTTTTGACCCGTGGGCGGGTCAAGATTTTTTTGACCCGTCCCGCGGGTTAATAGGTTAACCTATTTGACCTATTTAGGTAGATACTTTGTTAACTATATAACTTTTATAAATTATGTTATTCTTGGCTATATTTTTAGGTATTATATTTATTTTAGTTAAATAATTTTTTATAGTAATTAGGAGAATAATTCTTAAAAAGTAATTCTAGAGAATATTATTTTAAATATTAATCGATTTTAATTTTAAAGCTTATAATTATTAAATACTCGTGGGCGTTTACGAACCCTACTAGAAATCCGCGGGAGGCTATAATCATCTTTATAATTACTTCTTAACTTTTCTTGCTACGATTAGTAAGATATATTAATTATAATTATTAAATCTATAGTATCCTCCTTTTTATTATTACTAATTAGTATAATCTCTTTATAAGTCTTTTAGGTCTCTTTTTTCTCTTATATAATTTCTAACTTATCCTACTCCCGAAGCTCTTAAATAAATATAAGCTATTTCTCCTCGACTTCGAATTTAGTAATATATATAAATATTATTAGATCCTATATAGTAGATATATTTAGCGCCTCTTATCGATAATAGTAAATATCACGCGCGGAATTAAATAATCGCTTAATATTAATATTAATAGCTAAGATTAAGAGGAGATCATAGACAAGGTTTATAAATATAGGAAATTTATACTAATAATCCTTCTAGAACTAATAAGGTAAGATTAGGATAGTACCTAGATAGAGAACGGATTATAATAATTAGTATAATATTTAGATAGATTAGAACCGATATCCCTATTAAAACTAGGGTTCTAAGATAGGCCTTAAAATCCTAGTTTTAATAGGGATAGAAAGATAGAAACTTAATAGATTAGAACCGGGGTTTTAAGTGATTACTTAGAACCTTAGTTTTAATAGGGATATATATAGAAATTTACCTCCTTTAATATACTATATTACTTTAGATTAGGAGCTTAAGGCAGAAGAATCGGCTATTAAAAATATATTAAATTTATTAGTTTAATAAGACTATTTTATTTTAGATAGTAATTAAGAGTTTAGAATATTGCTAGTTTAGTAACTTAGAAGCTAACTCTTAAGATTTTATTAGTATTAGGTATTATAATCTATTTAAGGATAGTCCTAATCTTTAGTTTAAAAAAATTTAACCTTATACTAAGGGGCTAAGATAGTACTAATCGTATAGATATTACCGAGCTTTTTATTATTTATTATAAAGTAATACTTACGGAGTTTATCTTTAGCTGATTTAAGGGCTTAATATATCTATTATTTCTATCTAACCTTCTTTTTACTAAGCTATCTAATTAATCTTTTAAGATAATTAAATAGCTTATTATAGATAGTAAAGATAGTATAAATAATAATATCCTTTATTTTTAAGAGGACTATAGTAAATTAGAAAAATAGCTAGATAATATTAAGAAGATAGTTAATCTAGCGTTACTTATCTATATCGATTTTAAGATAAAGATAATTATATTTAGAGTAAAATCGATTAAAGACTAGTTATAACTACTTCGCACACCGGAGTATTAAAAAAGTTAAATTCTATCTAGTTTAGATATCTTAAATTAGAACTAATTAAAGGTAGTTAGGCTAGAGACTAAGGAAGGACTCCCGACGTTAAGGGCTTATATTAATAAAGATCGTAAGGTTTCTAATCTAAAATATAAAGTAGGTTAGTATTTTAACTAATAAATAAGGAGTATAAATATATATCTTTATAAGAGTTATTGTAATATCTTATTTTTGTGTTTTTTAATAGGCGTATTAGGTATATTCCTTAGACTAAATAGTCTTAGTTACCTTGTTCTAAGGGTTCGTTTTTATCTAGCTAAGTAATTACTTTAAACTTAACTAAATTATATATATAATATATAGAATCTAAATAATTATTATTTTAGAGTTAATATCTAATAATTAAATAGAATCTTAGATACTTAAAATAAGGGTAGAGTTATTCGATATATTATTAGTCGTTACTATAAATACTCGGTCTTCGATCTAATATTTCTAGAGGATATTAAGGAGGGTTATACTAAGATTCTATCTAGAGTATATATTAGAAATAGGTTTAAAGCTAAATAAAACCTCTTAATAATTCTAGTCTATATTAATAAAATAGCTAGAGATAGCTATAAATACTTATTAAAATAGTAATATCTAATAGTTAAAACTAATAAAGAGCTTAGCCTTAGATAGAAGCTTCTAAAGTAAATCTTTTTATTAATCTTAGGTTATTCCTTAGATTCAATACTATATAGTTCAATGGGAAGGGAAACTAAGGATAAACGATAATAATTAGGTTATTTGAAGAAAGGCTTAGAATTTAGGATACTTAATAGTTTAAAAAGGAAGCTATAGAGTAGTTATTATAGTAATTAACTATTGCTCCTATAGCTTTTAGATAACTAGCTAGGCTATTCGAGGGGAGTTCTTAGCTTAAGAAAGATTAGCCTATAAATCAAATAATAGCTATATAATATACTATATATTCTATAAGATATTAGATTATTAAATATTTAGTAATACTTTAGCCTTTCTAGTATATACTCCAATTCTAGTAATATTAGAGACCTATTATCCTATTCTTAGTATAGACTAGATAGTCTATAACCTTACTATATTACTTATATAGGAGCTTTAGCTCTCTTATTACTAAATATATAATTTAATTAAAATATAACTATATATTAGTCCGTCGTGGACCCTCCTAGTTTATCTTCTTTATAGTATTATAAGAATTACTAATTTAGGTATTAAGCTACTAGTTTAAAAACTCTACTTTATTTATACTATTAAAAATTACCTAGATCTTTTTCCGATTGTTAGATCGTTTTAGTATTAGTGGTATAATAGGAGGGAGGCTTTGCTTAGTTTACTGGCTTTTTAGTGGTTCTAAGAGAGTATCGAGAAGTTGATTAAAATAGAAAATAGATGACTTAAACCCCTTACTCTTAATAAAAAAGAGAGGGTACAAGGTAGATAACTAAGATATAAAAGAGATATAGTAATAGTATATTAAAATAAAGGACTCGAGATATAGAAAAATAATCTAAAGTAAATTATCGTAGATTTAGGGGAATATATAGGTCTAATACTTATTTCTTATTAGTAGATAGGATTCGGCACTATCCTAGTGCTAAATTTTATAACTAATTAGAAGATACTCTACTAATATATATAAAGCTTATTAGATAGTAAGAAATAGATTAATAGGTCAACCTATAGATTAACCCGTTGATCTAAATAATTAGGTAAGAGTAATACTCTAAGACTTTTATTTTTATCCCCTAAAAATTTCAACCTAACTAGCCAACCTTTTTACGTAGGTATATTAGAACCGGGGCTATAAATAAACGTATAGGTAGATTAAAACCGGGGTTTTAAGTAATCGCGTAGATAGATTAAAACCCTGGTTCTAATAGAGGTAGAAAGACTACTATAAAAAGGTATATATTTTATTATATCTAGTAAAAAGGGGACTATATAACCCTTTTATAGCGAGAGACTCGAGATATAGAAAAATAATCTAAAATAAATTATCGTAGATTTAGGAGAATATATAGGTCTAATACTTATTTTTTATTAGTAGATAGAATTTAGTACTATCCTAATACTGAATTTTATAACTAATCAGAATAGGCTCCACTAATATATACGAAGTTTATTAGATAGTAAGAAATAGGTTAACGGGTCAACCTATAGGCTAACCTATTGACTTAAATAATTAGGTAAGAGTAATACCCTAAGATTTTTCTTTTTATCCCCAAAAAATTTCAACCTAACCAGCTAATATTATTATTTTATATAAATTCAGAAAAAATATTTAAAATAATTCTTTTATATAAATAAGACTATAATATACTTATATATTAATAAAGAAATATTAGATATTAGATTTATATCTATTTTATTATTTCTAATATATATAGTTTATTTATATAAAAAGTAGAAGTACTACTATAGACTTTAAATATATATTTTTAGGTTTAGTATAAGAAATAGTTAACTAATATCTTCTTTCGCCTATATCTACCTATTATAAAATATAATTCTTATCTTAAAGTATTAAATTAATAAATTAATATATTATATATTCTAAATATATTATTACTATATAATATTCTTTTTATAAAGAGTTAGAATTATAAGTTATATTAGAACAAAAACAGTATTTAACAATAGTATATTATTAAAAAAGGTAAGCAAATTATCCATCCTAATTAAGAAATTTATGCTAAAATAGGTCAAAAATAGGTTGACCCGTTAACCCACGGGTCAACCCATGGGCGGGTCAGGATTTTATTGACCCGACCCATGGGTCGTGGGTTTGGGTCATGGGTCAAGATCTTTGACCCATGGGACGGGTCTGTCCATGTCTACAGACCCGCGTGTTCCGGATACTTCCTGTCGCATATTGTCCTACTTTATCTTTCGATCGGATCGGTCCAGTTTGGGAGCATCCTGGTTGACACTAATGTGCTGATTTGTCCGGGAGAATTTATAGTTGCTATATCCAACTGCGATCCTACAGGGCAAGTTTCGCATCGAACTCTTTCGTCTTAATATATGCCCAAGGGGAAATTATCTACTTCGAGCCTCGCGGGAAACTTTAAGGCTTCATCTCCAGATGCATCAACAGACTCTGGCATATGTTGGCACAAAAGAAAAAGGACAAGGAGTGCCTTGATGAATATGTAGTGGGTAGTTGGCCAGTTCAAGACTCTATAATAGAGTGGATATTGCTGTTATTCTCTCCCCTTGCCTGTTCCTTGGTCTCAGGGAGCACTAGGGGAAGCTGGGGAGAGCAGAACTCTGAGGAAGGGAGCAGAAGAGAGAGAGAATCAAATTATCTGTCTGTAAGGTCCCTAGGAGAGAAGAAGAGAAGCTATCTACTACCACCTACAGGCGGTCAGGGAGGCGGTGGAGAACTGCTGGCAGAACCCCAGTCCCAACATCGTCACCCTCGGAAATGGTCTTCACATCAGGCACGGCAATTGAACACAAGCGAATACAATCCCACCAGACCCACTTGTTATTGTGGCCCCCTGATGGCATCATCGCTGTAATGTGAAGTTTTGCTGAGACATGCTTGCTTCTTTGATGCCCTTGAGATAACACACACCTCCGATCCTCCGGGCCTTCCCTCTCACAGCCCTATAATCATGAACCTCATCGCCGCGATTGCCGGCCTGGCGGCTGCTCAGATTGCCGTCGGGGCCAACGTGCAGTCAGTTTTTCAATCCGACCAGCGTGCAAGCCCACCCAATATCCTCTTCGTCATCACCGACGATCAGGACCTGGAGCTGGGTTCCGTGTCCTATACCCCGCGAATTGCGAAGCACCTACGCGACCAAGGCACTTTTTTCCGTAATCATTTTGTGACAACCTCGCTGTGCTGCCCATCGCGAGTGTCTCTATGGACTGGGCGCCAGGCACATAACACCAATGTGACCGATGTCAACCCGCCGTATGGTGAGTGCCCCTCGTGGGGTGCATAATCCCCAGATGGATGTAGAATATCCACATACACCCACACACCTACAATCATGAAGCTATGTCATAAGATTCCAACTAACCGTGCTAGGGGGGTATCCTAAATTTGTCGAGCGTGGGTTCAATGAGAACTTCCTGCCAGTCTGGCTTCAAGATGCTGGCTATAACACCTACTATACCGGAAAGCTCTTCAATTCTCACACAATAGAGAACTACCACAGCCCCCATGTGAAGGGGTTCAATGGGTCAGATTTCTTGCTGGATCCCTACACTTACTCCTATCGCAATTCAACCTATCAACGCAATCATGATCCCCCGGTCAGCCATGAGGGAAAACATACAACCGATGTGATTACTGGAAAAGCGCTAGGATTTCTTGAGGATGCGCTGGAGGGGGACCGACCTTTTTTCCTGACTGTGGCACCCGTGGCGCCCCATTCGAATATCGACCCCGGCGTGCTGCAGGGTGGTAGGGTGACCATGACGGCCCCGATCCCACTGATGCGCCACGAGCATCTCTTTGAAGATGTTAAAGTGCCTCGAACTGACAACTTTAATCCAGATAACGTGAGTCTCCCTTCTCTATGTGGATCATACCGACACATTCTAACCAACCCATCAGCCGAGCGGAGTCAGTTGGATCCGGGGTCTGCCTCAGCAGAACCAAACCGTCGTCGACTATAATGACCACTTCTACCGCTCTCGCTTGCGTGCATTGCAAGGTGTGGACGAGCTAGTGGATTCGCTGGTCGCTCGCTTAGAAGAGAGCGACCAGCTGGATAACACGTACATCATTTACACGTCCGACAACGGATTCCACATTGGCCAACACCGGCTGCCGCCCGGGAAGACTTGTGGGTTTGAGGAGGATATCCGAGTGCCTCTCTTTGTTCGGGGGCCTGGTGTTCCTGCTGGACAAGTGGAGGACGCCGTGACAACCCACATCGACTTGGCTCCCACCTTCTTCCAACTTGCAGGCCTTCCGGCACGCCAGGACTTTGATGGCACGGCGATTCCTGTGACGCCGGACCTTGATGGTACACGACATGTACATGAACATGTGACGGTAGAATACTGGGGCAGGGGAGTTGCTGAAGGCTTCTTCAGTGACGTTGGTGGGTCGCCGAGCGTTGGAATAAAGATTGAACAGCAACGACTAACACAGTTCCATACAGGCCCTGACGGCGCATCAATGATTCCGAACAATACCTACAAGTCTGTTCGCCTGCTGGGCGAGGGTTATAATCTGTACTACTCGGTTTGGTGCAACAACGAGCACGAGCTCTATGACCTTTCGGTATGGGGATTGAATATTGCGTTGCACTATCCCAGCTGACCATGTTGCGCAGACGGATTCATATCAGTTGCATAACCTGTATCCTTCCAACACTCGGGTGACCGAGGAGCCTCAGATTCTCGGACGCAGTCTATCCCAGGCCATCAATCGACTCGATGCTCTTCTTTTAGTCCTCAAGTCGTGCCAGGGTGCCACATGTATTGATCCATGGGGTGTCCTGCAGCCCGCGGATTCTATTCGCTCACTCCAGGATGCGCTCGATGAGCAATACGACGGGCTTTATGACAATCAACCGCAGGTCTCGTTTGACTGGTGTGATGCAGGATATATCATCGAAGCCGAAGGGCCACAGACGCCACTGACCAGCCGTCATGGCATCTCTTGGGATGTGTGGGTGTAACAGCTGTATGATCAAATCGTATATAGCCTCTCAATGCAATCGATCGGCATGATTTACGTGTAGTTGGCCAATTCAAGTTGGACAGTGCCAGATCCACACCAGTTGCCCCTTGCGTCTAGTAAACAAGACATCCACGGCAATTGATACCTTCACTTCTCACTCAACTGGAAATCCGCGGCAAAGCAATCTGCAGCGCCGACTCGGGCCAAGTGATTGCGCCATTTCCCCACGCCATCTTGCAACGCGCAGACTGAACGCCGGCAAAATCCCAGTGGAACTACGCAGGCCCCGATAGCCGATGGCATATAAACAATGGCTCGGCCAGCATGAGAGGAATTCCCACTTTTTTCGCGGTCATTTCCCAGTATCTTCTCTCGTGCGCGGACAACCCTCGACGATGTCGAATCGTGATGTCTTGGCAGAGAAATCCGTTGGCGAGCAGATAGTAGACGCGCCAGCCAGTGAGACTGATCAGGGTATCGTCAAAGACTGGGATGGTGAAGAGGCAGCAGTGCGGCGGAAGTGAGTTCAGCTATAGGGACATGGTGAGATGAAGGCTGACTGTTTCGACCATAAGGATTGATTGCATTCTTCTGCCCATCCTTGCCCTCGCTTTCTTTTCCCTACAGATGGATCGGGGGAACATCAGCGCCGTATTGACCTCGACCATCACCAAGGACTTGCACATCACTACCAATCAAATCAACATTGGCACTCAACTCCTGTCGGCTGGCATTGTTCTCTCGGAGATTCCCTCGAACATCATTTTGCTGGGATTCTGTGAGGGCGGGTTTATTCCAGGTGAGTCCATCATTGGCTGATATCTGAGATTGTGACAGCTTATACATAATGAACTTCAGGTGCTCTATACTATCTGTCGACCTGGTATAAGAAAGATGAGACCAGTGTTCGTACCAGTCTTTCCTTCTACGGGCAGATGTTTGCCTCGGCCACCTCGAGCCTCATCTCGGCCGGTTTGCTCAAACTCGCCGGCACCAGTGGACTCGAGGGTTGGCGATGGATTTTCTTGGGTGAGTCTCTGCGAACCCCAGTTTCAAGTCAAAGTTTCCTGATCGAAATATCAGTCGAGGGTTTGATTACTCTTTTCATCGGCACTGTTTTCACACTTCTCGTACCCCCCGAGGCCGGTGATGGCCGTGCCCTGATTGGCATGGGTCGTTGGAGCTATTTCACCGAGCGAGAGTCGCGCATCATCCGGGCCCGAGTGATCTTAGACGATCCCACCAAATCCCAGGGACACATTCAGATTTCGTGGTCGAATATCAGGGAGCCGTCAAACAGCCGTGCATTGGTCAGCATGTGTTTTTGACTTTGGTTTCCATGTCCGGTTTCCAAGGCCTGACTCAGTACACCCCGAGCATGATCAAATCACTGGGATTTAGCGCGGTACACGCCAATGCTTTGACATCAGTCCCAGTGTATTGTAGTATCGTGTGGCTGACGATTCTATCTTTTGCTGCGTCCGTGGCCTTGATTCACCTCAAAGCGCCGCATGAATCAATTTACTGACTCTGAGTCAGGGACTACACTGGTCATCGGGGGCCCTTTGTGTTGTTGGCTATTACATGGAATGTCATTACCTATGCTTGTCTTCGAGCAAGCCCATATGCGGCCTCGAAGTGGCATCGGTACGGAGTCACCGCGGTGGCCAATGTCTCTTATTGCAGTATGCAGTATGTGAGATTGATTTTCTGTGGGAAGTGCCTAAGCTGACCTTTATAGCATCCTCAACGTGGGCTGGCTTTCAATCTACTGTCGGACTCCTCAAGAACGGAGCGTGGCTATGGCGTATGTTGTGGCTTTTTCTTTTCCTGTCCTGATCGCACTTTTCTACTTGATGTGCCTTCTCTCTCTCTCTCTCTATTTTTCCTTTTTCTCTTTCTTTTTTTTTTAAACATGAGATACTGACTTCTCTAGACTGGCTGTCATGGCAGCAAATCGTGCTGGAATCTCCGGCTCCCAGATTTTTCGGACGTCAGACGCACCCAAATACTTGCACGGCCTCACTGCTGTCTCTGCTCTTGCCGGAGCCTCATGGGTGCTGGCATTGGGGCTTTTTCTACAATATTATATTAGCCCCCGCAAATCCGAGACCCTCGGCAAAGACACAAACCGGGTTGACGAGTAGGTATACGGTTAAAAGGACTCAATCCATCCTACTTACCTGAAAACCCCTTATTCATTAAATCTATATTTACTCACCATTCCCTTCATGTTGCCGTTCCAGAATATGAATTGAAGTCTTGAATGTTTTCTCCTCTTCTCCTCTTTTAATTCTTCCGTGGACAGTTGCCACTTGCCCTGATATGGATCCTGATACTTTTTTTAAAGCCGACGCCATCAAATATCGACCCATGCTCAGAAGATGGCCGAGGAAAGGAATTCGAACATCTTTCTATACAATCTGCGGATTCAAGCCACCAAACGCGTTTCATACATCCAAGGCAGCCATCAGCACCAGACACATGGGGACCTAAACAACAAGGCAGTAAGGCCTCCACACGAAAGCGCACTCTTTTCAAGGTCTTCGTTTTCTTCTTCGCTTTCATCCTCCATCCTCCATCTCGCCATCCTCACTTGAGTTTCTGATCATCAATTCTCAACACTCATCATGCCATCAGACAACCACGGTAATCAGTACTCCTTCAAGGGCTCTGGCACCAACAGCCAGGTGGATCTGCTTAGTATACCCCCCCCCCCCCCCCCCCCCCCTTCAAGTATCTTGCTAACAAGGAGCAGGGTAACCACTACTGTGCCCGTGACTTTGGACCGGGGGCGTCTAACTCCAATTCCTACCATTACTCGAACCAGTCCGTATTTCTGGGTTTGTCTGAAAGTCCTCAACTAATCTCTCATTAGGGATGGCTCGTACTACTACTCCAACCCCGATGGCAGCACCTACTACAACAACGGACAGGGAAAGGCGTGGTACAATCCCCTTTCCAAGAAGTAGACAAGGTTGAAATGTGCTCAGAGGTCTGCAAGTGGGATATTACTGGGGGGGGGGGGGGGTGTTCTCGAAGGCTTGAGGCATGGTCTAGGGGAAATGGAGATATCTGACTTTGACAAAGCAATGGATTCAACTTGACACCCCAGCTACCTCCACAAGATGTACAGCTCGTAAGGTACTATGCCTCATGTGCTTCAACGGACAACGTGACACCAAATCTCACAAGGACAGCTCAGCAACACCAAGGCTTGATTTTGTTTAATTAAAAGTCGGGAAAACAAATTGAAAGTGGATAAAGCAAGACAGGTATCTCCCACAGCGTGAGCATGGGGTTTGTTGTTGACAAAGGCCCCAGAAAGTCTCAATGCTCAGCATGGAATTAAAGCAGGACCATCCCGAGACCAGACAGGATTGCCATAGCCATATACGCGCCAACCTGGAAAGCACCAACCGTTACACTCGGATGCACACCGAAGGGAGCTCCACCACTTGACGATTTGGTCGAGCCCGAAGACGAGTCCGCAGTGGCAGTCGCCTCCGTGCTAACGCTGCCAGTGCCGACTTTGCCCGCCTCGTCGATTTGCGCAGAACAGATACCAGTCGGGCTGGTGGTGGCCTTGGTGGTGGCTGATCCCTTGAAGCTGCAAGCCGTGGTGGCCTTGCCCTGTTCGGTGTAATACTTGTTAAGAACAAAGGCAAGCTTCTGCTTCAACTCGCACATGCTGTAGGCACCGTACTCGCCCAAGGTGCCGTTGGCTTTGGTTCCGGAGCAGTCCGTGGAACCGCAGACAATGTCGAAGAAGTCTCCATATTTTTCGGTGGAGACGGAGTCGCTTACCACACAACCTGAGGCATCTTCGATACAGCCACACAAGTTCTGATCCGGGGTCGGGGGCAAGGGTGTTGGGTTGGCGTGCCAGCTGGTACCATTCGTGGGACAGCTTTGTAGGGCAGTGTTGGTGGGCGTATAAGAGGCCTTGTTGGTACCCGTGGGATTGACGCTCGCAATTTCGCTGGAGTAGTACTTGTAGTCGGCCATCTTGCTGATACTTGTGCTGTCGACTGCAGATACGAGACCTATAGAATAAGGGTGAGCAAGAAACAAAGCCGAGAGAGGTGGCTGGGCGTACCGTAGTTGTTGGTCTCCTGGAAATACATGTACACAATTCCACCAGACCAAACCTCGGCCATAGTGTCACCAAACAGAGCTTGAATCTCAGTGAATTTGCGAGGCGTCACTTTATTGCAGCCGTACTCGGCGAAAAAGACGGGGACCGAATAGTCGCGGAACTCTTCGGTGCGGTTCTTGTACCCAGAATCCTCGTAGTTGGAGCTGCCGCACCAGGAGTAGACATTGTAGCCCCAGAAATCAATACTATCTTTCTGGTTGTCACAATCGAAGTAGTCGGCCATATCATGGCGGATCGAGGAATCATCCGAAGTGGCATATCCCACACCCATGGAGCGGTAGCCCTTTTGCTTGATATATGTCTTCATGTCGCGCACGGCAGCTTTGACAAAAGCACTCGCATCGGTGGTGGCCTCATTGTTAGAAACCTCATTACCGGCGAAGAATCCAATCGTGTTGTTATACTGAGCCAGCTCATCAATTACCGCCGTGTACCGGTCGTAGAGACTCGTCTGCCACGTGGGCTCATTGCGATTGATGGACTCGGATGGGATCGACAGATCCGAGATCAGATAGATGCCGGCGTCCGACAGCAGCTTCATGCACTCCGAGTGATCGGCACTTGCATTGATGTGATAAGTCCGTATCACGTTGGTATGAAGCTCCTGCAAAACGGGGACATCGCGCCGGCATGCCTCAGCGTCGGCCAGGGGATCACTGTAGCTACTACCGCTAGCTGACTCTGCGTGACATTAGGGAGAGTCTCACTTATATAATTCAGGGAACATACGTTGATAAGCCACGCCGCGAAGATAGCTGTGTTTGTTAGTATGCCGATGAGCTTCGGTTTGGCCCAGAGACTTACAATTGGGTGTTGTTGCTCGAGTAGAAGAATTTTGACCCCTGTTAGATCAACGTTAGAGGTCACAGTTGATATTCTGTCATGGAGATCTTCACCTTGATGACAATGGGATCAAGGTCGGCCATGGCGGCTCCAGCAATGGCTGCCAGAGACAAAATAGACAACTTCATGGCGATAGGTATTTGCCCGAATGTCTATAGCGAGTGGAACGGAGAAATCTCCTAGAGGGTGGACACAAAGAAAGCGAGGGACGGGGATACAATGAAGTCTCTAATGATTGAATGTATACGCCGGAGTAGAAAAATCAAAATCAGAGACCAGATGCCATTAATATTTTCAGGCTTGTCTACGAGTCATTTCGGCAAGACGCGTACAGTCCAACTCGCATCCACTAGAATATTGAAATTGGTGCCTAAAGACCTCTATTCTACCCATCTATCACTAGTCCTGAGATGCCGACTGTGCCAGACCGGGGATAACGGACCGCGTCACCGAATCTTAGGGTTGGACTTGAAAACATCGGGTTACTGACACCGAGCGAATGACGAGACTGTATGGTCAGAATCCACCCACTAATTCACGCTAAAATAGCTTGGCCTCTGCAGACTAGTGCTGGGCTAATTGGGAGTTTGGGACTGGTGTTGACTAGCGCTAGTTCGACTAGGAAGATTAGCACCGCGATGTTCGGTCAGAGAGGGGGAGAAAAAGACGGGGTGTCTATTTGTGGGAATACAAGAATGAGATCTTAGACGAAGCATATCCCATTCAGCAACAGTCTGCTGGATAAAAGTTCTTGAGAAAGTGTCGGGGAGAACCTTGGAATAGTGGCATGCTGACGCGGTGCGGTGGGGCCCACTTCCTGAGGCCCGGTGCATCCATTTTCTGCTCTTATCGCATGCTTCATCGAGAGTGAAAAAGAAATATCTAGTATTATTTAGTGCGAATAAGCCGAGAATGCGAAATGGAGGACCCAATCGGAGATGATTTCTCTGCGTGGTTAAAGTCCGACCTACTCCGAGTCAAATGGAGATGCCTGTGAAGGGTGGATACTTCCATTTTATTGTCTCAGCTTTTCTTTGTCTTTTTCGATTTCCAATTTTCTTGTATGCTCTAGTGAGGATGGGTTGAAGGGTGACAGCACCAGATAGATTTGAGTGCAGGATGGATCTTCTGATGAACAATGCATTGATCCACAAGATCTACCGAGATGATTGTTGTATGCAGATCAAGTCGACTCTATCAATTACAGAAAAAATTCTGATGATCCACTGGCTCCTTGACAGCGAAAAGACAATCAATATCGGGACTGCCATACACCACCGCACAGTGCAGTCACCCAGGGCAGTCCCGTCTAGAGGCAATTATATCATACATCCACAAGCCTACTGAAACCTGGATGTAGTTCTAGGCTATGTTCCGAATAACAGAAGTACAATATATCCATTTGACTCCAAGTCACCAAGTACGTATACATCAAAATTGCGTATTCGCAAAGACAACAGAATTATTAACGTTCCTTCGTTTCACTGGGGTATAGATGCAGAGAAATCCAGCCGTTTGACATCTAGTTCTGCCTGCGATGCGATTCGATGGCAGCCTCGAATGAGCGGATCGTGTCTAGTGGCCGCTCGAGACGGTTCCGCGTTGGGTTGGAAATGTCAGGATCCGCTAAGGGATGGAGTCAGCCAACGTTCATGATCAGCCACGAGACGACAAAACATACTAATGGGCCTTCCTTGGCGGTCTGTGTGCTGCATGCTCCGGAGCGAGAACATGCCCTGGGCCAACGGTTGGTTGTTCACGCTGACTGTTTGGTCCGAGTTAGTATGACTGAGATTGAGCTGAACAAAGTGGGCAACTTACCAGGTTGCTCTTCAAACAGGGCCATGTTCGGGTTCGCCTTGCTGTGCAGCGAGGTCTTGGGGCTGCCTTGCGACTGGATCGAGCCAGAGCGCTCACTGGAGGAACGTGCAGACGCCATCGGGACAAAGTAGTTGAGATATGTGAATTGGGAGGGAAAAGGGGAATAAGATTGGGTGGCAAACTGAAATTGTATGGTTTTTGCGAGAGGAAGATGTATAAGACTCAGGGACCAGGCCAGTTGGGCCACGACACCCCTATATATCCAAGCTGTGTCGGCTGTCAGCCAAGAATAGCGATGAAACACAAGAGCACGCAAGCTGTGGCGACAGTGGTGATTGGGCGAGCCCGATCGGCAACTCGCACCAACATCGATTGCGTATGACGTTGAAGGCTCCATCAAGACACTCCCAGTGGCCGGCCAAGCTTTGTCTAGTCATTAGCAGAATGCTTAGCATGGCGGTTGCCAATCAACGCTCACAGGCCACGCAAGCACCGGTGGCTGAATGGTCATTGCCGCTTCAGGTAGCAAGTCCCTGAGTCCATCACATGCAGGTACGTCGATTATTCCGCGGTGGAGATGACGATCTCGTGTCTCAAGAATGTGATGGAAATGCCTATCTCTTAAAAGCTTTCGCATGGACTTGACCGTTGGCATGCAGAGTCAGTCTGTGCCAGTCTGATGTCCACAGCATTTCTCGCTAGAATCCCCCTAGCTCCCCACAAATGAATCATTCAACTGTTTCAAACTCGTCACAGCCCAATCCGTCTGATGGGGACCGCGTCGGTGCTCAGGCCAAGTTCGAGGCTGGGAAGGCAGCGATATTCTCAAGACCCACTCTCGGGCAAATCCAAGTGGACCCAAGACACATCATTCGGATAATTGATTTTTATTTATTGCATTGTGCATAATCCAATGACTTCAACTCGATGTCACTGGTCCGCATGCGGTGCAATACATAATTCTCGGTTGGACTGAGAAAGGGGCCGCAATAGGGGGATTGCCGGTTTCGAAACATCTCGCCCCACCAGGGGCCCCAGCATTCCAGGAGTCGAACATTCTTTTCCTTTGTTGCATGTCTGACGTCTCTCAGTCTCCATGTGTACCATGTGGACTGTGCTGGACTGCGCATCTCTCAAGGAATAGGAATGGAGGAACACTCCCTGTAGTAGGGTTTATCAGAGCACATGACTGCCTCTACACTAGCGAGTGGCAGTGAGTGCTTTGCTACCACGGATCCCATCCTTGTACCAAAAGACGACTGTGATAAGCCCACTGTGATCGCCCGAAGGATTTGTGTGGCCCATGATACGCATCATCCTAGCCGTCCCGCCTTCTGTGGCTACTTTGGACATGCTCATTCGGGCGCATGCGAGACATGTCTTCATTACGCATCTTGTCTGCCTGTCAGATTTCCTCAAGCACTCCCATTGACATGAAGACTCAATCAAACCAAGTGTCTGGCTCGGGCCTCGGTAGGGGCCCTGCTCTGCGTGGAGTCTCGCTGTCCTGAAACACGGGTTCAATCGCCAGAGAGGGTTTGGTGGTATCCCAAGGATTGTTGTTCCCTAGGGGGCGAGCGATCACGTCCCTCGACAATTTTCTCCGTGAACCATCTGACTGCGGAATGGCAAGCAGTTGATTGAGGAGCGCCATGGCCGAGGTGATCCCATCAAGGGAAAATTGACCCAACTCATGAGCAACCGTGAGGGGAATAGGCCCATAGAATTTGTCTCGGCTTGATTTAATTGCGCACAGGCACGAAGACCTGCTGACATCGGGAACTGGTATGAAAGGTATATGGATTGACTGGCTCCAGAATGCTTATTGCGCAGGTGCCGGCGAAAAGCAGCGGCCAGGGGGTTGGGATTCACAGCATTGTGGACCTGCGAGATGTCAAAATGGGCACGAGTGAGGCCCAGGCCAGGATGATGAGCGAGATTGGACATAGGAGATGTAAATAGGAAGGTAAACAGAAGTGGTGTAGTGGTGAGGATGGATGAAGATATATCTTCGTTTCTTTGTTTACATTTTCGCTTACCCTCTTATTTTCTTTGTTTGTGTCGTTGCTAGGTTTTGCATATGCTTTGAAATATGGATTTTTGTATGTATTTAATAAAAAATCACTATAAATATTATAAATATAGAGATATGAGGTTATATAGAGTTGATCTATGGATAAAGAAAGTATTATTAGTAAGAAATTTTATCACGCATAAAATATTTTGGGCCGCGCCCACCCCAAAAATGTCGGCGTAATATTCTCCCGACTGTTGGACCCCTCTTGGCTTCTTTTGGCCCCCCACCGCCTGGCTGTAACCCGAGTCGGGTGTGGTTTTGCTAATACGAGCTACGAATTACAGTGGGTGATCAAAAGTTTGCATACCCCTACCCCACACCCCTACACCGCATTTTCTTGACCACTTACCTATTAATATAGCTGTTTACCTTACGCGAGTCGACACGCTAGTATATACACGCTATATCGACGCGTTTTACCCCTAAATATCATACTAATATAGAATAAATATAATATTAATATAAGATATACTGCTTCGCCAATTCGCTGTATATTCGTTTCGCTAATTCGCTATATACTCGCTTCGCTAATTCGCTGTATACTCGCTTTACTAATACTTCGTAAAGAACTCGACCCCTATACTTGTACTCGTATTTGCGAGCTTTATTCGACTGCTTAATAGGGGTATAAGAGAATTTATAAAATATACCCTTCGATACCTCTATCAACGATTTAATCTACTATCAAAAGAGAGAATAAAAGAGTTAATAATTATTTAAAACCTCGCTCCGGAGCACCTTGTAAACTTAATAAAGACGATCGCGATCGAATATATAAGAGAGCTACTACCGACCCTTACGTGCGTTACCAAGACCTACTCGCTGATATCGATTATAAAATCAAAACGATATTAATTTGACGGCTTCTAAATAAGATAAGGCTTCGAAAATAGCGGTAGCTTGATCGATCTACTTTGGATAATATAACTATAGCAAAACGACTTTATTAGGTAAGAATATATCAATATTTTACCTCTAAAGATTGGGCTCGCGTCTATTAGTCTGATAAATATACTATCGAGTGAGGTGCTAGTTATCGAAAGCCTTATACCTTTAATCGACTCTCGTAGTAACGAATCGAGCGAGATATTTATAGTAGACTATATAGAAAATAAGTAAAATAGATATTTTAGGCTACTTTCTCTAGCGAAATCCGACGTACTAGTCTATAGGTATTATAAGGCAACCCTAATATACCTCGCGGCGGCGTGGATACAGAGGTTATCTCTAATTTATATAGAGTTATTTTACCTACGTTGCTTAGACTAGGTGCTATTTTTATATATAATAATACGCTAGTTTATCGCGCGTATATCGTACGTGAGCTTTTAGAGCGATATAGGGTTAATACTATGGTATAGCCACCTTATTCGCTAGATCTCAATCCAATTGAGAACGTGTGGGCTTTATTAAAGGCAAAGATCTATGAGTTACACCCCGAGCTACTAGATATGCCTAATAATAGTACTACACTAGAACGTTTAATTGATGCAGCGCAAGAAGCATGGGATAAGATTGATTAGGGGGTTCTGCAAAATCTATCGAATTCGATGCCAAATCGGGTGAAAGCAGTTATCGAAGCAGAGGGTTGGTATACTAAATATTAGTATGATACTAGTATATAGGGATTAGAATACAGAATAAAGAGTTTTTTTGACTGGCAGAATATTATATAATATTATGTGGGTCAGGGGTAGGGTATGCAAACTTTTGACCACCCACTGTAGTTACGATATACTATAGTTTATCGATTTCGACGTTTTCACCGATAGACACCCTAGCTAGCTGCTAAAATAGTTTATCTTATACTATAGCACTCTCACAATTTAACGAAAACTAGAGGCTATTTTATTTTATAAAGGATTTAGAGGATTTGGGCGTCTCGGTAAGCTAGTACTGGGCGGGGGAAGTACTGTATATTGAGAGAGGTGCCAAAGGATTCTGCTAGCACCTCGCTCACCGCCTTACCCTATTATATAGATAGCTTCATGGCTTCTTCTCTCACCACTCTTAGATATCTATCTCTTCTCTTCTTTTCCGATCGCAGTCTAGTGCCCGACTTCTCTTCCATCCTCCGTCATCAAAATCCCTCGTTTCTGACAACGTCGACATTCCGGGTGGGTCTCGTCGCACATATAATGACTGCATACCTTGACCCGCCGCTGCAGACAAGCGAGACAGCCTTTGCTGCGCGGCACGCCGACCATCCTTAATGGCCTATTCAAAAGATCTAAGTAGCGGGTGTGTACGCCGTAGCGCGTGTTCGGAGGAAACCCGTGGGAACGGTTTTTGGTCCATCGCGAGAACCTGAGGTTTTATAGGGGCTGCGAGTGCTATAGCTGCCTTCCTTTTGCGGGGTGAGTCTTGGCGGGCATTCGTAAGATCAGAATATATAACTGGGGCTATTGTGCCAAAAGAAAACTACCTGGTGTGTAGTTTGTTTTGAGCTTCTCAGTGTCTACGCGAAGTTCATCTAGCAATTAGCTTGGGCTTCTTTAGAAGCGAACATCCTGTCTAGACAGCGCCTTAAGAATGAAGAATACTAAAAATACTAAGAAAATCACGAGTACGGGTGATCATAAGCTATATCCTATAGAACTAGCAAAGTCTTTTAGACCAGAAAAATTTAAATAGGTTATAAAACCTAATTATTACTCTCTACTATGCCTCCTAAAGCCTTCCGAGCAAGCGAAAATCAGCAGCGTGTGATTTCTCTGTCTCGATGCCCCCCTTTGCAAAGTATGATACAGGTCTCTAGTAGCTCCGAGGTAGCTCCAGCACCTTCTCGCTCACATAATTCAGGATCATCTCGCGGCTGACTGGCGCTATCCGGGGCACCAGACACTCGCGCAGGTATCGTTCAACATCATACTCCATCGCGTAGCCCATGCCACCATGCGCAAGCACCGCCCGTTCGCAAGCTGTAAAAGCCGCTTCAGCAGCCAAATACTTGGCACTGTTGCAGGCCACCCCGACGGTGTGGATGGGGATCGAGCCATCATTGGTGTCATACAGCCGTGCAGCATGATAAGTGGCCAGTTTAGCCGCTTCCAGTTTCATATAGGCATCGGCCAGCGGGTGTGCCACGCCCTGGTTTTGTCCAATGGCTCTTCCAAACACTACTCGCTCTCGCGCATATTGCGAGGCCTTTTCAAGAGCCGCGTAGCCCAGACCGAGCGCCTCGCCCGCCAGGAGACAGCGTTCGGCATTCATTCCGTGCAGAATGATCTTGAATCCCTGGTTCTCTTGCCCAATTAACGTGTTGGCTGGAATCTGGTAGTTATCAAAGAACACTTCGTTGGCATCCACGGCACGCCCGCCCATCTTCTTGATTTTGCGCAGATCTAGCCCGGGGTGGTTTCGGTCGATGTCAATACAGAACATAGAGAGACCCTCGGTCGGTTTCTTTACCTCCCCCAACGGAGTTGTTCGTGCAAGCAGGATCATCTTCGATGCGACCTGCGCACACGTAATCCAGATTTTTTGACCCGAGACAGAATAGCCGTCCGGTGTTTTGGTCGCCAGCGTCTTGAGCCGGAGGGTATCAAGACCAGTGTTTGGCTCGGTCACCCCAAAGCAAGTCCGCCATGTGCCGTTGATGATGTGAGGAATGGTTGTCTCCAGCTGTTCTTGAGTGCCGAATCTAGCTAGTGGTTGTGTTGCATAGACATTGGCGTGGATAGCCTGAGCCCCAGCGATGCCTGCCCCGGACTGGGTGATGGTCTGCATCATCATTGTGGCCTCGGAAATTCCTGAATGAGATATCAGCTTTCTGCTTCATATTTGCAACCCGCTCCTCCGTTTCACTTACCTAGTCCGGCACCTCCAAACGATTCAGGCAGAGCAATGCCGAGCCATCCATCCTTGGCCAAAGCCGCATGGAATTCCTTCGGGTCCTTTTCTTGCTGGTCGCGTTCCTGCCAGTACGTGTTGGGGAAGTTGGCACAGATCTGAGAAATCGCTTCTCGGACAGTAAGCTGGTCCTCACTGAAGCCGGTGGTGTCCATGAGCCCGCGCCGCCCCGACATGGAGAATGCGCGTGCTGGGGACACACCAGCGCATGGAATGTGACGAGAGGAAATAATTCGCGATCGCACCAGCCGCTGCCATCGCGGACGATTCATGATTGCGAGGGGTGGATTCAACTGATCATTGGCCTTTCTCGCCCCATCCTTGCTTTTAATATGCCCAGTCCCCATCCAGCCCCCCAGTGGCATACAGCCGACTTACAGCCGACTTGCCCCCTCGGCATTTCCAGTTGCCGACTCGGAAGTGCAGGGTCTCCCCGCTGCTCGATGCGTGGGAATTGCAAGTTGGGGGAATGAGATGGATAGAAGCGTCGATTCCACTTAATACCGTGGGCCGTGAGGGTGAGTTTCTTCAAATATTCGTGCCCACAGACCAGACACAATGAGATTGTTTCTCTCACTTGCCCAGAGGCGCTTATCGAGTGCAGTCTACCTTTCAACACGATGCATTCTTCCACGGCCATATTCGAGCGTATCGAACCATGGTCATCGCGAAGCGCCCCTAGCTGGCATCACCGTGGTCAGCTTAGAGCAGGCCATTGCAGCGCCATTTTGTACGCGCCAGCTCGCAGACCTCGGGGCTCGAATCATCAAAGTCGAGCGACCAGGCGTCGGAGACTTTGCCAGAAATTATGACACTCGAGTCAATGGAATAGCATCGCATTTTATGTGGACCAACCGATCCAAGGAAAGCTTAGCGCTTGATCTCAAAAACGACAAGGACCATGCGGTGCTGATGAAGCTGTTGGAGCGCGCCGACGTCCTGGTTCAAAACCTAGCGCCCGGTGCGAGTGCGCGACTAGGTCTCTCTCATGATGCACTGAAGCTGAACCACCCGTCGCTGATTGTCTGCGACATCTCCGGCTATGGACAAGATGGGCCCTACCGCGATAAGAAAGCATATGACCTTTTGATTCAAAGCGAGGCCGGGATGCTGTCCGTCACCGGTACGGGCAAAGAGCCAGTGAAAGTTGGCATCTCGATTGCAGACATTGCAGCGGGTATGTACGCGTATAGCAACATTCTCTCTGCTCTACTCCAACGAGGCAAGGACGGCCAGGGCTGTCAGATCGACATATCCATGCTAGAGAGCATGGTGGAGTGGATGGGATTCCCCATGTACTACTCTTATGACAATGCCCCGGGTCCCATGCCAGCAGGCGCGTCGCATGCGTCGATCTATCCTTACGGGCCGTTTGAGACAGGGGACGGTCAGTCCGTTATGTTGGGAATTCAGAATGAGAGGGAATGGGCCAACTTTTGCAGTGGTGTCCTGTCGCAACCGGAACTGGCTACCGATCCCCGTTTCTCTAGCAACTCGCTGAGAGTCCAAAACCGAGACACACTCAAAGAGATCATTTGCGGCGCCTTTTCTGTCTTGACTGCGGAGGAGACCATTGCACGACTCGAAGGAGCATCTATTGCCAATGCCAATGTCAACGATATGCATGACGTCTGGGGTCACGCGCAGCTTCAGGCTCGGGACCGCTGGACTGAAATTCAGACCCCGGCTGGTGTCGTCCCAGCACTTCTCCCGCCTGGATCGACAAAGGTCGCGGAGAAGGGTGGATATGGGGCTCGAATGGAGCGTGTTCCTGGGGTTGGAGAACATAACGAGGCCATTTTGGCTGAGTTAGACCTGTTTAGGTAGTTTCAGCCTGCCTTGTTTCCATTTATATATCAATCGTTTCCATGAAACCCGTTTAACGACGATGTTCACAGAATATCCAGAAGCTCGGTGGCACAAATTAGACTCATGATGCAAGCAATGGGCTTGCAAACCATAACCCCTTGGAGACAGCTAGAGAAATCGGTAGAGAAACTCGAGATTCTGTGGGTTTAGGTAGTCCGGATTGGAGAACGAGCCGGCAAGCCCCAGGAAACCATCACCCTCCACATTGAACAGGTCGTACCAGTCCATGTTGACCGACGCATCCTCGGCGATGTTCTGAGAAGAGTCCGCCTGTGGTGTCAGTAGTGAGCCATCGTCTGCACGTGGAGAAAATGGGGGTTGTGCATTCTCATGAGGCGGATTTCGTGATGTAGCATCACACCCCTCTCCTGCGAGATGATGAGACGACGTGGATGACAATTCAGTCAGTCGAAGGTCTTGCGCGGTACGATCGTCCAGGCACCGAAAAAACAGATTTAGCACCCAGTTCTCCAAGTCCCAGGATTTCTGTAGCTCCTTCAGGCCCAAAAGACATAGCTTTGCTCGATGCTCCGCCAGTTTTCGAGCAGTGCCAGTCACCCGTCCAAAGTGAATTGTATGGATGCAAAGAGCAGAAAATGTGTGAGTTATTCTGATTGAATGTCAATCTAGGTTAGAGTCATCCAGACACCTTCAAGTGCTTACAAGTGGAGCGATCCGTGCTGGACCAAATTCCCCGAAAGCATGTCCTCTAGAATCCGGGTGCTCCTCGTCGCTGCATCCAATGCCACGTTCCCTTCTGAACTGGTTGATACCCCGGGAGGTTGCAAGAATACCGGCCGATAAAGAAGTATAAACAAATTACTGGAGTCATGTCAGAGGCTTTGTGTCCTATAAGCTGGAGATATCCATACTTGTAGGCCATATGAAGCATGCCAATGAGAAACATTACATCCCGGCTCATGGATGGATTGAAACGCATGTCTTTCGGTAGGTTCGACTCCCAGTCCATGAGACGTTGATGGAGGAGTGGACGGGAAGGGCTCTCCAATTTGGATCGGCCTGGGAGATACTGGCTCAAGACCACCTCTCGTACTGGAAATCGAAAATTAGCAACGATTACCTTGTAAGATAAACACCCCATACATAGCCTAGCAAGTTGAACCATGCCAATCACATATGAGACGTGGGCATTCGGTGGTTGTCGGAAGATTTCCGAGGGCACTGAAGAATCGCTCTCCTCAAAGTCCGAAGGCTCGAGATCCGCGACCTCGCAGTCCTCGTCTCGAATGCGAGATGGTAACCCCAGAGCCGCCGATGTTTGCTGATCACGAACCTATCCAAGGGTCAATCGTCACAGGGGAGACCGGGGATGGAGGAAAAGTCGCACTGACATATAAAGCCCACCAGATTCGCTTCCATATTTTTTGGTCATTGGCGCTCAAAAATGACAACTTTGACCTGTCCGTTCGGTTAACTTATGTTCGATCTTTCTTAATTGCTTCCAAGCCCATCCTACATTATATGCATGCCTTTCTTCTGGGCCAGGTTGATCGCAGCTCCCAGCCAGAAGCGAACATCCCGTTCTTCGGTGGGCCCTCCTCGCCAGCAGCTCAGGAGAAACAAGGACTGCAGCTTGACGACCGTGTCGGTCTCCCATCCGACGTCATAGATTTCTTTTGCGCGCTGATAGAAAACCCCCTTGGTTTGGTAGCGGTCGTTGAAACCGGTGGTGGTCAAGGCTGTGTCGGCACACAGACTGACTCCGATGAATAGCATTGCTTGCAGCAGCAAAGGTGATATCATGCCATCGCGATAGCTCTGATGCACGGCGGGGCGATCTAGAATGGGGAAGCAAGGGTGGAACCATTCGAAATAGGCGTGGAGAAGCGTGTCGCAAATGGCAGGCGACGGGAAGTTCAACGCGCCGTCGCGGGTCAGACGAGCATGGGCCAGTTTGCGGCGCTGACCCAGCAGATCTTGACTGCAGTCGATTGTCTCGCGATGCTCAGGAATCGAATAGTGTAGTCTTCCTTGTTGAACACTGCCGGCGTACCCTTTTTCGGGGGACCGATGCCCCTCGTCCACGACACAAGTCAAGGGACTGGACTCACCGAGGAAGACGGTCTTCTGAATCGTATCTTCTCCCGTTGTGGGATGAGCGGATGGGTCATACTGCGATCCCCTGTGGTGCTGCCCCTGTTGGGCCTCCAAGACATTTGGGGTGTCGATGGATGTAGGGCCCAGCGAGGCTCTTTTCTTACGAGGATATCTGGGGAGGTGGTTGGAAAAGACCCCACGACCTTGAAAGGAGTGGAGTGGGCATGCTTACTTTCCTCGACGCGATACCCCCAGCTCACATGAGAGATTCCATGCCACACAGTTGCGACAGGGCTGCATCTCTAGCACATTGCATCGGACGCGACGGGCATTGCAGGCCAAACAGGCCTTTTTCGCACGCGTTCGCCGATCGGAAACCGAGGACTCCATGACAGAAAAATGTCGGCTGCTTGAATTTCTCGAATACCCCGTCGATGCTATCAAGAGAGGCGCGAGGCTTTTTGCAACGGTCGTTTGATTCGGCTCCGTGGCCAGTGGGTCTCTCGGGGTCTTCGGTTACATGCTTACGGGGGTGCTGGTTTCGATAAAATGGATTCATCTATGAATGAATCAATGAATCAATGAATCCATTGAATGGGATATTGACTATTGAGTATTGAAGACAGAATGACATCTGTGCATCTGCATAGCTGACTCTGTCCAAAGTGACCTGGTGAGCGGTGATGGCGATGTTCCACCTTTTGCTGTTCCAGGTCTTCCCTCCACACAACTAGCTCACTCTTCGATTTCTGGGCCATTCCAAGCAATATGCATTTATTCTTGTATCCACGATCATCATCCATACGAGATCGATCGATCTATCGATTCTCTCCTGCGATCCCCATCGAATTTACCAGCAAGGGGGCGTGGTCGAGGCACGAATTGGGACACTTGCAGCTTTCTCCACCGTTCACGATGACGTGTTTCCACTCGGAGGGGGCGATTATCAACGCAAGAAATGCAAGAGAACTATTCGGTCTTTCGATGTGACTCCCCATGGACCTGATAGGCACTGCCATAGGCAGGCTGCCGAAGCACCTTCGATCGATTTGGCTGATGCAAGGCGACACAAAGCCCGTGGAGATCCCAATAGAACCAGGCAATGACCAGCTTGGTTGATTCGCTAGAACCCTGGTGGATCGACTGTACTTATTGTCTCTGTGTGTGCACAGGAGGGGCATCTGCGGTGGGTCCCTGGAGGAGCAGATGCCGTAGCCCATGACGGACGGGGCTTGGACGACTTAAGAGAGACCACTCGGGTCAAGGTCGCAGCTCAGACTTGTTCGATCAAACTATCTCGTCCGACCATGTCACAGAGATACGCTACCCAAGATGTCGATGTGTCGCCCTTGGGGCAGCCGTTGCACTTTGAATTCAGCCAGCGCCGGGCATCGAATCGCTTTCTCAAAGCAGCCTTGACCGAGCGCATGGCTTCATGGTCTGCCACTGAGCTTCCCGCTCGGGGCATCCCGACCCCAGAATTGATCAACCTCTATCGTCGATGGGGAGAAGGCGGCTATGGCGTGATCCTGACCGGCAACCTGATGATCGCGTATGACCAACTCGAGGCAATGGGGAATATGATTATCGACCTGGAAAATGAATTCAGCGGCGGACGCTTCGAAGCTTTCCAACAACTCGCCAACGCTGCCAAACAGCATGGCAGTCTGGTTATTGGTCAAGTATGGCTTCTCTCAGTGCCAGGCCACTGACAAACCCCCCCCCCCCATCAAGTCTCCTGGAGCTCACACCGAGGGAATAGGTCAGCCACCCTGGCCGCCAGACCGAGCAGCGATTTCAGCCCAATCCGGTGTCAGCCAGTGATATCCAGCTGATCACCGACCAAGCCCCATATGCAAAGCCACGGCCGGCGAGCATGGACGATATCGAGGACATCACCCGCCGGTTTGTGCATGCGGCCGTCTACCTACAGAAGGCCGGGTTTGACGGCATCCAGCTGCACGGCGCGCATGGGTATCTCCTGGCCCAGTTCCTGTCCCAGACCACGAACAAGCGCACTGACCAGTATGGCGGGAGTTTGGAGAACCGGGCGCGATTGACTGTTGAAATCGCACAAGCAATTCGTGCTGCGATTCCAGATCCCCAGTTTATTCTCAGCATCAAAATCAACTCGGTCGAATTCCAGGCGCACGGGTTCACGCCCGACGAGGCCAAGGAGCTCTGTGAAATCTTGGACCGCAACGGGTTTGATTTTGTAGAGCTGTCTGGTGGGACCTACGAGGAGATGGCCTTTCAGCATCGCCGCGAGTCTACCCGGATGCGCGAGTCCTTCTTCCTCGAGTTTGCCGATCGCATCACGCCCGCCCTGAAGCGGACCCGCAGCTATGTGACCGGAGGCTTCCGAACGGCGTCAGGCATGGTTCACGCACTCAATACGGTCGACGGAGTGGGTTTGGGCCGTCCCATCTGCCAGGAATGTCGTCTGCCCAAGGATTTGCTGGCAGGCACCGTGCAGAGCGCCATCGAGCCAAAACTTGACCCCCAGAATTTTATTCTCACGGGGGCTGCATCGGGAGCACACATGCACCAAGTCGGAGATGACCAGCAGCCCAGTGACATGAGCGACGAAGCCATGGTCGGGGTTTATATGCAATGCCTGGGCCAGTGGGTGCAGAAGGTGCAGGAAGACTTTGCTGCAATGACTTTTACTGGGTATCCCCGTCTACCCAAGGGGCACCCATACCAGGTTCGCCCAGGAGAATCTCAGCCTTGGGAAATCAGTGGATATCAGCCCAAGACAGGATTATGGCGGTTTGCGCTTTGCCTGGCGCTTGTGCCTAGCATCATGTACTTCGTCTGGTAATCTACGCGAGATACCCGTCTGGAATTCTAGAATTCCTCTACTTATTTCTTGATAATATCCATTGATCCCTTTGTGTTTTGTGTATTCTGATCTCGGGTGTTCATACTTGGCGGGGGGAAGTGTTTCGAGCAAGGCACGGGGAATGTAGGGCCAAGCTCGCCAGTATCAACACAACAGACGCACTGGAATGCTGTATCCGAATCAGCCCGTTCTATCCTGATCATGAACGTATGAGATGCCAGCATTTATCCCCCTGTCGAGCATTTGTACGGGCTTGGCGTATGGATACCAACAGACGCGCTGGTATATAGACTGAGCAAGGGATCGCTCGCCCATGGGTCAACTCAACACACTCTCATACACACGCCATCATGCGCTTCCACGCCTCTTGGATTGGCCTTTTGGCTGCACTTCCGCAGGCTTTGGCCTCCTCAGCCCTCTACTCCACCGACTCTACAAGCTCGTCCCTCAACGCTGAGTCCAAACATGTCGAGACTCTCTACCAATTCCCCAACAATGGCTCGTGGGTCGACAACCTGGCCCTGCGGTCTGATGGCAGTCTGCTCTTTACCCTTTTGGATGCTCCAGAAGTGTGGTCGGTCAACACCGCCAGCGGCAATGCATCGCTTGTGCACTCGTTCCCCAACGCGACGAGCTGCTTCGGCATCACCGAGATTGACGATGATGTTTTCGCGGTTGTAGTGGGTAACTTCTCTACCAAGACCTACAAGCCCACTGCTGGATCCTTCTCTGTTCAAAAGTTGGATTTCTCGAGGGGCGGAAGCAAAAAGGAGGACCGGACTTTGGCCCACCCTGCGGCATCCAAAATTGCGGCATTGCCCGAGGCACAGGCTCTCAACGGAATGACTTCTTTTACCCGGAAGTCTCACCTCGTCCTGATCGCCGACAGCCCAAAGGGCGCGGTGTGGAAAGTCAATACCAAGACGGGAGACTATGGGGTCGCACTGAACGACACAACCATGCTGCCAGCCGAGGGGCAGGCCCTTCCTCTGGGCATCAACGGCCTGCGCGTGGTGGATGATTATCTTTACTATTCCAGCACGACCCGCATGCAGTTCTGCCGTGTCAAAGTTGACCATGAGGCCAATGCTGCGGGTGACTACGAGGTGATTGCAAGTGGATTTTTGCCGGACAACATGGACGTCGCGTCAGATGGCACGGCATATATTGCGACGGATCCCCAGAACTCTGTCGTCCGTATTACCCCCAAGGGCCAGATCTCTCTGGTCGCTGGTGGTCAGTTGTCCACCCAGATCCCGGGGCCTACCTCGTGCCGGTTGACTCCAGACGGAAAGACTTTGTATGTTGGCACCAGCGGTGGTCAGGTTGCTCCTGTCTTGGGTACATTTAAGGAGCCTGGGAAGGTGGTGAAGATCACACTTGCGTGAGCAACCAAAATTGTGTGGTTTTTGAGATATTGTTATGGTTCTTTCAAACGTGGCTTGGTAAACAATCGAATTAATGTGAGCTAAAGGCACCATCTTCTGTCTGCTCCAAAAGGTAGCATGAAGTCAAAATATAATCTCCGGAGTTAAGGCATTCTGACCCTTTTTTTTTTGGTTTGTTAAATATATCAGGTAACTAGTAGACAAAAACCCAGGCAGGTTGATTGTTCTCAGGCTTAATCTCCAACATTTCTTTTTGTAGGGCTGTCGGATGTTGATGTATATATATTCGAGGCCGACCCAACGGGGCTCCCTTTCAATATATCTAGGACCCAGTCACCAGAGCCCCGGAATACATTTAGAGAAGAATACAAAAATATCGTAAGCAGCAAACCCCAACTTCTGCTTGCATGTAGATCGTCAGCGTGACCAACGCCTATGACGTCAGATGGGGACATGCCCCTTGTGTGGCGTTCTGTGCGGGACAAAAGTCCTCGAGGATCTTGAGTAGCACATCTCCCCTAAGCCCTCCCTTCTACTAAGCAAAGCCATGCCGCATCTGGGACAGAAAGTGCTCCGTAAGTTAGGGTTAGGCTCACGCGACGCGGTGCAACTCCCGGGCCAAGCGGTGGTGAATGAAGACGAACGTCCGTTGTCTTCACCACCAAATCATGGCACATATCCACGACTGGCAAGACTTTCTGATGGTTCGATCTTGTCGTCCTTTACTCGGTTCCCAGACCATCAGCGTGCACTCTGCATCGCAAGAAGTACTGATGAGGGCCGCACATTCGAGAATTTCGCCGAGGTGACGCGGGCTGCAGGGGATGTGGACAACATGTTCCTGCTAGAGGTTGTTCCAGGGGTGGTACTCGCGGCCTTTCGCAATCATGACCTGGGCCCCAACGGTCCCACGCACTTTCGCATTACCGTTTGCCGGTCCATGGATGGAGGTCGCACCTGGAGGTTTGCGGCCCAGGCGGCCGAGAAGGGGGCCCCGCTTGGGGTTTGGGAGCCATTCATGCGACTCGGATACCAAGGCGAGGTGCAGCTCACCTACTCACAAGAGTTTGCGCCCAACAATCAATGTACCATGTTGGTTGTATCGCGCGATCACGGAAGCTCCTGGAGCCCACCGGTGTTGCTCGCGGGCGCCCACGATCCATTGCGAGATGGTATGAATGGGATTTCACCGAGTATTGACAACGGCCGGGAGGTGCTTATAATGGTGTTCGAGACGACGCGGTATGGGACATTCAATTTAGAGGCACTCTTGTCCTACGACGACGGGGCGACCTGGCACCATCGGCAGGAGGTCTACCGTCCGCCGCAGGGGCGCAATGCTGGAGCCCCTCAGATTGCCTCCTTTGCTGATGGTTCCATGGCCGTGGTATTCATGACAGACGAGGATGCTTCCCAAGTGAAATGGACTCAGAATGCTGCCATCAAGGCCGTGTTCGCTGGGCCACCTCACAATGGACGGATCCAGTGGAGCCGGCCCTCGTTGGTCTCGCCTGCATCCAGTTTTTGGCCTGGAGTGATGGCCATCAATTCCTACACGGTGTTGGCCACCTACGACCGAGGTGGGCCCTTAGCCAAGAGTGTCACCTGGCAATCCCAGTAACGCAGGAAATGGCAATGTGATATCAATGAGCGTTCATTCTTTTGATTAGTTGCCATCTGGTTTTTTTTTTTTTTTTTTTTTTTCCAATATCAGTGTTCCATCCAGACTGCTGCTGTCAAGGAGATATGCAAGTGCAGGCCTAGTATATCCCCTGATTCTCCTAATCGATGAATGGTATCACACGCTCTGGCGCCTGCAACAGGATATCCCGTCTAATCCTTCCTAGGGGTCGAGTGGCCCACAGGTCCCACTCCTGAGAAAAAGGATCGTATCGAATATCAATCACCTAAATCTGGTGCCACTATCTAAACAAAGGCAGACGTACAGTCGTGGCTTAAAATTAATTATTTATCGTGGCTGTCTTGGTCGGAGCTCCATTTACTGCGCAGAGTTTCACCGCATGACCTTCAAGAGTATCGACAGCAAAGCGAAAAGGAGACTAGCATGATTAAGCCCAGGCAAAAAGTGCGATCCCGATCAGACGCCACTTTAAGGCCGATGCCGGACTCACCGAAAAGAGTCAAAATTATCTGATCATCAGATACAACCCTCTGGGGCCACTAGCTTATGGTGGGTATAGTTGAGATGGGTGCCATTGGCCAAGATCTTGAGACACAAAGAGGACTGAGCAAGACGTGGAGCTCATTGGAACTTGGCCACAAATTCGCTGGCTTCACATGGCTACTTGCAATGCATATCAGATTCAGGGTACCCAGACCGGGTCATGAGTGGTCTGTTGCGCTTTGGCCTGTAGCTTAGCCGTAGAAAAGTTTTAGAGCAAATTCTTTTTCATTTCTTTTTCCCTTTTCCCCTTCTGGCCAGGGTCCGCGACATGCGCGAAAATCTCCATATCGTTGTATTTTAAATATCCGAATTCCTCGATATACCGGTACTCGACATTGAGTGATTCAATTCCTTCCCTGAGCCTACATCCCTGACTCTTTTCAAGGAGATCCCTTGGAACAGCTAGGCCAAGTCGTTTTCTGTCTAATATTCTGTCGTTGCCAGAAATGCGGTTCCGGCTTCCTCTCAGGCGCGACGAGGTGCCAGTGGCGGAATTGCGGCATCGACTCGACGATGCTGAGGACCGCTCGGCCCGGCATGATCCCAAAAGAAGCGGGAACGGGCACAGTGCCTGTAAACGATAGCTCAAGTGACATTGTAAACTCCGAGTTTCCATATGGTGTGCAGAGCGCCCAAGCCTTGACCCAGGACTGGAGTCGACAGTATCTGATCATGGCTTATGTTTTTGTGAGTGGGCTTCCAGACCCCTCGAAGGTACTTGGAAACTAACAGCAAGAACAGCATCTGGACCATCAGTTTCGACATGTCATTCTCATCTGGGGCTGTGAACACGTTGACTCCGTATGTCACCGGCGTCTACAAAGAACACTCGTTGACAGCCACCACTACCATTCTATTCAGCCTGGTTGGGGCCTTGATCAAGCTGCCATATGCAAAAATGCTCGACATTTGGGGCCGCCCGCAGTCTTTTGCTGTGATGACCGGCTGTATGACGCTGGGCTTGGTGATGATGGCTGCGTGCAACAGTGTCGAGATGTACTGCGCTGCCCAGGTCTTCTACCGTGTGGGATACAATGGAGTTAGCTTCACCATGACAATCTTCATCGCCGATACTTCGCAGCTAAAAAAATCGGGCATTCTGGATTGCTTTTACAGCGTCCCCATACATTGTCACGACCTGGGCCTATGGCCCCGCCGTAAGCAGCATCTTAGCCACTACTGGAATTCCCTGGGGGTTTGGGATTTTCTCAATCGTCACCCCGGTGATGTGTTTGCCATTATTCTATCTCTTCTATTACAACCAGTCGAAAGCTGAAAAGGCAGGACTCATCTCCAAGTCCCAGACAGACCGTACGCTGTGGCAGTCGATCATTCATTACGGCAAGGAGTTTGATGTCATTGGGCTGTTACTTCTGGCCGCTGGTCTCTCCTTATTCCTTCTTGCTTTTAACTTGTACGCCAAACAGCCAGGATGTGGAAGGCCCCATTGATCATCAGCTTTTTGATCATCGGACCCGTCTTGCTCGTGGCATTTGTCCTCTGCGAGAGATACCTGGCACCCGTCACATTCATTTCATGGCGACTGTTGACCAACAGAACGGTCTTTTTCACCTATGCGATGGCTGCGAGTATATCTACACCTCCTGGTACCTTTGGGACAGCTATTTTTGGTCCATGCTCATCGTCGTGTTCAGCCAATCCACCACTCATGCCACCTACATCAGCAACATCTACACCATCGGTTCTTGCTTCTGGTCGGTCGTGGTGGGCATCATCATCCGATTTAATGGGCGTCTCAAATGGCATGCGCTGTACTTCGGCGCCCCTCTCAGCCTCCTAGAGGTTGGCCTGATGATCAAGTTCTGCGAGGCTGGCGTGAATATAGGGTACATCATTATGTGCCAAATTTCCATCGCCTTTGGTGGTGGAACATTGGTGATTCGCGAGCAAATGACCATCATGGCTGTGTCATCCCAACAGGACACTCCTTCTCTTCTTGCCATGGAATCGATGTTTATCAACATCGAACAGGCTGTGGGGTCAACGATTGCCGCCACCTTATGGCAGGGCATCTTCCCCGTTAAACTCCAGGAGTACCTGCCTGCAGATGCGATGTCCAATTTTGCCCAAATCTATGGAAAGCTTTAAGTCCAGGCCTCTTACCCCGTTGGTACCCCCGCACGCGATGTCATCAATCGGTCGTATTCAGAGACACAGCGACTGATGCTCATTGCGTCCACCTGCCTGCATGTGACCACAATTTTCACGACTATGTTCTGGGAGGATGTTAATGTGAAGGAGATTAAACAGGTGAAGGGTCGCGTGTTCTAGTTGTTGCCCAAAGGGGTGTTATAGAAGAAACCTTTTTATAATAGCTTTGGCGAGAGAAAACCCCTTGAGACTAGCCACTGTTCTGACATTTGAAGAATTACCGTTCCCCAAAACTATTGGCGATATACCAAGATGCAGTAGGCACTGTGGATGCACGGATGTATTGATAGGATGTGTCCGTCTGACGATGAAAATTCAACCATGGCCCAGGATGTGCATATTCCAGGATTCACGGTTGTTCGACTTCGGATCAAGGGCAACGTCCTTCGGAATTGAGTGAGATTTACTGTGCTGGGCCGGGTATGACCTTCTCCGGATACCTCGGAGTTAGGCCGAAAGAGGCAGGGCCCTCGGATTTAATCAGATAAGGCCATCAGATAAAATCTATCCCCGGCTTATTTATAGAGCCGCAGTCTCACCCCCTCCCCCCCCAAAAACCCCAGCAACAGCTGTATATTCAATATCCAACTTCAAAATGGCAACCCAGTCACTACGAAATATTATCGTTGTTGGAGGGTCGTTTGTGGGTCGAGTGAGTGCATCGTGTTCTCTACAGAGCAACCGCTAATCATGTTGCTAGATAACCGCTCAGGAACTGGCGCGGGTCATCCCTGCGACGCACAGAGTAGCTACCACTACCATGACTTCCTATGTTGAATATTGTACTGATATCTTGATTGCAGGTGCTGTTGACTGAGCCCCACAGCCACTTCCACCATCTGTTTACCTTCGTAAGTAACTCGACACATCTCGTGAGACGACCGAGAATAACAATGTTATCCACAGCCTCGATTTGCCATCGTCCCTGGTCAAGAACATAAAGCATTTATCCCATACAATGGAATCTTCTCGGCGGTGCCGAACCCAACTTCACATGGTGTTGTGCCAGCCCGCGTTCTGTCAGTGGCATCGCAACATGTGGAGCTCGATCGCGAATGGCAAGGCTCGAAACAGATTACGTTTGATTTCCTGGTTCTCGCCACGGGAACACGTCTTTCTCAGCCAGCAGGGATGAAGAACGACGACAAACCATCATCCGTGGAGTATCTGCAGAGGCACCAGGCGGATGTGAAAAGATCACGGTCGATTCTCATTGTCGGCGGCGGCGCGGTCGGTGTGCAGATGGCAACCGATTTGAAAGAATACTATCCTGACAAGAAGGTGACGGTTGTTCAATCACGACCACGCGTGATGCCGAATTTCCATCCCCAACTGCACGAACTCATCAAGCGGCGGTTCGATGAGCTCGGAGTCCAACTCATCACTGGCTCTCGGGTCAAGATCCCCCCGAGTGGATTTTCCAATGACGGCAACGAGTTCCCCGTACAGCTCACTAATGGTACTACGGAGTCGACTGAGTTGGTGATCTTGGCAACGGGACAAACCCCGAATAATCAAATGGTCGCGAATCTGAAGCCTACGTCGGGCACTGATGCTATAGTGAACCCAGATAACGGGTTTATTCGCATCCGACCAACCATGCAGTTCCAAGACGAGCAGTATCCGCACTTGTTTGCCGTGGGAGATATCGCAGATACTGGAGCTCAGAAAGCTGCTCGGCCTGGGGCCGCGCAGGCGGCCGTGGTTGCTAAAAACATTCAGTCTCTGATTGAGGGACGAGCACCGGACGAGGCCTTTGTCAAAGGGCCAGGTGCAATCCATCTCACACTTGGCATGGTACGTCATTTCAATCCCCCGACTGGAACTTTACTCACTACCTTCCGAAGAAATACAATGTGGTCTTCCGTAACCCGAATGTGGCAGAAGGTCAGACAGAACCTTGGATCAATGAGAAGGATGAGTGAGCTGCCCATTCCCTAATTATACGTACATCCTGCTAATAAAGTGACAGCGGCCGCGAAGATATGAATGTGGAAGCCATGTGGCAGAGGCTAGGTATCGAAGTGGAGAATCCGCCGCAATATCATCTGTGAGATGGCATCTGGTTTTCCCAATAAGCTTGTGTAGCACAAGGAGCTGCATCAACTTCATTTCGAGGCCAATCAGCTCAAATAATCCATGTGTTCTAAGCGCTTCCTCCAACTCGCTCATGATGGACCGCTGCTGCTCCTTTCATTACTTCCCTTCCTAGCTCCGTGTTTTCCACAATACGGCGCCTCTCTGCGACAGCAAATGTCTCGGGCCGCTCGCGCTGCGTCATCTCCGGTTTTCCACACACGAATACGGAGGGATTTTGAATGAACATCTCATCCATGTCCTCGAGTGTGCGGCGTGAGGTTTCGGGATAGAGGAGGAACACAATCGGAAAGAAAGCCCAGCCAATAATGGCAAAAACTGGATGGGTGGGTCAGCAATCAGGCTTGACAAGGCAAATTGTACGGAGGGGCATACTTAAATAAAATCGCCAGTGGAGATTGGTGACTCCGACACTAGTAAACTGGGTCACGATAAAACCGCCAATCCAGTTGGTGGCTGTCGCCGCGGCGGCGCCTCGCGTACGCCAGCCAAGCGAGTTAATTTCTGAGTTGTAAACCCAAGGGACTTTGGCGAAACTTGTCCCATAGAAGAAGTAATACAAGAAAAACATGGCGGTAGTCACACGACCCATCTGCTGTTTGTTAGCGCTCACTCCTTCTAATGTACCAGGAAACTACATGTTATAGTGTGACTTACCAGGCGTTTTTGGGAACTGTCGCTCTCCCCAGTCTTGAGGCAGATGGCAGCAATAAGATAGCATGCCCCCATGGTCATCGAACCGTAGAGCATCAATCTCAAGAAATTGTTAATAAGGCCAGGTCTGTTGAGAAAGCGGAGAGAAGAGTCACTCACTTGCGACGACCAAATTGATCGATTATCGCGAGGCAACAAAAGGCCGCGAAGAGATAAATCGTTCCGTTGACAGCGGTCAAAAGACGACTCTCTTGCTCAGGCAGTCCAACGCTGTCTTGCAGCAAGGTTGGAAGGTAGTAACCAAGAGCATTGACGCCGCTGAACTGTTGCATAAATTGCGTCCCACATGATAAGAGCAGTCGTCGGAGATTTTGTGTCTTATCGCGGCACAGCAAGACATCCATGGTAGGCGCGCGATCCTTGCGCTCAACCTCCAGCGCTGACTGGATACATAGATATTGAGCTGTCACTTCGTGGTCATCGATCCCGCTGCCCTTGCCTTCTAGTTGGGCCAGAACCTGTAGCGCCTCCTCGTGTCGGTCCTTGAGCAACAGCCATCTCGGCGACTCGGGGATCACGAGAAGAGCAGCGGCAACAACCACGGGGAAAATCAGCTGGAACCCGAGAGGAAAGCGCCATTGAAGGGCCTCGCCCTGGAAGTATAGGCCATAATTCATCCAGTTGGCCAGACAAAACGCGGCAGTGTTTGAAAGGGAGCCCACCACCACAAGCTTTCCACGCGCGCGAGGACTAGAGCATTCTGCTTGATAGACAGGGCAGGTAGATGAGGTTAGTCCCATGCCAAACCCATTGACGATGCGGCCCACGATCATCTGAGGCAGTTCCCATGAGACTACCTGTAATATTGCGCCGATGGTATTACAGAGAAGACCAAGGGCAACCGTTTTCTTTCGACCCATTTTGTCACCCAAAGTAAAAGCGACTATTGCACCAAAGAAGGCACCCAGCTGAGATGCCATGTTAACACAAGATTGAGAGGACACCCTGCCAGAAAACCTACAGAAAAACAACTGGAGGTGATCCCAGATATATTCGAGTCGCTTGTTTCGGGGAAATGTTTTTTGAAATCCGCTGAGATGAGAACCCCTGAGAAGACACCCTGATCATAACCGAACCATGCCATCGAACTATATGGAACAGCGGCAAGTCAGCAGCCCGCCGGCTTAGTTGCAGCGATGGGATGAAAAGCCTACCAGGCATTGGCAATGGTAATGAGAGTAATCAGCCATGTTCCAGTGAGGTAACTCGAGAGCCGCAATCCGGCCATTTTCTTCAGACATGAATTGCTATCATGGGCAATGTGAAGGGTTTCGCAATACGCGATTCACGCTGGCGCCAGCGATCAATGGTGCCGAAACTGTAGAAAGACCCCGTTTTCTGGCCAGCTAGGCTTGAGATCGCGTGGGTCTGTAGGGGTCAAATACCTGAAGGGCTCGGAAAGCGGATTCGCGCCGTTCGGATGGCTCGGGAGATGGATGATCACACAGAATCACCCACTATCCTCGAGTAAACGTGTTCCAAACACCAAGTCTTTGAAGGATTGGTTGATCCTTTGCAACACTGAGATCTCAAGCTCTATGGAGACAAGAGAGATCGAGGGGTGGAGAGGAACACGAGTGTTTCTGAGGAAAGCCCCCACGGGGGTGGACTCGTTCGACCGGGCCGCGGACGGGCGGCAGACCCACCCGGGCGCTGTGGGGATGGGCGGCAATCATGCCCGCTTGAACAGTATAAAGTCTTGGTTAGCTCGAGCACTGTGCCGTTGAAAACAATATCACAATATGAGTAGATTGGAGCTTGTCAGGGTCCCGAAGGCCTGATTTGTGATTTATAGACGATTTGATCTATACTCTCCAACGACCACGATTCGTGAGATCGCTGTGCCCCTATAGATCTAGCGAGCGTAAATTGATTACAAAAGTACGGGACATAGCGAGTCATATTAATAGAAAACTAGAAGTGAAAGTATAATACTAATACGTCATTTTGGCGCCCGATAATCTGATTCCACTCGACTCTACTCAATAATAAAGTCCCTTAGGATAAAGTTGGGCCATTCAACTATTAACTCTCTACTACCTCCTAAAACTACCCGAGCAAAGCGAGAATAAGCGGCTTGTAGAAAAGAGCACCATTGGTATCTAAAGTAGAGAGGTAAAAGAGACTAGGAAAAAATATATAAGCCGAGCGGCTGAATGTATCCTTGTGCAGTTCTATATTCCGTTGTAAACAGCAGCATCCACGAGAAAGTAATTTACTTAACTCTTGCACTATATAGGAAACAAATCGGCAAATTACTTGCATCGCGAAGAATATAGGCGTATTTATAAGAATGATCACCTACCTCAGGGTTTATGAATCCACCATGTCACCATACTACAACTAGAAGATTATTGACTTACTGGCTATCAGTAGCTATTATTCTCTTGAGTCTTTTCATTCATCATCGCGAGCAGATGTCGGAGACCGGCTGAGTGGCTGTGACACAATGGCATACGTCGCAGGGTTATAACGGGGGGAGGCGGCAGCTCCACCAACTCTAGTGGGCCCAGTGCTTGTTCGCAGTCATTTCTGCGGGCCATTCCTGGAGGGGCACGGCATCTGACCGAAGCTACACCTGTGGACTCCTTTGGAGTGGGGGTAGATTTGTGAAGGAAGGAGGAGCTTGGGGTATGTAAATAACGGTCAAATCTCCTTTCTGTCTGAACTCTCTGTGTTAACTTTCTAACATTCTTCAAAATGGGCTCCCATCCCGCGGTTACGGAACATGATGTCACGATCACTTCTTTCGATGTCGTGGACTTGCGCTTTCCTACGAGCCTGGATGGAGTTGGTTCGGACGCCATGCACGTAGGGACGAACGGCTCGCATCCATACGTTCAGCTCAAGACAAACCATGGAGACTTGATAGGCGAGGGCATTGTAGGTTTGCCAGCCCATCCATCAGTAACATTCAAGGCACTGACACCCAAGTCCACCGCAGGCGTTCAGTAATGGGCGTGGCAGCGAGCTGGTCTGCATGGCACTTGACATCTTCGCGCGTCGGGTAGTTGGAAAGACAATGCACGAGCTAACGCGCAACATGGGGAAGACCTGGCGATACATGGTGTCTGATTCACAATACCGATGGATTGGGCCCGAAAAGAGTGTCACTCATCTGGCTGTTGCCGGAGTCCTCAACGCGGTCTGGGATCTGTGGGGTAAGATCCTCGGCAAGCCGGTCTGGAAGATTGTCTGTGACATGAGCCCCGAGGAGATCGTTGGATGTATTGACTTTCGGTATATCACCGATGCTATTACTCCCGAGGAAAGTATCGAGATGCTGAAGACGACACAGAAGGGCAAGGAGGGTCGCTTGCAGGAAGCCGTGGAGAATCGAGCAGTCCCGGCATACACGACATCTCCGGGGTGGATGGCTTTCTCTGGAAATCGTATGCGGGAGGTGTTACAAGAGACGATTGCCGCTGGATACACGACATTCAAGTTCAAGGTGGGCACCAGTATCGAGGCCGACCGGGAAAGGCTATCGGCAGTCAGAGAGGTCCTGGGCTACGACCAAGGACATCAGATCATGATTGATGCAAACCAGGTATAGTCACAGGAAACAGGGCCTCGCTATCTTTCAATCACTGATGTGGATCCAAGGTCTGGAGTGTTCCTCAAGCAATTGATTATATGAAGCAGCTGGTGGAATTCAAACCAGTGTTCATTGAAGAGCCTACCAACCCCGATGACGTTTTGGGGCACGCTGCTATCCGCAAGGCCCTGAAACCCTATGGGGTCGGAGTCGCAACAGGCGAGGCCGCACAGAATCGAGTGACTTTCAAACAGCTTCTTCAAGCCGAAGCTACCGACGTCTGCCAGATCGATGCCGTTCGGCTGGGGAGCGTGAACGAATGCTTGGTAAGCTGCCCCCCCCCCCCCCCAACAGACGACTCTGTCGCTCACTGTGAACAAAACAGGCCGTGATGCTGATGGCGCTGAAATTCGACATCCCCTGCGTGCCACATAATGGAGCCATGGGTTTGACCGAGCTGACCTCGCACCTGAGCACTATCGACTATATCGCCATCAGCGGCCGCAAGTCGATGCTCGAGAATGCCGATAGTCATCGAGAGAATCTGCGCCATCCTTCCCAGGTGGAGAATGCACATTATGTCACTCCCCTGGCACCGGGCTATTCGACCGGATATACCGATGTGGCATTGGAGAAGTATACATATCCGACGGGGAGTTTCTGGAGCAGTGATCTGGGACAAAAAATCATTGCTCAGCCCACAGGGGGAGAGTTGTGAACGATACGGGTGGATATGGAACGCCGCGGTCATCCCACCGTACATCAAGTGAGAATAGCCTAGACGCGGGATAGCAGCCTTCGCTTTTTCTGCAAATCTTCGAGAATGACGATGACTGCTTCAAGGCTCGAGAATGCCCACGGCCGTATATTATTCAAGACAGTGCTCTGTAGCTCATCGATGTCAGGGACCAGATCCCGCAGAATAGGACTCAGGGATGCGAGTGTGAGAACAACAATAGCCCCGAGAGATCTGCGAATAGTCAGCATGCATATTTGAGTGATTCCAGGCATGGTATTCCATACGACAAAGAAAATGTCCAGGTGTACTGGCTTGGCTTCGCCAGGGCTGGCGTTGTGTTATAGATATAGTACCGGCAGCTCTCGATACAAAGTCCGGCCTTTTCTATCATGGGCTCGGACACGCGACTCGCACCGTGGATGGCTATATAGAGCACAAAAGGCCTGTAAATGATGTGCCGAGCTGCAAAATATCGTATTCGGAGTATGTCCGGGCGCTCGGTTGGGTTTTCTATTGAAGGGCGGACACCGAGCTCGGGTCGAAAAGCTTCCGGGATTGACGAATACCACATGTCGAGTTGGGAATGTAACTCCTCGCAAACAGTGCTCATGGAGGAGATATCTTCAATGGAAAAATCCTCTTGGGCCGTGAGAGACGTAGATGATAGAGTCAACACATGTTTCTTGCTCGGGTAGAGGGAGTTGTGAATGCGGTTGAGCAATCTGCGAATCGAGATTTCAGCCAGATAGCAAGTCGACTGCATGAATCCTAGATTGGAACACCCGGGAAGACTGATCTCGTCCGTCAGTTGCTGAAGCCCACTTCGCGGCAGCTCTAACTCGGCGAGTCTGTCGCATTCTACAAGGAAACACGACCAGAAAAGGCGGATCACATTTTCACGCCAGTTCGGCCCTTTCTCTTGGTTCACTGCCCTATCACGGCGTCAGTGTTCACATCTTCAGATGATTCTCCAGTATGTCTTACCCGGAGAGCTTGAACTGGAGGATGGTTGTGGCTGAATAAATCAATCGCCAGCTTTGGAGGGGGCGGACAATATAGGCAAAGTAGACGCTAGCCAAGACAAGAGCCTGGGGAAGTAATAGGCTGCAAGAGAAGTACCACGAGGACTGGCTCAGGAGCGTCGGCATGGCATGGTGCATGTATTGCATGCCCGGGGGAGATTGGCTGAACCGAGTCGAGTCGGGACGAACGGTTGCGACCGCCCCGAGCGCCAACACCACCATGCAAAGCGCCGAAGCCGTTCCTTTGTCAGGGCCTGTCTCAAGGAATTTGTTATACATCTCCTGAAACTCGCCTGGGTCTAAGATTGGGTGGTGGTGATGGGCCGACGCGAAGAAAATAGAGACCAATTCGTCGGCGGTCTCGCGTTGAATGTCGATGGATGCCGGAGGGACCGGCCATTGCTCAAACGACAATTCTGGTGGCAACGGGTTTCTTGATTCCAGCAAGAAAAACAAATCGGTCGGATACTCTCCGATCAAAGATTTGACGGGCGGCAAGCTGAGCAAATAGCTCGACGATGTCTTATGCTTGACGGGAATGGTCAATGGGGGGAGGTCCGGGAGCTGCGGCGGAACGTCGAGTCCGGCGAGTGGCCAAGGAGTCGACGAGACGGCGACATTCGATGGAAGATCGGCGATGGGGACCGATGGGTGGGTAGGTGAAGCTTGAGTGGGACCATACGAAGATCCTGGGGTGGATGCCGACAACGTCGAAATGCGGTCCGACTGGGTCTGAAGGAGGGTCTCAATCTCACGAAGTCGGCTAAGGATTTCCCGAGTGCCGCCAGAGGTGTCGATCCTACACGGGGAGTAAGACAAAAACGAATTCCTTTCAGCCCTTCTGAGCCGACATACCTTTGAGATGGGGCATCATCGTAGCGACATTCCACCTCCAACTCCTGGCAATGGGAGCATGACGGTCTCTGAGCATCACATCGTCGCTTCCTACATAGATAGTCAGCATACGCAATTCTCTAGCGCAAACCCAAATACCCACCGAGCGCGACAGAATGTACAGGCCAAGGCCACTCGTTTGCGGTTGAAGCTCATTTCTGGTGTTTCACTCAATTCAGAGTTGCCTCGAGAGAGTCTTCGAGAGAGTCTGGGGGGAGCTCAAATCCACGGGGGGTCAGCTGACGCGGGAGGCCCACCAGGGCACCTGGGTACGCCCCCATTGACCTACTTAAGTATAAGTCGGTAAACAGTGGGGAGGTCTTATTATATGAAATAATATGTAGAAAGATGATTAAAAATATTTAGAAAAGGATTTAGGAAAAGGGAGTTTTTTTTTCTCCCTAAAAATAAAGAAATGGAGTTAAGAAAGTAGCTGTCCCCTCGAGTCGGACTGTTACGGATCCTGCAGACACCAGTTATCTGAGGACCCCGACGATAGTGTAAAGCAAGAATTCTAATGACAGTACAATAACCACAGCTGTATACAGCTACTGTAATACGATAGAATTGAAAATAAGTAGATCGGATTCTGATAATAAAGAGGAGGGTAAAAGGCTAAAGGTAGCTAGCTCCACCGCCGGGTCAAGATACCCCTTAAGTCACCTAACCGCTATATTATCTTTTCTATACTAATTCTTAATATAGGATTAAGAATTTAGGTATATAAGGTCTTTTCTAGATATATATAAAGAATTATAAATAATACCTCTCTCTCTTCTATTATACTATCGATATCTCTATTATATTCCGAGATCACGTTAATATAATTATAGATTTGGAAAAATATATTCTAGCTATTATTGTCTACGAATATTTCTCCTAGTTACTTAAATAATAAAATTACCTTTTTTTATTTCTTCTCTTTACTATTAATAATTATATAAAGATTAGCTTCTGTAGATAGTACTATCTAGGATTTCGCTAATTTAGAGATCTAATCTTTTTTATCCGATTAAAGATCTAGGGATATAAATATTAGATTATTTAATAGTAATATTTTTTTATAAATATTAGCGATCTCTATAAGATTAGCTAGCTAAGTATTTAGTATCTCTTCGGTCTCTATTACTATCTACTATCTCTATCTTATCTAAAACTATCTTAGTTTATTCTAGAATATTAATATTTCTAATTTTTTTATTAATATACTCTTACAATAATACTGATTTCTTCTTTTAATACTATATAAATAATTATAGATAATCCCTAGTATAAATAATATATTTTAATTCTACTAGAAACTAATATTTTTCTTTTATTAGCTCCTCGGACTTTAGTATCTCTATTAAACTAAAATAGATAATTTTCTATTATAAGTCCTAATTTCTTTACTATAGATCCTAGATCTTCTCCCTCGATTATTATTAATCTAAATATAGATTAATCTACTAGCGTTCTATTTTATTTAATATTTTAGCCTTTTTTTAATTAATTTATTATTAATCTAGATTAGTGTTACGCACTAGTCACCTATGACTGTTAACTAGAACGGAAAGGTATACTTCTCTCTAGATACCAAGACGCGTAGGTCTTTTCTAGTTATACTAGAAAGCTAGGGGTCTGTTAGTATCAACGATATTCGGCCTCGCAACTGTACTATCGCCTTATCCGTTAGGCCTTACATAGGCTTAAGTCTATTAAGGTATCGAGGAACGATCAAGAGTGAAGAGCGCCTAATAGGTTAGTACCGAAGTAACTCCCCTATTAATAGATAGTTATCTTAAAAGGAATTATAGTATAAACGAGAACAATCTAAGTAATAGCTAGGTTTATAATATAAGTTAAACGCGAAGGACTAAATATATAATAAATAAGTATCCTTATATATCCTTCGCCTAATATTCTATATCCTCGTTCGTGGTATACTATATATAGATATATAGTAATCCTATTAATATACTATTCGATATACCCTTTCTTAGCGATAGGTTATAGTATATTATTACGTGACTTGTACCCCTATTCGTCGTGTATTGTTACCGCGGGGTTGGTTAGCTCTGATTCCCTCTTACACCTTTGTTAGCGCGAGTGAGGTGTTACGAACTGCTAACTGGTCACGGTGAGTAACGTCCGCAAAGGTGATACTTCTCTAGGAGTACTGCAGGCCTCAAGCGTATCCGCAACCGTACCAATGCCTCGGGGGCCTTCTATGGGCTCGGGTCTCTAGGGTGCTTGCAAGGTGTGCCAGTTAGAGCGCCGGTCAAGTCAGTCACTTAGGGATCGAGGATCACTAAGTAAGCTCCCAAGACCGTTGGAGGGTTGTCGCTATGTTCGAACTGTGAAGTACCAAAGGGTGGTTCCAAGTAACAATGATGGGATTGATCACGAAGAACTAAATACATGTGGTAAAGACTGTCCTTATATATCCCTTGCCCAGTATTCCACGCCCTCGTTTGTGGTATACTGCATGCAGGCATGTAGTAGTCCCATTGATATACCATCCGATATACCATTCCTTGGCGATGGATCGTGGTATATTGTCACGTGACTTATACCCTTGTTGTCCTGCATCATCACCGCGGGGTTGGTTGGCTCTGGTTTCCTCTCGTACCCCTGTTGGCGCGAGTGAGGTGGCTTGGTTCGTAACATCATCTCCCCCTCTTCCAGATTTTCGTCCTCGAAAAGTCCTTAAATTCTCGGTGTCCCCTCTAGGTGAGTTCCCACAATGTTGTCCCGTCATGTCCCCCCGCACTGCCGTTAAACCGAAGCGTAACAAGTACGCTGATAACGCTCGTTTGGGTGATAGGATTGAACGAACTGGTCGCCCCGTGGATTTCCCGTGCGATTATTGTCTTATTCGTGGAAAGTGTTGCATCATGAGTCCTTTCGTGAAGAGTAAGAAGTGTTCGACTTGTGCTCGTCGTGGACACACTTGTGAGAGGAGTTTCCACACAGATAAGGAGTGGGATGACCTGCAACAAAATGAACGAAAGTTGGCGTCCGATCTCGAGGAGGCCCAAAAGCAATTTCTTCAGCATTCGCAAAAGATGAATGAGGCGATGGCAAAGGTCCTTCGCCTCCAAAAACATCAACAATTTCTCAAAGAACGTGGTGGTCGGATGTTGGATCACGATCAGACGACGTTGGATCGGTTAAACGAAGAGGATCCCCCTACCGCCGAGGAATTTCGTGATTTTGATCGGTTGGCGGAGCAGCAGGAGATTCGTCAATTGGCTGCTACGTCGGGAGACGCTAGTCTGATGAGGATGACTCAGTCTCTGGATCAGATGCCTCCTGGCTTCTGGAGTGTCGAGGCTGCGATTGCCGAAGGGAATTTCGATCTATCCGCTGGTGGAACTGTTGAACCAGCTGAGAGCAACCCGTCAGGTGCTCAATAGGTTCCCAAGTGTTTTCAGAGGTATCGTACCCCTTCCATTTGACAAGGTAGTGAGGCTTGCCACTGATGCGTTTGTTGTCCAGAACTTTTTCGACTTCATATTCGTTTTCGGTTTCTTCTTCGATTTCCACGTTGGTAGCGAGTTCGGCGTTTTCTGGTGCGGGTTCGAGTAACGAGATATGAAACGTTGGGTGAATGCGTCGCATGCTTTCTGGTAGTTTCAAGCGAAAATTGACTGGTCCTGTTTGTTCTTCAATTTCGAATGGTCCCAACTTCAGGTGGTCGAGTTTCGCGCTCGGTCGCTTGGTTTTGATGTTTCGTCGTAGGAGGTAGACCTTCTCCCCCTTTTTCAGATCAGGGCCGGCTCGGTGGCGCTGGTCGTAGTGCGTTTTCATGCGTAGGTTCAGAAATTCGATGTCTCGAGCCATTTGCATGTGGAGTTGCTTGATCCCGGTGGTCAGTAGTCTTGCGGATTCTGCCACAGTTCTCTCGTTTCGGGGTTCTCCGATTAACTTGGGATTATACCCATAGTTCGCGAAGAACGGCGATTCCTTCGTCGTTGCATGCATCGCGTTGTTGTAAGCGAATTGTGCAATTGGTAACAATCCTGCCCAATCGTCTTGCTGGTGGTTCACATGGTGTCTCAGGTATTGTTCCAGAGTCTGGTTGACTCGTTCTGTCTGTCCGTTGGTTTGCGGGTGATATGCAGTAGAGAGTCTGTGCTCAATACCCATTTGGTCCGCAAATGATTGCCACATATTGGATGTGAACAGTTTGTCTCGGTCCGATGTGATCTTGTCGGGTACTCCATGGTTTCCGAAAACGTAGCGAAGTAGTATATTCGCCATTCGGTTTGCGTCGATGCTTTCTTTTGTCGCAACCATATATGCGTACTTTGTGAGTCGGTCGACAATGACCATGATCATATCGCAACCTTCTGATTCTGGTAGTTTCGTGATAAAGTCCATGGTAATCCATTCCCATGGCCGCGTTGGCGTGTCTGCTGTCTGCATTTCCCCGTAAGGAAGGTGTCGTGATGGCTTGTTCCGTTGACATGTGTCGCAACTTTTGATGTACCCCCTTACTTTTCGGTGCATGTTCGGGATGTAGTAGTTGCGTGAGATATGTTCCATTGTTTTTTCAACTCCCATATGTCCGTGCGTCGGGAAGTCGTGGTGTTTTTTGATGACTTCGTTCTGCAGCGATCGTGGAACATAGATCAAGCCATGGATGATGACGAATCCGTCGTCGCTTGTAGTGCCGTTGTGACGTTCGTTCCCGAGGACTGCTTGCATTGATTCGTCCTCGGCGGTGGCTCTTCGGACCTTGTCTAGCCATCCGTCGTCTTCGATTTCGCTGGTTGCTGCGAGTATTTGTCGGTTGTAGACGATGTCTCCTTGGTCGTTTGTAGTGAGGATAGCGGGCTCCGCTTCCTTTGTGCCGATCTGATAGTCAGGTCGTCTGCTGAGTGCGTCTGCGACAGCGTTTTCAGTCCCTTTGCAGTGAACAATCTTAAAATCGTATTGTGCAAGGGTTTCAGCCCATCTAGCTTGCCGTCGAGTGAGTTTCTTCGTGGTGGTGAAGAATGTCAGGTTGTGGTGGTCCGTCTTGACCGTCACAGTATGCTTTGCTCCTTCGAGGTACGCTCTCCAGACTTGAAATGCTGACACTATAGCAAGCAGTTCTTTGTCGTGGATGTCGTAATTGAGTTCTGCGGGGATCATCTTCCTAGACCAAAATGCGATTGGTCTGGGCTTTCCGTTTTCGTCCGGCTGGGTCAGTTGTGCTCCCAGGGCGTAGTCTGATGCGTCGGTTTCCATCGTGGTTGGCTTTTCGTAGTCGAAGATTCCAACGACTGTTCGTTTCTCGAACAAGCTCTTGAGTTTTTGGAATGATTCTTCTGCTTTGTCGTCCCAGTTGAACGTTTCTCCCTTCTTGGTGAATCGGTATAGTCCGGCGGCGTATTTCGAGTAACCCGGGACTAGTTTCCGATAGTAATTTGCCAATCCAAGAAAGCTTTGTACGTCCTTGACGTTTCTGGGTGTGGGCCATTCCACAATGCTTTTGACCTTTTCTTCTTCCATTCCTAGACCGTCGAGGCTGATGGTGTATCCAAGGAAGCTGGTTTCCTGGACGTGGAATTCGCATTTCTTGAGCTTCAGAGTGACTTTGGCTTCTCTGAGCTTCTGCAGCACCTTTTTGTTGTGTTCAATATGTTCTGCTTCGGTCTTGGAGAATACTAAGATATCATCCAAGTAAGCGATAACAAAAACATCGAGGTATTCTTCCAGAACGGTGAAGATGAACCTCTGGAACGATGCTGGTGCGTTGGTAAGACCAAAAGGCATAACCACATATTCGAAGTGTCCGAATTTGGTCCTGAATGCTGTCTTCCATTCATGGCCTTCCTTGATCCTGAGCCGATTGTAAGCCTCAGTGATGTCGTACTTGGTGAAGTATTTGGCTCCTTGAATGCGGTCTTGGATCTCGTGAATCAGTGGTAACGGATGTCGATCTTTGATGGTAATCGAATTTAATTGTCGATAGTCCACACAAAGTCGAAGACTTCCATCTTTCTTTGGTACGAATAGGATAGGATATCCTGCTGGTGAGGTGGATTTCCGAATGTATCCTTTCCTCAGGTTCGTGTCGATGTATTCCTTCAGCGTCTCCGATTCCTTCTGTGAGAGCTGGTAAATTGGTCTGAATGTAGGCTCCTTGCCTTCTTCGAGGTTGACCTCGTGGTCGTACGGGCCATGCTCTGGTAGCGTGCCCTCCTTTGGTGGCGTAAACACATCCTGGAAGTCTTGGTATTCCTCAGGAATCTGTGTTTCTTCCCCTGTTGCACAGAGGGCTGTGGAGCCGTGTTCAACCATCACGTACTCCCTTAGCTCGTCGTCTGTCATATCCGGTCGTTGCTCGGTGTTGACGATGGTACTGGCTTCCGTTGCCTTGTACTGTGCCCCGCCTCTGGGCCGAGTGCTCCTCTTAAGTTTGCCTTCGTGAGGGCCTCGAGGGCCACCTGTCACCCCTTGACTAGGTCCCTGTGCTGGTCTGTATCTGTTCCCGGTCCATGTCTCACTGGTTTGTCGGCATTCACATCGGTTGAAGACAATGAGTCCTTTCTGCCAATCGATAGCTGGGTTATGTCTTCGTAACCACGGAACTCCTAGCACGACGTCGTACTGCCCGAGGTTGGTGATGTTGAAGTTGATTGTTTCAAAATGATTTCCCAAAACCATCGGCAGGTCCCCTGTTTCGTGCGTAATTCCCGTGCTGAGTGGTTCTCCATTGAGTCCAGTAAGAGGTAAGAGCTCCTCTTTTCGTCGCCGCTGGATTGTATATTCCTGACAGCACTGTGGGCTCATGAAGTTTCCGCTGGCTCCTGAGTCGATCATCGCTCGCATATTCTTGTATGCGACGTTGACGAAGACTTTCATATGTGCCCCCCACTGTGTTGCTGCGAGTTGTGGTGTGGGTGCAATTTTCTTGTTGCCGTGCCATGTTCCTGTGTATTCGGGCTTCCACTGGGGTCGTTTTTCCCATCGCAAAGGTCTCGGCTCAACTCCAAGGTTGAGTTTCCCTGGGTAGTGGAGCATGCAATTGTCGTCGTAGCATCCTACAACCGCCCTGATGTCATGTTTCGGGTGTCGTGCGTATCCTCGACACGCGCATCGTGGATGCTCACATGGACAGGTTGGTTGGTCCTGGGATAGCTCTTCCCGAGCCGACTCATCCTGTTGGCCTTTTGTCTCGTCACTCGAGGTTTCTCTGTTCCTGGGGTTTTCCTGAGGCGTTTCCAGGATCGTCTCTTCCGTTTCTGGGAGTGTGGGTGGAGTTTCTGGGATCTCCGGCGTTCCTGGGATTTCAATTGGTGTCCTCAGGATACCTGTGCCCCACTCCTGGGAATCGTCCGACAATTCCTGGGAGTCGATGGTGTTCCAGGGACCGTACTGGGTCCATCCTTGACTCTCAATATCTTCTGAGCCTTGCTTGAAGCGCTCAAAGTGTTCCTCCGCGCTACCAGCTTGCGCGGGCGTCCTAAGGACTAGGTCGTCCATATAGACCTCGTTGTTTTGTGTCAGTTCCGCGGCATGATCCTTCGCGTACATCTGCGGCGAGTTTTCGATGATTTCATAGTCGATCTCTGGGAATTCTTCGTCGTCTGTTTCGGAGAGCATTCGCTCATCCCGATACAGTCCTGGTGGCTTGCTCCCATCCACAATCATGGGGCCTTCCCAGTCGCGCTCCTGCGTCGCGTAGAGCCGTTGAGGCTTCCCTTGTTCTGGTTTCTCGGTGCCAGTAGTGTCGTACGCACCTCTTCGTTCTTGGGTCGCGTTCAATTGTTGGGGTTTCTCCTGCCTCTTGCTTCGGCAGTCCTTGATTCGGTGTCCTGGCTTACCACAGTTGAAGCACAGGTTGTTGTTTTTGCGTCGTTTCTGTTCTTCGGTAGGCAGCCTTGCTGCATCGAGTTCCATTGGTTTGGGTCCGTAGGGGTCGTTGTCCCTTCTCCCAAAGTTCCGTCTTTGTTGGAATCGTCCGCCGTTTCCTCGTCCTGGGTTACGGCGCCATTGTTTAAGTTCGCTTTCTTCTCGCTGTCGGTCGTAGAAGCGGTTATCGATTCGTACAACAGTGTCGACGAATTCATTCATGGTGGTAGGTCGTCCGATTCGAGCGATTTCGTCCTTGATGTGTGATTTCAGCCCCCATAGAATGGTGGAATCAAAGCGTAGTCGTCCCATCCTAGGATTGCGGCGTGTGCCATGAACTCGGCAACGTAGGCTGTTGCGGAGGTGGTTTGTCGAGTTCGTGCAAGTTTCCGTTCAGCCGTTGCTTTCGCGTCGATATCGCCGAAGGTTCGTTCAAGCAATTGTCGGAAGCTGCTGTATCGCGAAAAGATGCCCTGGGCCATGGCAGACCAGGCGT